TGTGTGTGTGTGTGTGTGTGTGTGTGTGTGTGTGTGAAGGAAGCAGATGAGTTTAACATACTGTAATTTACGCACTGTTATGTAAGAGCTCACTTTTACACCTTGCCTTTTAACGATAGCGCCTGTTACCTATAAATAAAAAACTAACTAGTAGAAATTTTGAGAGTTCTTTTTGAAGTTTATGATTCAAATTTATTGTGAATAGATACGAAAATTAAATTAACATTATTATTTGGCTTTTTAAAATCAAGGTTAGCTTCTTTATATGTTGGCTATTAAACCTCTTTAGGAATTTGAACATTAGTAGCCTTCCTGACATACCTGTTGAAAACAAGCTAGTGACTCGCTTCCATTGGAAACTGATAATTTATTATTTTTTCAAATGAAAAAATCTAATTTTTATCTACTAAAACTACTAATTTCCGATGTAGCTTTTATTTCATTTTTAAAATAGTAAAAAATTAAATAAAATACGACGCAAATGACGCAAACAGGAACTGCATCAAGGAGGGAAACTGTGGAGCCAAAATGGCGCCGTGAACGTTCGACTGTGCTGCCTTTACGTGAAATGGGAGAATTAAAAACTTGTAAAAGTTAAGCTAACAAGCAGCGTTTAAGAACGTGATTTAGATAAATAAAATTAAAAGAAACAAAATAAGGCCAAAGGTAATAATTCATCGAGTTTGAGTTGATGTGTCGTGGTTTGAAGTCCTGTGTTGCTATGTGTGTGATAAAAGTTTGTTAAGGACTTCATACTTAACGTCTGTCATACTTAACGTCTGTATTTAATTTAGCACCAACATAAGCTGTCCAGCTGTTACATCCTTCTGGTCAAATTGAATCGGCCTGTATAATATATTATCTTTTTACAGTTAGAGTGTAACTTCACAGACACAATTACCCGGAGTATCGTCTGCGGTTTGTTTGGCTAACTTTTAGCAAGTTTAAAAACACTCATACATCTTACCAGGATGCTCTCCCTGCGTCTTTGCTGGAAATACTATTCACGTGTGTTTTGATTAAATTGAAAGCTTAAATAATCAGGTATACCGAGAACTGTGCTGTTAAAGAAAAACAGTTGTCTTCACCTCTACATTTCTCAGTTTTACAGAGACACTGAAGGCAGCACAGTGCAGCGCCTACCTTCGGTGAAAATGTTGAGTCGTGGTCGCCACCTCGTGGAGAAAGTCAGTAGCTGCAGGTGATGGTGTCAAATGTTGATTTCTTCGACATTCAGAGCTCTAAACTTACTGCTCTACCTAATACACTCACGGTTCGGTTAGCTCCATACCAGAGCACACCTGTGGAGTAAGACAATCCCCTATTAACAAACACAACCGTTCTTTTGTCATGTAAAAGCATGCATGAACTGCATTAGCAGCCTTGTGAATTGAGGATCCTGAATATAGAGCGGATAATTTTTATTCAAGCTTAAACTTTTATACAACCTACAGTGGCTCTGAGGGTCAGTGGCACAAATATTAAACAAGGCCAATGATGATGGATGTGTCATACAACACAAAACAATTTACAGTACACAAAAAATATTACATATGAACACAAAATGTATTTAAGAAAACACAAATAAGTTCTGAAAATGTGTAAATATTACGGAAAACACCTAAGAGTTGAAAAGGGAAGGAAAGCAGCAGTAACAGTTAAAAAATATTAAAGAAATGCAAATAAATTGAAACACTAAAATACAGTATTTTGGTAACATGAATTAAGTTCAAAAATGATAAGGAAAAAATGACTAGAAAACATAAAAGTATTTTAGAAATGCAAAAACATTTTGAGAGCATTAATAAAGAAAAGCAAAAAAATTATCTAAAAATAAGATTTTGAAAATGAATTAAATATGAAAACAGAATTATTTTGGCAACAAATAAATTTTATAAAAAATTAAAATAATTTAGAAAGCACAAATTTATTTAAAAAACTTAATTTCTGTTTCCCAAACATTCAAATGTTTTCCTAAATATTCTTGTATTTAATTTCTGTTCTGTTCTGTAAAATATATTTTGGGTTCATGTAAAATATTTTGGTCTTCTGTAAAATATTTTTAGGTTTCATAAAATTTTAATGACTGCCTTCCTTAAGTACATGAACGATTGAAATTCAGGGCCACCGTACTTATATCACTAAAATGGTAAGAGAAAAGATTTCTGATTTGGCAATATCACAACTTGACAATAAAATTTTATGTCAGGGTTTTTGAATGTATTAGATTTAACATTACAATAGAACTGAAGCTTTAACATTTACAAGCTTTGGCTGCATTACACTGGAGTTTACAGAGAAATAATCTCTTACAAGACTGTTCAAAGCAGAATTTTTAACCAACTAAAACACAGAGAGGAGAAATTAAGATACAAAACAGGCATAAAAAATTGAAAGAGTATCAGGGGTATGATTAATTTTCTTTCCTAATTCACCAGCTCTGCAGAAAAGATTAAAATCTTGTGATATTTTTTCAGTCAGCGGTCCAAACCAGGTCGTGAACTTTGTAGGACGACAGTAACTCGTCGAGGCCCGTGTGCTGACTCTACTGAAGCAACTAATTTAGATAAATTCAGACAGAGGTGTGGTATTTATCTTTGGCATAATTATTTAGCTCCATCGTTCATCCTGGAAACTCAATGGGACTGGCACAAACACAAAACAAACATTTGTCTTTCATGTTGGCAGCAGCTGTAAATTTTCTGCCAAAATAAAGTACTTAATCTTTCCTACAGGACACATTTGGCGGGGATGCAATTAATCCTCCCCTCAGACTAATTTATAGGACTTCTCACCAACATTGTTTTATCACCCCCGACACTGGTTGTGATCACGCATAGAAGAGAAAGCATTTTATTTTTAAATGTACATTATTAGCAATAAAAATAGAAACTGACTGTTTTCTGTAGCATTAAAAAATGAACTGTGTTTACATTTCTCTAAATTTACCAGAAAAATTGTCACTTTTTTTGTTTGTCAGCCGCAGATTACTGTAATCCAGAAAAAGACATAAACACATTTCCTCTGAGACATGTTTGGAGTAATTGCACAAAATACCACTGGTGATAAATAATATTATCTAAATCAATATGTAGCTCAGAATCAGATTTGCATCGACTTTCATGCACTTTCATTGTTTTGTCTTGTTAATGTGGTGCTGAATCTTGTAATGGGATAACTTCTGTGTTGGACATGGTCTGTCAGCAGAGTTTTTGTCTTGTTCTGGTGTAATTTGGTCTTCCTATTTCACCCTTTTCTTCTTTACATAAATGTATAAGACTGGTCTGAGTTTTGAGCTGATCTCTTTCTGAGGTATTAAGATTTCCTCATGAATAAAATGTCTTAAATTTAAATTGTGGGGATTAGAAATAATGGAATTTCCTCATAGAATTCATATCTGTATTATGTGATTGAATATAACTCAGTAATTATTAGATATGAGTTTTACACTAAAAAAGAAAGCTGCTAGATTCATGTCTCTTTAAAGTACCAGTGAGGAACTCTCTGTTTGTGTCAGTCTTGGCGCCCCCCTGTGGAAGAAGCTTATCTTGTCCTCTAAAAGCAAAAACATTGGCTGTGTCTCATTTCAGAGACTGCATCGGGCTAAGTGCACTTCTGCACCGTCGAACGGTGCATTTGAAGGGTGCATGACGCCACAACGGCGCGAACGGTGTCCCATTTGGCACAAGATGCTAAGAAATGCTAAGCTGTATGCTCTCATACATGCTTTGCGTGCCGCTGCACAGCTGCGCATTTCAGGTGAGAGGCTGGACTCGCTTGGAGACACAGCGCGTCTTCAAAGAAAATACAAGAAATCCAAAAAGCGAGTCCAGCCTCTCACCTGAAATGCAAAGCTGTGCAGCGGCACGCAAAGAATTCTGGGATACCGACGGCACGAAAGCGTGCATACATGCACGCTTGAAAAAGGGCCGGGGTAGTGTGGTTTTGAGACCGAATTTGAAGCGCGCTTAGTATTTTGTGCCAAACGGGACACCGTTCGTGCCGCGTGATGACCTCACGCACGCTTCAAATGCGCCGTTCGACGGTTGCGGTCTCTGAAATGGGACACAGGAAGGGTACATAACGGCGCAAAACGGTAGTGCACTCAGCTAAGCGCGCTTCTCCCGATGCGGTCTCTGAAATGAGACACAGCCAGAGACTGCTTATTGGACAGCACATGTAGGAGTTAATAGCTTTTGTGTCCAGTAGGTGGCAGTATGACTATAACAAAATTTGTATATAGATGAGTTAAAGCTGGGACTTTTACCAAATCTGTCAAATCTTGAGTGAATAAGACAATTTATGTTGAAGTTAGTATCATGTATTTCCACAGGGTGGTGCTATGACAGCACATAGATGTGTTGAAGGATGGACTTGATCAGGTACACACATTTTTTTAAAAGATTGCAGCAATGACTTCCTGTTTCATCCAAATATACGTCCTGCTGATCTGATATTCAAATAAAAATGGCTGACATCCTGTTTGATTTGAGGAGTTCGGCGCAAGAGGACATTTTGTTTGGACTTTGAGTAATACATATGCCCTTGCAAAAATCATCTATGTACATTGAACCCTCTGGTCATTATGTTTGGAAGTTTGAAAAGAAAGAGGGCGCTGTTGAGCTAGTTTTTCATGAAGCCCATTAAACATCAAATTTTATGCTGGGCTCCAAATATCCAATCACTTCAGCAGATGGAGTTAAAAATAGAGCTGATATATTACAACGTGGAGATATTGGCAACGGCTGAAGTTCCATGTGATGTTCTCCATGAAACAATCGCGAGGATACAGACTCAACATGGTGACAAACTGGTGAAAAAAGCTGGCTGGAAGGCGAAAGCTATTCTAAAAAAATATGAATCATCCACTTCATAACACCTTGATGGATGACATTAATGATCAATAAAGTTCTTGTATTGTGAAAAGAAAGAAAACAGACGATGCCGTAAATGGACACTAAAATAATCATCTGCACTAGCCGATCAAAAATGACACCACACAAGGTGAAACATTTTTATTATTCATGTTACATACTAAGTGTCAACGCAGAGTATACATGTACAAACATAATTTCTCCAAAAATACATCAAACTGAACTTGGACTTGACTTCTAATCAGAGATAAAGAAAAGTTCCTCTCTCAAAATAAAATGCCCTTCCTCAGTGTTGATGTTTGTTTTCCTCCTATTAAGTCTGAAACTAATCTGGTTTTGTTCCACCAAGATAACGACCTAGAACAAGCACTTGACGGGTAGAGACATACCATAGAAAACACACAGATACATTCATCACCATCGCCTAAAAAGACACCTCTCTCTAATAAACTACAGTCGGAAAAGTCACTGAGGAGGATGGAGATCGCAACAGTACATCGTTTCACCGTCCTGAAAGTGCGGGAGATTCAGCAGAGAGGTTTGAAAGAAAATCTGAGATTTGCATTGGTTTGATTTTAACAGTATGAATTCTGTATTTTTTTTTTTTTTTTTACAACTAAAGATGTTATACAGTCTATAATTAAGACAAAACTGCAAAAGTATACATTATGTAAGTTCTATCGAAGAAATTGTTGAAATAAGCCTCTGTATAAAATATAAACTCTGAACTTGCACCACAGTATTCTAGATTAATGTAACCTGTTTGCACAAAGATAAAATCCAACTGCAGCACGTCACCTGCCTCTATAAATACAGCTGAGGAGTTCAGTCAGGACTCCAATCATGAATGAATTATTCTGATAACACCTGGGAATATTTTACAATATCTTAGGGAAAAGTTTTAGTGTCTTTTTTTATATGTATTGTTCCTCTGAAAAAAGTAGTCCCCTGTTTTAAATCAAGATGATTCCCTGTTTTGCTGATGCACTTTGATTGAAACCCATTTAGGTGTAATACTGGTGTCCTAATATATGATTTAAAAGAAGGAAAATCTGCAAAGTGGACGCACAAGAGGGAAGACCTGCAAACAAACGGAGACATACAGTGAGAATCCACTGAGCGGCAACTTTAAGGAAAGTGCAAGAAACTGGTCTTTGCTCCACAAAGGTTAATTTGAGTTAGCTTCTCCATATGGTGATTGCCGTCTATCTACTAGCTTTACATCGCAATTTGTTTGTGTCTGACTAACATGGGACGACCTCGCCCGACCATAACATCCATGTGAGTTTTAAATTTCAGGCGTAACCCTCCCATCTTAAACTTACAGTGTAAAAGGAGCTAGAATGTTATATTAGCCAAATACTAAGGTGTAGTGCTTTTGCAGCGCAGTAGGACACCAGTATAACACCATCGTTGGATTCAGTATTAAATATATCATGACAGGGAGCCTCATTACAGTGACGCTTATTACCTTCACTGCAGAATAACTTGCCCGCCACTTTGCTGCTGAGGCACTAACAAAAAAGTGCTGCACCCTATTGGTCTGCCAAAGTACTGCAGGTGAGCCGCAAGACTCATCTTTAATAATTCAACATTTGCAAGTTTTGCAAAGATAATTCTCACTCGCCTGCCTTATCAGCCAAATTGCTTCTGTTAATATGTTTGGAAATACTTTTTTCTAGTCCAGAGTGCTTATAAAGATTGTGTGCTTCAAGATTTGGATATTTTCAGTCTCCGATTTCTCAGCATCTTTATGACATCTAACTGAACAGTGGCTGGACTTTATGACGAATAACATTCATCGAAAACAAACTGAAAAACAAACATCCTTTTAAAATAATCTCCATTCTGGTGACGTCAGACTTTTCTCGAACATATACACGTCTTTTTTTTTTGTAGTTGGTTGGAATGTACAGTAACATCACAGTCTGTTCTTGATTGAAATAAAAACATTATAACTCGGCTGTGTTTCAGTTTCCTGGACCCAAATCCATCCTCTCTAATTTACAGTAACATGACCTCACGCATCTGTCGCCTTATTGGTTCACACAGGTCAGCTGACCCATCAGCAGGTTCACAACCCATATAGGCACTATGCAACCACATCAAAAAAATAAATGAAGTTATTCCATCATAGCAATATATTGTGAATATATAATTCTATCTATAAAACAAAAGCCCTCTTGTGGCTCCTATTTCTAATACTTACAGTAGTCTAAATGTAAATCATGACAAAATCCAACAGAACAAACTCCTGTAATAACATGTTTACAATCTCTTAATAACATACCGCGATGAGCAAAAGTACGAAAACCTCCTGAGGAAATTAAATCATTAAAACCCTAAAATAGAAAATAGTGCAAAGACGACTTTTTAAATGCTGAGCTCAAATAATGATAAAATCTTAATCTAAATCTAATTTTCCAGCAGCAATGCATAAAAAAAAAATTGTGACGGACCACAAAACACTGAAAAAATGTATAATAAAATATAAAACTAATGAGGTTGATTTCCAAAAGGTTAAGTAATAAAAAGTCGATCACAGAGAGGCTGAGATGGAAAAGTTCTCTACTCTGTGAGAGACTGCGTGAACAAATCAAGGTTTACAGAATGATGGTCCTCAGTGTAAAATTGTGAAAAAGTTTGGGTTCTTTTTTTTATCAAATTCAGGTCAAAGAATAAGGAAAAGTCTTTGAACGAGGGGGGCGGAGCCAAAAAGCAAAACCTGGCGCCCTCTAGTGGCACTGCAAAAACTGACATGAGTTTGCCAGAATGAGCACATTTACACTTCTTAAAAAAAAAAAGTTTATTGCCTAAAGCTAACTAAAACTAGCATTTTAGAAACTAGCATTTTCTGTTGACCCAGAAGTTGAATAGTGTTGCTAGGACACCGGTTAGTAAACAAAACTTCAGCAGACCAATCAAAGAAGAGCTGCATCCTATGAAAAAAAGGTACAGAGAAGTAGAGGCTGGACTTGTCTTTTAACACACATCCCTTTAACGTATTTTATCGATTGTTTTGGTACATGATCGGTCAACTTTGATTCTTGCCTGGTGCTTGTAAACTGGGACAGGGACAGTCAAATCAAAAATGCCAAATCGAGCTACAACAGCAGGTAACGGCAGCTCGACTTAACTGTGCCTGTAAACATACTGAGTACTTTTAAGCAACTCAACACAGGTTGTTTGGATCATTCGAACTTATTTTGAAGTTTTGACTTGGTCCTTTTTCGTTTGAGTCTGTGAGATCTTTCGGTCCAGATGTGGTGAAGAGATTTATAAATCATCAGGAGGTTTTAATATTTGTCCTCATCGCAGTAAAACATGATAAATGCAAAAGGCATATTCCAAAGTTAACAGTACAAATATCAGAGAAACACCAGCAAAGAGGGACATTTACTGACCAGTAGTGAGCTATAGTGACGTTGAGTAGAGGTGGTACTAAGAGAGAGAGAGAGAGAGACCTGGATTTGAAACGTGAAGTTTTTTTTTTTCTTCTTTTTGTCCTGTTTGTACTTTAAACATCGCCACATCTCAAGTACACAGTATTTCTGTGGCGAAACAGTCATAGCGTCTCGGGTTTGCTCCGCCCATGTCAGTACAAACTCACATTCTCCCACTCCACCAGGTACTGCACCTTCCCGTCCGGCGTGACGCGCCTCGCCAAAATCCTCACCGCTTCCCCTCCTCCCCAGTTCTTCGCCACTGTCCCCTCATTCCCCCCGACTACTGCACCCCCTCCTCCACCACCACCACCACCACCTCCGCCACCTCCTCCCCCTCCACCTCCACCGCCTATGCCACCCCCTCCGCCCATCCCAGGCTGGTAAGGAGGCAGATCCCGCAGGATGTGCGGCTCCAGCTGCTTCTGCCCCGTCTGATGTTGGTGGTTGTGTTGGTGGTTCTGTTGATGGCTGTGTTGGTGGTTCTGTTGGTGGTTGTGTTGGTGGTTCTGCTGTTGATGGTTGTGTTGGTGGTTGCTTTGATGGCTGTGGTGGTGCTGGTAGAGATGGTGGTGATGATGGTTGCCGTTGGAGTTGAAAGGATACGGGAAGCAAGGTGGTGGTAATCTGCAGGAGTCCTCCGTGCTGGGAAAAAAAGTATACGGAGAAGTTAGGGAAGAGTACATCTGTTACCCTATTATTCCAACTATAAAACAACCTGATATATAAAACAACCTCCACTTAAAGCTCCTGTGAGGAGTTTTTTGACTTTGAGGAAACAGACTGGAATTCATACTGATGCCTTTTAATGATCTATAAAAGAAAAGCAGCAACAAGCATGAAGATTTTTATACTATGATTTTCAATGCCAAGAACTTCTGTGAGGGGGTAGGTGCCAATAAAGCCAAACAAGTTGCAGAAGAAGTTTTTATTTAAGCATGTAAAGGACGGGTGTGTCCACTAGGGGCACCAAAACTGGCACTAACAAAAAGTTTCTCACAGGAGCCTTAAAGACTGAATTAAATTTGAAAAAAGTTTTGGAGAAAGGAAATGGTTTATTTTAAAGCTCCTCTTATAAACCTTTGGTTTCTCTCAATTTTGGCGCCCCCCTGTGCACAAAGCAGATGCTGCTTTTCTTGTCCTTTACATATTTAAGTAGCTTTTTTATCAAAAATCTCACCCAGCTGATTTTCGACCATCAAATGTTTCATTTATTGTAAATATTTTATGTGGAAATAGTAAAAACATCTTTTTCTACACCTACCCCCTCGTGCCAGTTTCAGGAATTAAAAATGACAACATGCAAATTGTCAGTTTTGTCCCTTATGGTTTTGTTTGTTTAATAATATCATGAAAAGGCTTCATTATATTTCATATATGTAAAAAAAAAAACTCCTTACAAGAGCTTTAAAATAATCATAATCAAGTATCAATATCAATGAATAAAATAAGCTATAAATGACACCTCGGTGAGGTTATCTTGAAAAAAGATCATTTTTTAATATATTTTCAGTTAAAGTAGCTTCTATAGAGGAAAACAAAGAGCTGTTAAACTGCAGAGGAGTCCTATTTATCAAGTTTGTTTAAAGGAAAGACAGTTTTGTGGAGCTCAGGCCTCAAAATCAGCAAATTACGAGTCGCGACTCTCAACTGTTCACACATTTATAAACGTATTGGCATTACGAGAGTAGTGAACAATCGGAGGAGCTTTTTAGGGGCTTACATTATAAAGTAAACATGATGGATGAAGAGAAAAGCCCTCATACGTCACTTCTAGTTGGTGAATAAACTAAATATGTGTCTCTATGATGATCAGTATAAATGTCTATTAAAGTTAAAGGGGGAGAGTTTGGCGAGTAAAACCTGTTGTAGTGATGGTGATTCCTGGAGTGTGGAGTATTCCCGTTGTAGGTGGTGTGGTACAGAGCGTACATCCGCTTCGGAGGAGAGCTGCAGATGAGACAGAAGTTAAAACATTTAATCTGCAACAAACCTGTATTACCTTTCATCACTTTACACATTCACACAGCAGACAGAGCGTTTGGTAAATATCAGTCCTCCTTTCATAAACATCTTCACTAATCTAAACTTTTTGAAGTACCTTTAGATGTCGACACTTGTTTGAAAAACTGTGGTTGAAATCTTTATCCCCTCAGCTGGGTCCAGTTCTCTTTAACTTCACTGTCATATCACCTGACTTCACTGCAGGTACGCAGCTCAGTAGCAGCTGATATCACGCTAAGCTGCAGAGTCTGGGGATGTGTCGATTGCGAATGACCCGGCCCTAAAGGGCGACTTTTGCACAAGAACGTTTACGCTTGAACGCAGAGCACTCGGGGCTGAAAGAGTCGGTTATTGCTGAACCAAATAATCCAGATCATTGAGAAAGAGCCTGAATTTCTGTGAACACTGAGGGAGTTTACTGAGACTGAGGAGGACCCTGCCCCTGTTTCTACATGGGAAGATGGACCATGGACGACTTGAGCAGGATCATACAGCCCTTTAGAGATAGGAGGCAATCCAAAGATCCTGAGGGGCGTAATATGCATGGATTAAATCTGTTTCTGGATCTGGATGGTGGGACAAAACTGCAGGTTAGATGTTACTGAGGTTTTTGTATCAACTGCATGTTTCCAGCTATTTTACTCTAATACAGAAGCCAAAGGGACTTACTTTATGTTTTCACTTAAGTTCTCCAATAATAATATAATTTTTCCTTCACATGGCACAAAATAAAGTACCCAGGGTGTAAAATCTCCGCCTTGGGATGAATAGGACAGACTTTTTCGATTTTTTTTTACTTCTTTCACGTTCAATCAAAAGCTTTCATTCTTATCAGAAACTCTGAACACTCTTCTGAGGGTTTATGATCATTATTTATGCAACGCCTCATAAACATGTCCGTGTTTATCTGTTTTAGTGGGCCGATCAAGGTCAGAGACAAAACTGTCATCATGAGCGAAACGTTCAAGTTTAACGGGTCTGTAATCAAACAGAAACCAAAGCGCTGCCACGTCCCTTACCTCAAATTAAGCTCCTCCTCTGACTTCCTGGAGTTGTAAAGGCTGGCCCCTCCCATGTAGCCATGGCAACATGGCAGCAGCTCAATGGGGTTGGCAGCGACCGGGGGTGGACAAGGCTGGGCACAGGAGACACACACAGATCAGCTTGTCCGGGCGCCAACATCATCACAGGACTCAATGAGGCCGTGATACCTTTGTGCTCACACATACATTAAGTTGATTCTGCACATGAAGCGCTCAGTTTGTGTTTCATTTTTCACACAAAGGTTAAAAACAGAGAGTTTTCAGTCCTAAAATAACAAAAAAGATCCTCGGTTCAGTGTTCCTGCTTGTCTTGAGGGCGGATATGTCTATAAATCCACTCTGCTAACATTAATGGATGTGAGTCGCATCATCAAGGCTCATCAGACACAGCCGTAGGATGTCTCTTCCCGAATGTATCCCCTTTATCGCACATCTTACGGAGGTGGCTGCTAAGTGAGGCAGCTCTCATGACACACAGACTCACTCCCCGTGAAAAGTTAAAACATCAGCGCATCTTCAGAGCGATCAATCACGGGAAACGTCACCTAAAGGAACAAGCATTTCTCATCTCTGGACTGTGACATATGGCTCCACTCTCGGCCCATTATCTCTCTTCTCTGGCGTTACTATCAGGAGAGGAGATTATTATTCAGTGGCCTTTGTCCACGTCTGTGCCTTTAAATGGAGGTGCTCTGTCAGTGCTGCACTGTCAAGGTGCCAGCGCCACCTGGCCAAACTGTAATCGACTGCAAAGTGCACTTGGAAATGATCCCAGGCTATAGCATATCTGCATTCTTTCCCATCTCACTTTCCCGCACGACGACGGCGGCGACAACGACGAAGCTGCTCCTCTAAGGCGGACGGAGATTAGCATCAATCAGAGGGGCACAATGGGGCCTGGAAGTGCCAGAGTGAGAACTGGTGCTCTGTGGAGCGTATTGTTCCAGGATTACTGTACGTGCACACACGGATCAGAGCGTTGTGTAGGAGGACGCAGTACAATGAGCATTGATGGTTAAGGATGCAGTTTAAAAATAGTAACTGCCACATGTGATGCTGCCTGTTTCACGAGGATCCGCTGGGAATTGGGTTTGATGATTATGATAAATGCGGCGCTGAACTGCAGATGTTGATGAAATACACGAGCGGGCTTTTGTGCAGCCACGTTTGCATTTGAATTATAGATTTTAACTCAAACACATCAGCTCTCACACGCTTCCCAAAGCATCAGCAGGCGGTAAACATGCAGCAAGAGGAAGATACCGGGGAGCAGAGGGCTGCACTGGCTGTTTAAAGACACGCAGACTGATCTAGACTGCAAAATGAACCTTCATCGCCGCCTCTGACTGACAGGTTATTTGGATGGCAGCGAGCTGTTTACCTGACTGTGTGAAAAAAGGGAAAAATAATCAGGGCGGTTTTTGTGGCCCAGACCTCCCCCCTCTTCGCCCTGAGTTGAAGACAGAGGCACTGACCTGTGTCTCGATGATGCGACGCTTTGATTTACGCGACTCCGGCCCCCCCACTCTCCTCTGGCAGGGTAGTGACAACGGGCTGAGGAGGACAAAAACACACATAAATTAAAAAATACACTCACGCTGTCTAAAGATAAAAAGATGAGAGCAGTCAGATGATCAAGTGAACGAGGTTTAAAGTTATTAAAACAATCACATAAACACTCATCCTCCTGTTTTTACTGAATCTAAACGGCGGCTCGTCCCCCGACTTCCTCAAACCCCCTAAAAGTCGCCCACTCTGAGAAACACACCCCTCATATTTCCACAAATAGAGCCACAAAGGTAGCACAGATCTGAATATGTACTTTTGTCCTGGAGGCGACGCTCATGACGAGACAACAGAGTCATTATAATCCTGATGATTCATCCTGAGAGGTGTCAAACTGACATTTTCGCCTGAGGGTAACACAGCGATGAAGTGATGTCTAAGCATTAATGTCACTGATACTGTACCAGTCCAAACTCAAAAATAAAATGTGCGCTGAATTGATCTTTGAGCCGAGCTTTGATTAAGCCTGAAGTTTTGTGTATTCAGTGTTGGAGGTTTGGCCTGAGGTGGTGTAAACGTGCGGCTCTGAAACACACCTCTCCTAAACTTTTAAAGCTCCACATTAGTGTGAGCGTAAACGCACCGTCTCTTTGACCCGCCTGCTCCTCCTGCCGCTGCTTTTAGAGAATCATCCTGAAGATCTGCTGCTCTGTTCTCTAAGGCTGTGAAGTCTTAGTCGACTGGTCGACTTATTGGTCGATTTACAGTCGACGGTTAATTTCATCAGGAGAAATGTACCAAGTGCTAATGGGGGTGTTTTCAGAGCATCCCTGTTTCCCAGGCATAGACTGTATAAACTATGTACAACTTGGTTCTGCCATCCGCCAGTGTACGACTTTGAAGCCCAAAAGCTCTCGGTAATTCTGCGTTTTTTCTCCATTTCCTAAAACCAATATTACACTGTTGTACGCACTCCACCACTTGCGCAGTAGCGTTGTACGCATTCGGCGGGAGACTCGCCAAGAGTCGCTGTGATGACCCTTGGCTAAAACAGAGTATCCCCCCGGGTGCAATATTTTTTTTCGTGGGATGGTAGGGGAAGGTCCCGCCTCCAGCTAGAAAAGCTGGGCTCCGATTGGTTAATCCTTATGGTTGTGAAATGTCATCACACGCTCAAGCCAAGCACAGGCTGTCGGCTCTGTACATCGAACAGAACATTACAGAACATTATCGCAACTCTGAATCTCCTAACCCTAACCCGACAGATGATGACGTTTCACAGCCATAAGGAATAACCAATCAGAGCCCAGCACTTCTAGCCAATCAGAGGCGGGACCTTCCTCTACCATCCCACGAAAAAATGTATTGCTAAATACAGTCTGTGTTCACAGGTAACAGCCTGTCTTGGAAAACCCTCCCTTGTTTTCACCATTTTGGATTCACCCAACCCGCTGGAGAACGGCTAGAGAAAATTGAAGAACGTCCACGTTCATCTACGTCCGGTGGTTTGCTAAATATTCATTTTTATTTTGAGCGTTTCAATTTGCCTTTTACCTTCTTGTGCTGACATCCATATCTGCATATTTTCACCCCACCGAGCCGCGTCCACCACCGAAGAACGGTTTGCCGTCAGAGTTGATTTTTGGTCAAAATTTTCCAGATTTAGTTCGACCAAGAATTTCTTTGGTTGATTACAGGCAGATTTGGTCCATGTTAGATGAGATGAGGTTAAATCTGTCTCATCTTAGGTTGGGTCTTGATAATTCTTCAAACAATGAGGGTGGTCTAGACCTGCTCTTTTGGGTCTTGGGATGACGACTGTTGTGAATTGGTGCAGTATAAATAAAATTTGATTGATTGATTGATTGATTGATTGATTGATTGATTGATAGTGTTCCCACACTTAATCCTGACATCGTGATACCGAGGGGGTTAGCTGGAAATATTCCTGGTGTCAAACTCTGCTGATGCTGCTCACACACACGGGGAAACTTTCAGGAACTTTGTGTTTGCCTGACAGGTGATGAGACGCTCTCACACACATTGGTCCAGTTTTGGGTATCCAAGCAAGTCAACTCAGACCTCCTTCTCCCCAGCTCCTCCAGTGGGAGCCTAAGGCGTTCCCTAGCCGGGGACATGTAATCCCTCCTGGGAGGTGTCCAGAAGCATCCTTATCGTACACCCTAACCACCTCTGACTTGGATGTCCAGGTCCCACACCTCCTCTCTATGGAAACTAATCCAGCTGCTTGTAACCACGATCTCATTTCTCAGTAACTTCTCAAAGCTCAAGGCCGGAGGTGAGGGCCGGAACATAGATCGACAGGTAAATCGAAAACGTTGCCTTCTAACTCAGCTCCCTCTTTACCATGACGGTCTGACGCAACACCTGCATTACTTCCTGTCAATCTCATGATCAATTGAATTACATGAATTCCTTCACCTGGAGCAAACATAGAGAGAGCAATGCACCGTTTTCTAGGAGAAGACCATGGCCTCAGATTTAGAGGTGCTGGTTCTTATGCCCACCAAGAATGGAGAAGCCAACAAAACCACATCATGGGACTCTGCAGCTCTAAAACTAAACTGTCCTTGAGATCATGTCCACTGAAAGCAGACAACAAAGACTGTTTCTGCAGCCCTTTTTTGGACTTTGAAAAACTGATCTGGTTAACTGATCTGTTTGCGTTTATAGGTCACATGGAGGCTCCAGTATCGATTCATAACTAGCTACAAACTCATAATGCTGGAAGATGTTTCCTCTCTGACAAACCGGCTCAACAACAAACAGCTTGTCAACATGTTAAGCCGATAAAAATCTCAATGCCTTCAACTATTTAATTAAAATGTTGTTAACAATGTGAGAGAGCAGGGATATAGATTTCTGCAGCCGGCAGTGTGACTTTAATTCTGCTTTTCTTCTCTTCAGGTTGCCAGTTAATTAGAGAAACCATGAATTTATACAGCGAATCTCTTGAAGAGGGAGAACTAATAAATGTTCAAATGAGAAAAAGGGGAACTGAGAAAAGCAAAGATATTGTTTTCATACAAGCAAACTTAATATTTGTGTTTCACAAACTCATGAGTTTTTCCGTAAAATAAAAAACCTAATCAAGACGCCGCCTCCCTTCGCACTCCTGCACTCTTAAGACTGCTCGCTCTCCTGCAAATGATTTCATTGCAATTCAGTCTGAATAAGCACCAGACAAATGCTCGAAATTATTCAAAATGAAGAAGTCTGCAGGCTTCAAGTGCACACATGCACGCACTTGCAGATGCACAAATGTAAGCCCACACGGGGGGTTCGTACTCTTCTAGGAGGTTATTAAGACACGGATATGTGAAAAGTGCACTCCTTTGATTCCCCACTTAATTGTTCATGCGTAATGACTGTGCGCCCTGTGGGAATCCCACCGCGTTACTGAGATAAGAGCTGAAAAGAGAGGCGCTGTCCTTACGCTGACCTTCTCCGGTGCGTGATGTTGATAGGAGGGTCGGTGATGAGGGGCGAGGAGTCGGTCGTAAGCGGCGGCGGGGCTCGGACCTGCAGCCCAAAAAGACACTTCTTCTTCTTGATCTCCTTTCCAGAGACAAACCTGTGGGCGACATCAAACAGAAGCTCTCACAGTCAGGTCCGGTTAGGTTTGCGCCTCAAACGTCTCACCTCCTTATTTTTGTGTTTGTGTTTTTATTACCGCTCCTTGATTCTTGTAATAAATTCGACGCTGTGTAACAAAAATATCCGTGTGGGAAAGCAGACTGGGGAACATTTCAAAGGTGGTGTCTGTGTAATTAAGTATACATAATTGGAGCAGACTTTGCCTGGAGAAATTTTGCAGTTTTGTGACTGCGAGGTTATTTTTGGAAATTGCAATGAAGAAGAAAACATCTCCATGCAGGTTAATGCGATTCAATAGTAATGGCTTATATGCCTCTCCAGTACAGCACAAAAAAAGCACTTTAACATGTTAATGTTCACCCCGTCCAATTAGCGCTTACATCTTTGTTCACTCTTCATTCAAAGTCACACCTTTCACCTCTTTCATTTCGAACCTTCATGTGCGACAATTCACTAAGAAGACCCCTTTATTCATAGAGAGCTGCTCATCAATCCGGTCATGTGCAGTTGGTGTTTATTCTTCTCATCATATGCGATGACTTACCTGTCCTTGTGGGAGTTCAGCGCGTTGAGGAGATTGTGACAGCGGTCTTGCCTTGGCGTGTCAGAGAGCTGGAGGACGACAGGAATGAAAAATCAAAGCCGTGTTTACACAGTGGACGGCCATCAGACGGAAACCTTTAATGCATACAATCATTTTTCCCCTCGCAGTCACTGACAGCGATGGTGTTAATATGGAAAACTACTTGTTGCAGCTACACGGCTAAAAACCCTGCGCTGTGATGTGACGACAAGACAAACAATACATTTGGAAATTGCCTTTTAAAGCCAGCAACACAAAGCTTTAGAAACATGTAAAGGAAATTTAAGGGGAACTCTACCGCATTGTCTCTTCTGGAGCGACATCAGACTTTAAAACAGGTGGAATTACAACTTTAAGCCGTAACACTTGAGTTTGAGGATTTGCCAAAGCACAGTCATGTTTACAAATTCTGGCTAGTGTCCTAGATCAGAGAAACCAAACCAAGGAGAGCGGTCCCCATGGGGTGGGCTATCTGTGCCGCTGCCAGGGGTAATACAGAGCAATAATAGAGGAGCTCATCCAGCTAAAAAAAACTGAGTATCTATCTGCATATCTGCTGCTGTGAAAAACATGTCTGAACTTTTTAAAGTGAACTCGGATGACCATTTAAAACTAGAATAAACCAGAAACCAGCTACAACAAGCTGACTGAGCAGCGCTGTGTCAAAGATGAAATCTCTAAAAAGGTTAGGGTGAAGTTTATAAAGTTCACATCTGATGAAAAGAGAAAGGAAAACCCAGTCTGGGGTAATAAGGGAGTTGAAATAGCTTAGTTAAAGTAAAACAGTTTAAAAGGTTCCTAAAATTATGGAATAACCATGAAAAAGTGAGCTAAAAGTTTCAGATAGCTAACTGACACAACAGTTAGCTTAAATTGATCAGTTAGCTAAAGTAAAATACTAAGACAACAACTAAAAAAAGTTCACAAAAAGTTTTGGATACTGATGTAATAGTAAGTGTAATGTAAGGATGACACTTGCAAAAAGAAGCAGGAGGTTTTAGTTTTAGATACTAAAATTAAGAAATAACATTGAAATAGTGAGCTAAAGGTTTTAGATAGCTAACTGACGCAACAGTTAGCTAAATGTAACAGTTAGCTTAAGTACAATACTGAGATAACAACTGAGAAAGTTCACAAAAAGTTTTGGATACTGATTTAATAGTGTAAAGTTAACTAATTTATAAGGTGTTATTCAGTTCGCTAAAATTATAGGATAACACCTACAAAAAGAAAAAGGAGTTAGTTTTTGACACTAAAATTCAGAAATATCAATTGAAATAGCGAGCTAAAGGTTTTGGATGGTTGGCTGCTGTAGTAGAAGACTGAAAAATGAATTGTTGTAATGAATGAATTATTCTTGAGCTTGCCATAAGTCTTAAACGGCTGAATAGTTCGCTCAAATATCACTTGATGAAGTCAGCTAAAATTAACAGACAGACTGTTGAAGGAAAGCTGTGAGTCGTTCACCTACAGTATCTGAAAACTGTTAAAGAAGTTCAAAGAACGCTGATAGATAACGAGCTGAAAAGTCAGCACAAAAAAAGGAGTGTGTTAAAGATACAGAAGTGAGTTAAAAGTGGAAAACAGGTTAAAAATGTAGACTAACAGGTTAAAATAGTTTCCTCAGTGGTTCTGGTTCAGCTCTTAGACGGCACACCCCGTTTACAGAGAACTTAGTCCTTATAGTGGGTGACCTGCGTTTGAATCCTGCTTAAGCCCTTTTTACTGGATCCTCTGTCCTTTACTATCACTAAAAGTTACCTGAATTACTGTATTCACTTTTTACATGGTTAAATATCATCTAAGGTTATTTTTTAGCTAAATATCTAAAACTAAAGATGAATCTTAATTTTCCTTTTCAAAGATTTTGTCTCCAATGAATAAAAAATCTAAATTATTAGGAAAGTAAAGGTGTGGTATACTGTATAATGATTGGATTAGTCAATAGTCTAAAATGAATAGATAAATACTCCAAATCATTATCTAAACTAAAATATCATTAAAACTCATACAAACACTGAACTAACGCTTCCTGGATAAACAGCTTTAAATTGTGAATATCTATGATTTACTGTCCAGCTCCTGATTTTGGAAGCGTTCGTAGTACAAATAGAAACACTAAGCTATGAGTTAATAATATTTAATTAAACTCTGAGTGATTGTACTATTTCACAAAGTCTCAGTACATCCTGAACATGCCTCAGAGTACTCTAACACATCTGTAATGATAAAAATCCTGTCCTAGATATAAACACACAATGTCACTGACGCCTCTCTGACTTTGATTCGCTCCCCTTTGAGCTTCAGCAGAGGTCACTCCTCTGAAACTTTTAATTTTTACTTTAATGGTGGTTAATAAGCTTTAAGTCTCCAACGTAAAAGGCCTGGCAGCATTTCACATCATTTCATCATGGTGCTTAAACTAGGAAATATCAATACCGCGCCTAGGAGCAACGACTCCCAATTCTCATTGGTGAAGGACAGGATTTCATGGTCAAAATCAAAGTATTTCCTCTTGCAGCAGAGCGAGAGATGGTAGAGGACTAAATGAGCCAGATCCACCCTGCATTTCAAACACACACACATACAAAAAAACAGAAAAAAAGACGGGTAAAAAACACCATATAGACGTCAAATTTCACACAGATAATAGATGTGAAAGTGAGTATCTTAAAGTGGACATCACCAGGTCATGGGAAGTCTTTGGATGGTCTCTGGTCCCTTTGTACACACTGAACACTGGAACTGATAAAACCTGAAGAGACACACGGAGAAAACATGAAAATCAGACAGAGGTCCCTTTGGAGTTTCATTAACATCTGCTTTTTTCTCGCTAAAAACAAAGACATTGTGAGCACAAGATAAAATTTGCTCCCACGAGGTGACAACTTGTGAGCAAAAGTATGATTTTGTGCACACAGTATAATTTTCTTGTGAGATCATTGTGTGTGGAAAATAATCTCTGGTGCTCACAGAGCAATTATCCTGTGGGAACATGTTATCCTCCCGTAGACCAAAGATAACAACTTATTCTCACAAGATAATTACATCCAGTGCACAAGTTATTATCAAGCATTCACAATATAGTAACTTATTCCTCCTAGATATCTAATTTGTGTGCACAATATAAAAAACAGCTTTAATCTTGAAATGCTTCATCTATAGTTTGTTAATTTAGTCCTTTTTTATGATCCTCATTTGCAGAATCTTGACATTGCTGCATTCGTTTTAATTATATTAATTCTGCAGCTTCTTTCCTGCATGCAGCTCCCTACTTTCACATGTTTTCCTTCAAATACATGCATAAAAAGTCCAAAATAAATCTCTGTGAAGAATATATTTAAACTTTCTGTTGCACTCCATGTGGACAAACCCTTATATCCTCGCTGATTTCCTCTCATTCTTGTAAAAGTGGTGCTAATCACCTAAAATCTCCTCCTTTTGTCTTTTTAAAGTTACATTTATAACTCTCTTTTAACATTTGCTGTGTTTCTTTAGCCTTTCTTCCTCCTCACAGCGGTCACAGGCATTAAAAATTAAAGTAAAGCAAATGTTGATCTTGTCTTTTATGGTCTAATTTGCAGAGATGCATCACTGTTCACTTTAGTCTGTTTTACGACCAATCAAAAGATAAAACACACTCTTATAATAACAGAGAATATGCACACACCTGCAACAGCCTAATGTATATAATGTAATGAAAGCCTGTATTGAACAGACAGCAGCCATGTATTTCACTTTGAGACATACGGAACTTTCCATTCGTCAAAATCTTTAAGAAAAATCAGAGTAGTCTGATGGACTCCTGCAGGAATAAGAGTTCTGGTTCAGCCCGGTCTGAGGGACTCTAAACCTCCTGCCAGGCGGTAAAAGTTGAGTTGGATTTGATGGTTTTGTCTAAAGCATGTTAACAATATATATATATATAAATAGCAATAAGAGTTGATCAAACTGCAGGAAACCTAACTCTGTAAGGTTGAACAGGTTTCAGCTCAAAGACTCTTACTTATTAGTCCGAGCTGATTTTTTCCCCTCATTTTCTTTCCTTTCTTCCTTTTTTCCCTCTCTCTCTCTGTGAGATGTCTCATGGTGTAAATTACTGAACTTAAGCCAGCAGGTGTGTCTGTTTCATAAAAATAACTATCTGTGCTGGGTGACCCTGAGACTCGGCTGTCAACAAAATAATGTACATCTGTCCTTTTATATGCACGTGTTCGCTGAAGGTCACTGGAAAAAATGAATAGCAGACACAGTATGACGGCAGCACACGCTTGCTATTCCAACTGTGAGCCCGGTCTTCACTCTTCCTCCATCACCTGCTCAGCAGATGTTGTACCAATCCGGCCTCGCTCTCCTCGCCTGTCAATCTAAATCTAATCCCTCCTCTTTTTTTTCCCCCGCCGTCAGACGGGTTTCAGCAGCAACACGATGTCAGGGCGAGAGTAGAAGCCAGCCGGCTAACACAGATGGTTAATGACAATAATAACTTAATGGATGGAAACATTTTATTACACGCATGAGATGCAGCCTATCAAACGGTGCGCCGCCATCAGCAGCGTGCACATTATATCTGAACTACAACCACAGAGGTGACGCGTCTGCCCTGGAGTCTGTTCCCGTCTCTTTCCTCACCTGTGCGAGCCGCTTTTGTCCTTGTAACACACGTCAGCGGGAGCATTAACATTAATTTAGTCTTAAGCTAATTAAGGTGATTCTCTGACAGGTGCTGACGTCTCCATCTGATCGTGTTCAGACGCTCAAATCTACCGCAGAGATGATTATTTTTTCTTGTCAGGTGACGGGAAGAAATTTGCAACAGTTCTGTTTTTCTGTTTATCGTTAATGATTCGTCAAAAATGTGTGACGGGAAATAGAATAAATTACATCAGTATAAAAACATGTTTAATTAAACAGACAGAGGCAGAGTGAATGGACTGATATAAATAATGGATCCAGTCATGCAAAACAAGCCGTCTGAAATTAAACATGATCGATTCAAATATTTGTACAAATGATGGAATAACTGACCCGGTGAGTGAAAACAGGCGCACTACAATGTATTAAAAACAGAGTATTGTTTTAAATCTTTATTTGTTTCTGTCATTTTTAGTTTTAATGAGCTGAAATATTTAAATTTCTTACAGATTTATTCATTTACTGACATGTTTTTTGCATTTTTTGGAATAATTGTGTGCAAATCTGCTTTTCACTTTTAGTTAAAGCTCCTGTGAGGAGTTTTTTAACGCAAGTTTTCTTCGGTATCGGCCCCTCTTTGTCTCTGTGTGTCAGTCCTGTGGTAGACCAGCGACCTTTGTAGGGTTTATTACACTGAGACCGCCTCATCACACCTGATCGATGACAGATAGGGCTGGGCGATAAACTCAGAATTTATGGATACAGAAATTTACGACAATAACCGACGTCAGTTTGCCCGTGTCAATATATGTGGTGTCAAAAAAATCAATAAAGTTGGTTTTGGACGCTGTCCTACGTCAGAGACTCCACCTTATCCAGTCCGTGACAAAGAGGGAAAGACAGGTGAGGAGATGGAGGACGGAGAGAAAGTTGTAGCGGCTGAAGTAGACGAAGTTAATGTGGGAGGGGGTGATCAGCTTGTGGAGTAGTTATCGTCCATTTATTGTTATCAAGGTGAACTGATCAATATATCGTGATATTGATTTGAGGCCATATCGCTCAGCCCTAATTGAACATATCATAGTTATGACTATTTAACCCTCAATATGATGCATCTGTGTTTTGAGTGTGACGAGACGTTCGTACGGTACTATAATGAGATTTTAACTCATCAAATATGGTACATCCCCTCAAATTCAATCATGTTAAATTAAATGCTTCGTCATATTGGACGCCCTTCCACCCTTGCTGCTCCCTTAATAGTACAGTGCATCATCTGCATAGAGTGTGATCGAAGCTGCAAAGAACTCAAGAAATTTGCACCTATTGTCCAGAAGTAGAAGTTAGTTATCGTCCATTTATCGTTATCGAGGTGAACTGCTCAATATATCGTGATATTGATTTGAGGCCACATCGCCCAGCCCTAGTGTAATCTGTGATTGGCTAAAGCTTCCCCCCAAACCACAGAAGAGTTCAAGTTAAGCAGATGTTTTTGTTTTATATACCAACATTAAGAGAAATGCAGCTCTGTGTGACTTTCACGTGCGTCCTCTAATGACTGACACAGTTGCTGGTTCGACCTCCTGCCTACGTCCGGCCCTCTTTCTCTGCTCCACGTGTCTCCAGTTTCTCTTCAGCTGTCTCTTCTAACAAAGGTGGAAAAATAACTTTGAGAAAGTACAGAGCTTTGTGCGCTGACGGCGGGTGACTCACCTGTCTCCGTAGAGTAATGGCTTTGTTAGACACTGTGTGCAGGCCTCGTGAAACCACTGACCACAGCTCCCACACTGCAGCATCTTCAGATTCCACCTGCAGACCAGCACAGAGATTAAACACCGAACTACGAACGCGGCGTAACGCTTGTCCACGTGATCTACACAGTCAAACTTAAACTAGCCTCTGCAGCGTCACTCACTCTCCAGGTCCGGCACAGTAGCAGTAACACTGCTGCTGATTGGTCAGATGCTGCGGGTCCCAGTCTAAAGACGGCAGCTGGTACGGGAGCCGGAGCTTCATGAACTGCATGAGGCGGGCGAAGCGTCCCCGTTTCAGCGCCCCTCCTCTCTGAAAACACAATTTTAGGGACAGAGCTGATTAGGCGGTGACCCCTCAAATCACTGTCATGTCGGCACAGCGGGGGGAGACGGATCACATTCGGTGGCGAGAAAGCGATTGGTTTCATTGTAGGTCGGCTGTGAGAGATAGTGTCCGAAGCGGCGGCAGACTGGACAATGAGATACGGACGTTGAGCGATTGACAATTAAGCGGCGGCTTTCTCATCTCACATCAACAGAACTGGAGCACATGTGATTGATCGACTTTAAATGTACTTCTCTCAACTTGAGGGTAATTTTTCTGCTTCATAACTATTGATTCCTCATGATTTCTCGGACACAGTGTAGAACATCTCATACTGAAGCCAATACTTGGTGAATTAGAGCATTAATGCATTGAATAAACCCATTTCGGCTGTGCACAACCCTATAGGGGCAGCAGAGCCTGATATATTTGACCGTTTTTTCTTTTTTTTCCAAATTACACACTGAGAGTATGAGACGGAGAGATTAGCAGCCTGACCTTGGTTGAGACGGCAAAGACACATTGCCGACATATCCACGAATCGCTGTCGGCTTCCGGTTCGATGGTTGGCGTGTGGCACTCTGGATGATAACCTGTAATAGGAGGAGGAGACCGAGCGTTTAATTCGTGTTTGCAAGACAGACAGCCGGAGTGACAATAATGGCAGAGCAGCTCAAATGTTAGTGTTCTGATGGTTTGTTTCAGCAGCGTGCAAAACGTTTGACTTTACAATTTGCATCTCGGGAGCAGAGCGGATGTTTGCCTGCCTTTTTTTTTCCTCAAAACAAACTGTCAGCAAACCTCTCCGTCTGAAGCCGTGAAGACGCTGAAATCCTGCCTGTGCTGAGTGTTTGTAAAACTTCTCCCCACTTCATTTCATCATAATACTTTTTAAGTCCCCCTCTAGTCAAAAATGTGTTTCCATTATTGTAACCTCATTTCGCCGTTTGAGCTTCGCCGTGCAGAAAGATGCGTGCGAACAAACCGACACTAGAAGATTGTTTTCGCATTCGTGAAAGTTTCTCTGAGCTCGATTCCAAACGGATCTCGGGGCATTCGCATAAGAGCCTTTATGAAGCTTTGTACGCTGCTGTTCGCGCACTTTAAACGAGTCTTTCTGCAGACTTTCAAGTCGAGTCGGAGAAGGTCACACACAGATTCTTCCTCTTCTTCCACGTCTTGGTGGTATTATTGTAATCTTTTGTTTGGTGTTGGACAGCTGTTTGCAGACGCACAGATGATGAGAGCGGATCCTTCCAGTACTTCCTTCATTTCAATAGATTTAGGATCTAATTTCAGATTCTATTACATGTTTTTTAAACTTTTCATGGAAGTCACATATTTTTGCAGTATAGCCTTTAATATATGAACCTCTTAGACCCTTTAAATTTTAATCATCATTGCCTGAAACATGTTTTCATATCAGCTTTAAATACGAGCTGAAAGTGACATCCTGACACTTGATGTGCTCTTGTTTATTTATGTTTTTTGGAACCATATTCAATATCAAAAATGTGCTTTTTAAGCTCGAACAACACTGTAGTTGTAGTTTGACATAAATGCAATCAATAGTCATTGATTATATACAATTGATTAATATAGGATGAGATTTAATCATAAATTGTTTAAAACTTTTAACTTTTAAGACTCCTTATTTTGAATTGTGTCTTCCAAATAAACTGTGATAGTCTTTGTTTCAGTGCTGATTAAGGAGACTTAACGTAGACCTCTTTTCTGATCCTTTTTCTGAGCAGGTGTGGAGTTTTCTGAACAAAAATCTTGTCGCATTTCCTCTAAACAATGTCAGCGTGCTGCTCGCTGTAAAACTTTGGCAGGTGAAATGTCTTTGAGCTTTAATCTACTGCAGTGGAGTCTAACCCGGTGGAAGGTGTGACAGGTATGAGAGTGAAGAAGAGAGAAGAAGACAAACTGAGTAAAACAGGAACTTTTCCAAGATAGTCTGGTCTGATTTCACATCTCAACAGGATGTATAAATACTGAGTCTGCCTCATGACACCTGACCGGGATCATTCAGGTCATTCATTTGCAGTTCTTAGTTGACTTTTTTGCCTGTTTTCAAAGCTTTTAGGTCAACTTACACAATTTTGAAAGCACGACAATAATAAATTGGGGCCAGATCGCCAAACTGGTTTGATGTGGGCGTGGCTAAATGGCGTAATGGGGTCCGCTACACACTTTTAAAAAGTTCAGCCCCAACTGTGCATTCAGCCGCTTATGTCTCATGCCTACGCCTACAAAAAAGTGTCATGGACCTTTATTGGAAAAGCAACAGGAAGTCGGCCATATTGAATTTTGGTAAAAACTGGCGACGTTTTAGTCATCTCCATAACGAACTCCTCATCAGATGAGCTCCTCAAAACTAGAATAACCTGAAAGATAATAAGTTTTTGTGCCTCAAAGGATGGCTAACCGATGTTTGGGAGTAGTTGATTTTTAACTTTGGATTTATTTCTCCGATCCACGTCAAATTAAAGACCGGATCTTTAGCTTGTGGACAAAACTCTGGCGATGGTAGCTTTAGACATTTCTTTAACTCCTCAAACATTTCATGTGAGGTTAGAGACACTTCCTGTTCACATTTATATTCCCGTTTTGCATTTTTGTCATAGCGCCACCTGCTGGTAAGAGGCAGTAAACCTTACATTAAACAGTTTTAATAGGATAACAGAATTTACAACACTCTCTGGAGACAGTGTGACCGTCTTTAATCTGATAAAAACAGAGACGTTTCCACGACTTGAATCAAACGCTGACATACGCCAAAATGTGACGGCCCGCTCAGCCCGTGTTTGTTTGACGAGTCGTTAAAGAAAAATCCTCACAGCACGTTAAAGACTATCAGTAAACCTCCACGTCGACAAGCGTCCCATTTTTACAGTTGACAGGATGCAATAACTCACGCCTATCACTCACGACAAATGGTGTCCTGTTGTTGTTTTCTGTTAAAGCTCCAATGAGGAGTTTTTAGAAGGTAATAAAATGGAGTCGAACTGATACTGGTGGTTCTCCGTGACCTACAAAAGCAGACAACACCATTTTTATGACGGTGTTTAACATGCCTGTCAGTCCAGAGACAGATCGAAACGATTAACACCACGACTGGGACTCATTCTGCACAAAAACCGACACAAACCAAAGGTTCCTCACAGACGTTTTGGAGCGAGAAACTGTACTAAACCGGACCGGGTCAAAACCACAACAACTTCTGATGAGACGTTTGTTCTTACCGTGGCGACACTTAAGACAGTTTATGAGCGGCTCTTTGAGAGGAGGAGCGTCACAAATACAGCAAACTTCTTCCACTCCGGCAGCAACTGGCACAAAGAGACGAAGACAGACACAGAAAAGAAAGAAAAGAGAGAGAGAGAGAGAGAAAAGGAGAGCAGTCAACAGCATTAATTTATGTATATTGATTCACATCCTTGCCACCTCATTGATTTCAGTGTCTCCTGCACCCTTTTAGTTTTCACTCCATCTGACGGGCGGATATTCAGCCTGCTTCTAACAAGCGTCCAACTTCCCCTCCTTGCGCTTGATGTTGAGGTGGATTGGGGGCGCCATTTCCCAGAGGAGTCATTAGTCTAATAAATTCATAAATAGACTCTAATACGGCAATTACATCTCAATGTGGCCCCGATCAGAACACTCGGAGCGCCGAGCATCACAACCTTGAACGTGAGCGTAATATCTGCTCTGGATTTTTCTTGGAAGACAATTCAGAGGGAAAAAAAAGTGCGAAATATCTCGAAAGTTTTACACAAGAGGGGGAAGAATCAGAAATGTACCTCTTTAACTCCTCAGGCAAAGTTTCAGAGTTGGAGGAGAGAGCGGAGCACCTGCGCATTCAGGAACTCAAACTAGGAGCGTTTTCAGACATTAAGTGCCCCAAATAGGAAGCTATTTACTCCTCTAGCTGTGAGGAAAGAAAAAAGAGTTTCTCTTACACGAGTGAATGTCCTTCCTCAGCACCCAGAACTCGGAGTTGTCCTCAAATCTCACCAGACAACATTGCTTGACTCCATCTACCTGAGAGGGAGATAGCAGGTGAGCGGAATGATTGACAAAACTAAATGGAAGTCTTTTCTCACACACACACACACTCTCAAAAGTCTCTTCTTTCTGTCACACACACACACATGCACTTACTCTTTTCACATTGCCGAGGTACAGTAGTCCATCACTCCATCGAGCCAACACATCATCTCCTTCACTTACTCCCCCCATCCTGAGGAGAGAGACAGAGAAGGGGGAGAGAGGAGGAGAGAGAGAAGGGCTCATGTGAAATGGAAATCCGATTTATTCGCTGAATACTTTGCTGCTGTTGCTGACAGAGGGGTTTATGGCCCCGGATTTCTCTCTCTTTTTCTTTTTTTTTCCGGCTGGCTCTCAGACAGGCGGGCTTTTTCAGTGCAGAGGGGTTAAAATCTCTACCCTCCTCCTCCTCCTCTCTTCTCCTCATCCTCCTTTTAGACCAGAGCATAGCGACAGCCTGTATCCACCACAGTGAAAGATGAGAGTGAGTACACAACCGGAGAGCAAGACAAATGATTACTGCACACATGAAACACACACACACACAGGAGCGCTCACAGACAAAACACTGCATGATGACTGCTGCAAGATTGAATGAGCTAAGATGACTTAAAGCGGGCACTTTGCAGCTTTCTTCTTCTTCTTCTCCTAACATCTTAAAAACTTGAATAGATGCATGAAATGACTGTGCAGGCTTTATCTCTGCACATTTGTTCCAGTGCATGCACTCAAGTCAAGACAGACGCAGGGTGCAAAAACAGTGTGCGTAGCCTTTCTGTGAATCAAAAATAAGGCAATTTGGTGAGAGGAAGCTTGCCGGTGAAGGGTACCTGTCAAGTCGAACTCCTTTCCGTCGGGGTCACAGTGATTCCTGGGCAGCCTGGACATGAAATGCCCTCATCTGCTGTGGATCTCCGCTGCCCAATTACTGCCCGCTCGGATGCGCAGCGTGTGTGTTTGCAAAAAGTGGATGATGTGCATGTATGTCCCTGTCTGTGCCAAGCGCCAGTGTGTGTCAGTCAAGCCGAGGAGGAGGAGGAGGAGGTGGAAGAGGAGGAGGAGGAGGAGGAGTGGAGAGGAGGAGGGGGGGAATGAGACTGACTGACTGACTGTCCGTCCGTCTCTCAGCCTAGTTTGTCCGTCCTCCTCCGCTGTGCCGTTTCGTCATGTCCCCGTCTCTCTCGCCCTCCTCTCCCCCTCTATTGATGCTATTAAGGCGGGTTTCTGTCGGAGCAGCACCGGAATCAAGCCGCCAGAGACGCCATCATCCCTGCCTCGCGCTCTCCACCGACTTGTTGTGACGCAGACATAAAACACCGAGATAGAGTGGGAGGGAGATACTGATAGAAGAGGGGAGGAAGAGGAGGAGGAGGCGGTGGGAGAAGAGGAGGAGGAGGGGAGAGAGAGAGGGGGAGAGCAGCACCTTCCCCGTCTGAGGAGGCGCTGACCCTAAATCGTTGTGACAAGGTGGGATTGTGATGTCTGGCGGGCAGCGCGAGGGAGGGACGGCGGGGTGACAGGAGCCAGTGGGAGCAGCGCGCGCGGCGACAGGGGCCAATTAAGCGTTCAATTAATGAGTTTAGCCGCCTCATTAGCTTGTTTCAAACAAGAGGGAGCAGCCGAGGGAGGAGGTGGAGGAGGAGGAGTGTGGAGGAAAGTTTGCTCACTGAGGTTGTCCCGGAAAGAAACGCTCAACACTTCGACTCTGTCCAATAAAAAGCTTTTAAAATGTTAATTAATCTCGAATTAAAACAGATTTAAGTGGAAAATCTGAAAGGTGATTGGACTGCTAAACATCAAATGACCCTCCATATAACCCCCACTCCCACCCTGCTGCACTCTGCTCCTGTTTTTACTACTTTTATGTGTAAATAAGTACATTTATCTTTTTATATATACTTTTATTTATTTGGTTTTTATCCCACTACCTCCAGAAAGTGCAACATTACTCACCATGCTGCTATTTTAACCTTAGTTTTTATAGTTTTTTTTCTGTATATTAAATAAAAACACCATCATGCTGTGATATGGAAGCCATATGTGCTGTGTTTTATTTTGTGTAATGACAAAAAAAGAAAGTCTAAGTCTCTATCCAGTACCATCTGTTCTGACACCAAAAATAGCTGTTGAAGGACGCTGTAAAAATAAAGTTTCTAATGGAAAAAACTCAAATTCAGGAGGTGTTATGAGCCCATTCAGCTCTAAAATATCTTACAAAAAGTTTTTTAGATGTAAATATGTTGGGTAAATGTACATCTTTTGCGAAACATCCAGGAAAAGTGCAACAATTTAATGCTCTAATTGCTTTTGCTTGAACTTACGGAGTCCAAAAAAAGTATGATTTGTATGTTATTAATTGATGCACACCAATTTGATTATCTTGTGCACAGATGTTAATATTTGAGCACGTCAGATAAATTTTAACTTGCACCCACAAGATAATCATATCATAAGCATTAGTTAATTTTACTATAATAGAAAAAAATACTTGTTGGGACTTCAGGGTCTCCATACAACCTAAAGTCAAAGGCTGAAACTTAAATATCCAGCAGAAACAGTTAAAGTTTTAGTCACAAACCAAAGCCACACATTACTGCAAATAATCACCAAAGACCTTCAAACCTTTAAAGCACAGCCAACATCAGTTCAAACATGCTCCACAAACCCTCACGCATTATTAAATTATAAAGTGGTTAAATTGAGCTCGGTGCACACTAAATAATACTCACAGTTTCTCGGTTTCTTTGGATGAACAACGTTTCAGCTGCAGGCGCTCGTCCAGCTCAAGGTGTTTGTTTATTTCCCCATGTCGGTGTCTCTTTCTGTTTATTTACGTCTTGCACATTACTCACACCAGCCAAGCGTGTGGGAAAACCGTGCGGTTCAAAATGGCCCCTGGCAGATTAAAAAGTGTTAAATTGGACAGTTCCAGCCGTCACCACTAGGTGGCGAGCAAATACAAGAGCTACAGCTGCACTTGAATCACCCTGGCGGTCCGTCTGGGGGATGTTCAGGGTCATGAAGTGCATTATGTTGAGGCGTGATGAGGTTTTTATGCAGTAGATCATGTGTTCAGTAATGCACAGGGTCTTTGTGTTGATTTTTTATAATTTTCCACTCGTTTCCATGTTATTATTTTATCTAATATCTGTATTTGAAGTTTTTTTTTAGTCTGCATGATGAATGATGTCACCCACTTTACATTAAGACTGGATTAGATGACTCAAGAAGCTGGTTTGTCTCAGTCAAAAACATGTTTTAAAGTGATTGGAGTACATACAAATCCAAGTTTTGTTAACTCTTACAACTGTTGTAAGCAGAAACTTTAACATTTCTTTGGAAGTCTGATCAGATATAAAGCATCAGGTGATTAATAAAAGTTTATCTGCAGAGTCAAGCAGGACACAGATGTGATTAGTGTCATAAGACCCTGGAAAACGCACTTAATAGAGAGTGGGAAAAAGTAACTTGAAAACAAAAGATTGAATTAAATTTGGACTTTTCTCCTTATTTGTTACAGAGAATAACAAAGTCAGTTTACTTGAGTACTTAAGAACAGTTTTGAGTATCTTAACCCTAGTTGAGCATTACATTTTGTGTGGAAACTTGTTATTTTAACTCCGCTTCAATTGAAAGATAAATAAAGACCGTCAACTGTGTTTGTGTAATTTCTGTGTGTAGTTGCAGGTTGGTTAAACATACAGCAAACGTCACTCAGATCAGGCATTTCATATAGAGATAATAATGATGATTGCATCAGGGGAGGACGATCCCCTTCCTGAGCACACATGGTCATTTCTGAAGCCAGTATCTAGGTTTTAAAATAGGTTTTAAAATAATAGTGCACCTATTTTTAAAGATTTTTTCAACAAGTATAGTTTGTTTTTTTTTATTGTTACAGCTGGTAAAAATGGAGTGACTTTTGCATACTGGCTAAACTGTTTTGGGCAATTTAACACCAAAATACAACTTTCTTTTCAGAAGTTGTTACTGCTTTTGGTGCACAAGGACTGTTATGGAAAGAATTGACTGATCACTGTCAGTGTAAGAGCAGATACAGAGAGATTTAAAAGTGCTTTATTGCTGCTGAGAAGCTCTGGAGTAGTGAACATTTTAATTTGTCTCTAAAACTAAGATTGGGAGTATCAGAAAAACAAAAATGTAGTCCTTATTTTTTAACAGAAGTGGGTTTGAACTCAGGGTTGAATTGAGGATTTTCTTGGTGTGTAATAAACCTGGAATGTACTAGTAGGGGAGACCAGGGCTTGTTGTCACACATTTTACACTCTTATATTTCTTGGAATCAATACATTGACATCAAAGTCCTTTATTGTCCTCCAGATTGATTTATAGCGAGGGTCACCTGTCTGACTGCTCTCAGCATCACGTCAGGAACTGCACTGACATGTTCAGTTTTTCTTTAGTAAACCCTGACCATGTCGTCTCGCTTTCTCCTCTCCACCACTCTTTTTTTCTGTAAAAGTCAAAATTTCTGTATGACAACTGCTGATAAACAGACTCCATGTTCATTTTAATCCCTTTAAAACATGTGACAACTAACCCCAAAATGACTGAGAAATGTTTCCCCAAATTACCATGTTTGCTAATTAACTAATTTGCTTAAAGTTCGCTTAAAACAGAACGCTGACTGAGGTTTGACAGGATGTCTTAATCTCTCCTCTAACAAGTCCACATGTATCACTGTGAGGGTTTTTATCTGGAAGAAGCTTATTTTAGAACATATAAAGTTAAAGTTTTTTACTTTGGGTTGTGTGAAACGGTTCATTGGCGCTCATCTCAGCTCAAAATGTGCTCTTCTCTTCTCGGACAGGACACGACCCCGGACCATGTAAAGTAGAGGATGACATTTTTCGGGAATTCCCGCGGGAATCCCACGGGATGGGAGTCATTTTTTAATTAATCCCGTGATCGGGATGGGACGGGAAAAAAAGCAACGTAAGTGGGCAGGAGCGGGGACAATATTAATAGATGATCCCTTTTAGCCGTGTTAAACAACCGGATGAACAAATGCGTCCATTTTTGTAGTCATCTCTCAGTGAGAGCCAACACTCTTGACCGCGCTAGCAACACAAAAGAACTACAACAGTGGTTTGACTTCCTGTCACCACCGGAAGTGAAAAGGCTGCAACCGGCGGCTGTGACCGGCGGCTGTGACCGACCGCGACTTGGCTGCCACTTTTACCTAAAATAAAAAATGCAACGTTTTTTCAACATGTCTGGTTTTATTCTAACGGGAGCAGGACAGGAGTGGGAGTAATTTTGAGTGGGAGCGGGATGGGAGTGAGAGTCATTCTACGGGAGTGGGACAGGACAGGACTAATTTTTTTACTTCGGTTACTCCAGGATTGGGATGGGACGGGACAGGATTTTTTCCTCTGGGAGTGGGACGGGACAGGAGTGAAAATCCGCTCCTGTGTCATGCTGTAATGTAAAGGAAGAAAACTTGAATTCCACTTTTTAGTTGCGCCCTCTGGTGGCAAAGCAATTGGTAATTGCAGTGTGACAACAAGCCCCGGTCTCCCCTACTAGTATCTGAGATTAAATACAGCTGAATAGATGGTTAAAGAGAGCTTTGTTAAAGGTTTTCCCCCTATTTCATTTGTATATTGGATTAGTCTGACATTAGAATGAACAGAAGTTTATTTTTTAAAAGGTAAAAAGTTAGCTTTAGTTTTTTAATATAGTGATCAAATACTGGGTTATTGATAGGTTGTATTGATTGGGTTAGATGAGGTGAAGAGGAGCACTACAACTGGCTCCGTGCATGCATGCGTGCTGCAGACGCGTGCCTGTACGGAAGTGCGTTTTTTTTTTTTTTGCGCGTGATGTATGTCTGCCTCTCCCTCGGGTCCCTGAAGTGACATTTCCCCGGAGGAGCGGTGCACGGAAGCCGGCTCGGTGCTCAGTATCCTCCTCGGTTCAGTATGCGCCACCCACAGAGTGAGAGCTGTTAGCATCATAAAGCGCTCAGAGCTCAGACATAACACAACATAATACTAGAGAATACAGGAACTGCGACGGAGAGAGAGAGAGAGAGAGAGAGAGAGAGAGAGAGAGAGAGTTTACCGAGCAAAGTGCGTTATCAGCTGCTGCACAGACAGGCGGTGTTGGAGGTGTAGAAAGAGAGAAAGAGAGGGTGGAGGTGTAGGAGGAGGAGGACAGACGGAGCTCTCTCTCCTTCCTTTAGTCGTTGTCGGTGACGGTGTCGGTGATACAGATGGGTGCGACTCTCCTCAGCACGCGCCGGGAGCACGAGCGGTCCCCCCCTAATGCAGCCTGAATCCAGCTGCGAATGACTCTCTGCTAACAGTAAGTTCAATTACATCTCCGCCTTCATTCCTCTTCGACTTATTTCTTCATTTTATCGCCTGTTTTAAAGAACACCGAGAGCCTGAGTGACACAGTAGGAAGCAAATGTCATCATGTGTCCCTCCTGTGTTGTAATGAGAGCGTCAGCACGTACAAACTTTTACAGCCTCCATACTGTTTCAGGCTTCATCCACCTCTTTTTATCAGCTGCTATCATTAGAGACTGTGCTTATCTGTGGCAACACCGCGCTACGGCTGCTGTTATTGGGCAGAAAAAGGAGCATTCTGGGGTGTGACTTCACTGTAACCTAGTTACAGCTGTTTGTGTGTACACCTCAGTCATATGCAGGCTGTTTGCTCTGGTCAGAGGCAGTGAATAGGAGGCATTCAGACTTGGTCAGAGCACAGACTGGCCTGTTTATAACTTGTTTCCCCTGCAGGCCTGCATGTGCCCTCTCATTCTCTTTTCATAAGCGTAAGTACAAACCAAAATGAATTGATGAATGCATGTAAAAAAGAGAGAGTTAAGCATCGCTGGAGTCCAAAAAAACAAAGGCACAATGGAAAGTTGGGAGTGCCAGAACATTTTTTTTAAGTCACCCTCGAGGCTTTTTAGCTCCTGCTCTTTCTTACCCAGAGAAAGGCTGTGAGAGTCGGCAGGGGGTCCTCAGGGGATTGATTCTGCTGGTGTTCAGTTACAGCAGCTACCTGTTAGCCATCCTGCAGGTTCTGCAAGTTTAAAAACATAACATTATCAGGATTTTAGAGCTTCAGCGGCTGGTTCTGTGTGTCTCTATTCGACATTTTCCCAGTGCTTATCCTGTATCGGCCTCTCTCCCTCCTTCACCTCTCTTCCTGAAACAGTGTTTACTTGATGTCTATCTTCATGGCAATCCAAATAGCAAAGAAAGGAAAGGGAAATAGCAGGAGGGGTGACCATGCAAATCCTGCCCTGCTGCTGCTGCTGCTGCTGTGGGGCAGACGGACGTGTTAAACAAATGAAATACAACATGCCCTCGCTGTGGTGTGGATCTCTCATGTGAAACGTTTTGAATTTGCTCTCAGATGTTGGGTTCAAGTGTTTCCAACACCTACAAGAGTCAAAGCGTGCCAGATAAACTTGATAAACTTTATTTTACTACAATCCTGTCGCTGTTTTTATCCTCTAAGGCAATGAGGAATAGTTTCTGTGGTACCCTATGTAAATAAAATTCAAAGTGCTTCACATAAACTGACATTAAAAAAACAAATTTGGCATCAGGTTTTCTTTTGAAGTAGATTTTGATCACAGCGAAGATCGTGTGTTTTTTCACTCATGATTGACATTGAAAGAAGATTACAGGGACAGTTTCATGGCAGGTATGAAAACCACAGAGAACTCGCTCTGGTTACATGACAATTGTATTACATTTTTTTACCTAAACCTTAAATGACAGGATGGTTAACACACAGTAAAATAAATAGCATTTGAAGGGAGAAGACAAAATAGAACTTTAAAGACACAGTGAGGAGTTTTAACTGGTTTCAGATAAGTTTCACTCTTATATTGTTGATTTCTTATGTTCTATAGAGTCAAAAAGGGATTATCGGCAACAAAACAGATCATTTATACTCTATTTCAGTGCTTGTTTATGTTTTTATTCTTGTTTTAAATGTCCAGCTGATATTTTGTTAAGAGCTCAGCTGGTAAAGTTTGGCAGGAGGACTTCTTCTGTTATCATAACAAACTGACAAAAAGTCACACGCTTGCAGGTGACGTAATGTTTTGGACAGAGGAACTCCACAAAGAAAGGACAAAGTGTCTTTAACCCCTCCTATTGTATGATAAGTCACCAAAAGACCACCAGGACCGACTCTTAAACATGCAGCCAAGAGGTGACCTCGCCGGTTTAGCCATGGTGCTGATATCACACCCTTTCTACCAACCAAAACACACTTTAAACTTTCCATTAAAACTTTGAAGATCCTTTAGGTCGGTATGGTCCTGATCCTTGTGTTGATTAGAGGCAGACTCTCAGTTTTGGAAAGTTTAACGTCTCTTACATTTGTGTGTTATTCATGTTTTCTCTTGCTGTTCCTGCTGCAGGAGCCTCATTGGTAAACTCAGCTGTCAATCAAAACATCTTTTTAAAATCAAATAAGTGATTAGAAATAATCATCTCAGAAAAATAACCTTGTAGACATAAATCGTCATGATGAGAACCATCCATGAACATATTTGATGTATGTTTTAGTCTTGTAGTTTGACCCACTAGCATAAGGAGGGCAGGATTATAACTGTGTTCAAGTTTCCTCAGAAGTCAGATGTAGGAACTGGAAATGACGTCATGCCCGAGTTACCAGAGTTTCAGTTACCAAGTCGGACAAAAGTAAATTCGGAGGTGGAAACAAGATGGCTACATCTACAAAAGTTATTTTAGCACTTGCCTTGTCCTTGTTATATTCAGACAATAACTTTCGTAGATGTAGCCATCTTGTTTCCACCTCTGATTTTGACTTTTTCCTGACTTGGTAACTGAAACTCTGGTAACTCCGGTGTGACGTCATTTTCAGCTCCGACTTCTGACTTCTGAGGTAACTCTAACGCACCATATGACCTGTTACACTGCAGCAGACCAGCAGGGGGAGCTCTAAATGTTTTGGCTTAAAAAGTTTGTTAAATTACAACTACAGCTGCTTTTTTGAGTTGATGTAAATATTGTATTTTGTATTGAATGTGCCTCTAATACCCGTGTCTTTAAAAAAAAAATCTGTATTTTATTTTAAGTGAAAATTAAAACCCTGACTGAGGACAGAATCAGACCTGTTTCAGTTTGAAACCTGTGGCGCCGGTGCTGCTCACTTTGGTCTCTGATTTATAAATGAGATAAAAATTTAAATACTTTCCTCAAGCAGGTTTAAATTTAGACGTTTGCGTTCATTTCTGTACACCAGACCATGAAACACATCCTTTCTCTGCTCTCCTCCCGTCTGACGCAGCTGGCACCATGCTCCCCCGAAACATGCGAACAGGTGGTTATGACCTGCCGGGGGTGGAGTCAAGCGAAGTGCCCCTTATTGGCTACAGGCCGCTGTCACCTGACTCTGGCGTGAACCAATCAGGAAGGAGAGGCAGCAGAGATGAGGTGGAAACTTCACAGGTGAGTGTTGGGCTCTCGCCTTATTGAAACACATCCATCACTGAGTCAGCTGAGCGTGTTACACAGAGATATGAAGAACCACGCTCTCACGGCTCTGCTGTTTGTGTTGTTTTAGCGCTGATAATCTCCCCGGCTGTTACATACTTTATTAGATTTTCCTGCAGTGTGAGCTTTTATTTCTCATGATTCTCCTGGCAGACACAGCTAGCAGTGTGAGTGAAAGCTGTGTTTGAGTCCCAGTTACTTGGATCAACAGCAGATGTGGTAGACTCACTGCGAGGGGATTGAGTCAGTGTGATGCAACAGAGAGAGACAGAGATGAAAGTCCAGGATTTGAATAACACTTTTGGGGCTTTCCCACCGAGAAAACCCCAGAAATGTTGTTATTTTCTTAAACTAAACTCAACAGGTAAAATGAACAGATTTTAGTTTCTCTAGTTTCATTGTAGATTTCATAACAGAACTGCTGAACTGCATGATTGCAGAGATGTTGTCTGTACTAATGCAGGAGATGAAGTCATTATGTTACAATCAGGCAAAAACGACCTATCAATGCTCGACTGATATTTGCTTTTCATGGCCGATACTGATACAGATTATTAGCAGCTCATGGGACCGTTAACAGATATTTGGTATCAACTATATTTGCAGCAGAAACGACTATCTCTCTATCAAAACTCAGAATTTGAAATATCACAAATATAGCCGTAGCTCAGGCTGATATTTTGTCTGTCCAATGGGAATGCAGCACTCAGAGATTTTGATGGTAGGAGTGCAGATGTTCTGCACAGTAATAAAACTCAAAATAATGAATCTCCTTCTTGGTTTTGGAGCATAGTGGACACGTTTGAAGTATCTATAATACTTTAACAGTGCTAATCAATCCCCGTGGAAATCAATTAAGCCCATTAAATTGCAGTTAATTAAATCCCACAGTGTCTATGTGATGACTATCTTAGTGTTTTACAAGCTAATTCAACCTACAGGGCGTAGCGTTTACTCCTCACAGACAGGAGGAAGTGATGTCAAATGGTCGGGTACCAAATCCTTTGAGTGACTGTCTCCTCCTCTGTCGTTTGTGTATTACCTTCACTTCAGCGTACGGTGCTGCTGGGTCAAGTTTGATGTGTTTGACTCTTTAGTTTCGCAGACAGGTGATCTGTTCTCTCGAATATCTCTGTGGTCGATTTAATTTCCCCAAAATATCGCCACCGTGGAGACTTTTGGATTTCTGCCCAGCTGTACGAAAAAATACACAAGGCAAATATAAACGTAATAGTTTTCTTTTTCCCTCTATCTCAGATATGTGATCTTTATCTCGTATCTTGACATGTTTTGGCGAAAAACTTGTGAAGAAGGCGGAAGTTTCTGCCAAAACATGTCAAGGTGAAAAAGATGACATGTCTGAGATAAAGAAAAAAAAGAAAACTATTTCTAAGAAACTGAAGACATTATGAACATCATTTAACGAACAAATATAAATGTAATTATCACTAGTAAACATTATTAATCTATACATAATAATCATCAGAATTTATATTAAACACTCACCGATCTTGGATTTTTACATTCTGGCAAATACATTTTATATTTAGAAAGATACCATTGAATCGGCATAGTGAGGGCAGATGCAGATATGACATAGATTACAATAAAATGCCGTTAATCGGCCTGATTAATCGGTCTCTCTTCAATTAAGATTTGCTTTTTAAAATAATTTGTAATAATGATAATAATAAAGTCCTTGAGTACATTTTCCCACCAAACATCAGACGTCGAAGAGACGTGCAGATCAAGTCAGTATTGGGTCGGTCCATCAAAGACCAAATCTAGACGTCAGTTCGGCGTGCAAAATAAGTTAGAAATTTCGACGTCTGACGTTTAGAATTTGGACGTCGTCTGAAGACCAAATCTAGACGTCGGCACAACGTGCAAAATAGATCCAAGATTTAGACGTCACTATTGGACCTCTTTCAGACGTTAAAATGACGTCCACATTTGTACCTCAATGTCAAAAAAATACGTTAAATAGATGTCACTTCGACGTCGCATTGCGCAGTGGGTTGGTTGATTAATAATGCAAACTCTCTCGTCAGCCTCAGATTTACTTCATCTCTAAATCTAAATATCAAGTTTTAGCCTGTTAACACCAAACTATTTAAACCGACTCAGTATCAGACCCTCAGTCTTGCTTGTAAATGTGGTTTTTAACACACTTTTCTGCATTTAAGTTCATTTAAGTTTTTTCCTGGCTTGTACACAGTGACTATCTCCAGGCTGCAGTCTGTAATAATGTGGACTAAAGCTGAACCAAATAGGAGGAAGTGAAAAGGTTCATGACACTCGTGGATTTCCCATGACCTTTCACATCTGTTAATATTTAGCTTTGGGCCTCATCGTTATCTAAAGTGAAAGGAATTTTTAAAAACAGTATAAAATATCTTCAGCCAAGGATGAATTTTCTTCTCTTTTGTTCATGTGCTGTAAATCTTCAGGCGTCAGCAGCTAAGTAGGTAACATTTTCACTGAGTCACACTGATCTACTGACCCAGTCTCTCACCCCCATGACACATGACCTGCATAAAGAGCTCTGTTTTTACTTCACACCGAGCCTCAAGAGCCTCCTCGCTGCTAAAAAAAGACCTCGCACTGTCTGACTGTCTTTCCGAATGATCAGACGTCCTCGGTGCTGCTCACATGGCAGCTGTTGGACCTCACAGTAAATAATGTATGTGGTGGTTTTGGCTGGCTGATGAGACGTACACCTGCTCGCCCTACAAACAGGGATCTAATATCACAGGCCGTCTCTATGGAGAGCCTGTGGAGTGAAATCCAATACGGCTTCATGGAGGAAACTCGGATATGTGGGTCAGGATACGTGAAGTGACAGGCTCGAGGCTGTGAGGTTAAGGCAACACAACACAAAGTATCTTTTCATGCTCGGTTTCATTAATCCTGGTTCAAGATGATAGGATGCTTTTCAGATTTGGTGGCGTGTTTCTGTGACGGCGAAGGTTTCACTCGTTGACTCATCGTAACAACATCCCTTTTCTTCTTTTATGTCAAATAAATCACTCTTACAGAGTCACCTCAATTCAGATTAGACTCTGTCTTGACTCGGCATCACGGCTCTGAAGTAAAAGACACATCGGTCCTGACCTAAACAAAACCAGCAACCTGGAAAACGGACGGCGAGGACGAAGAAAGGAGGTGTAAGAAGGCAAAAATGTTTAAAGTATGTGCAGGGGTGAGTCAAACAGGCAGACATCGAAGAGATAAGGCCGATATCTTTTTAATACATGATCCATTGAAAAATGCAGGGAGCTCCTTGTGGTTAATGGTGGACATGTGATTGAGACATAGTTTCTTCGATTGTGATGTTGGAAAAGGTGTGCTGCAGGCGGTGCCCCGAGTCATCCTCTTCCTGTCTGTATCATAAACTTTAAATCATCATGTCCCATCACGGCTAAATCCCACCGGATCTGAAACGGCTGCGCTCCGCTCCGGAACAACAGCCTGATCAAATACGCAAACATTATAACCAATGTGCGAGATTCCACACAATACGTCCGCCTTCTTCACGTGGTAATGGGAGGGGCCAGGGTTGTGGGATGTGGGTGTTTATACACACCGCCGATCTCATTCAGTGTCTCACAGGGAAACACGTGAGATCTCGTGAGAACTCGTCCAGTCTGTCGAGAAATATTGGTAATATCGCAAACGCTTCTTCTTCACTTGCAGCAGGATCGGATCCGATGGGCGCTGTATGCTTGTGTTTTTGAGTCGCCTGCTGTTCCGGAGTGGAGCGTAGCGGATCTGCATGCGGTTGAATCTCGGCATTTGAGTCACTAATACTCAGTCTTTTCTGGGAGTCCTTGAGCTCCATCATGCCGTAGGCTCCTCTGGATCGCTGCTGCAGACATGGACTTTTTTTTCCTGCTCATGCAACAACCTCCCCTCTGTCCTCTCTCTCTCTCCTCTCTAAATTCATCTCAGTCTCAGCAGATGACTGTCTAACATGAGTCTGGTTCTGCTCGAGGTTTCTACCTGAAAGCACTTCACTCATGTGGTTGAAGATGGGTTGGGGAAGTGAGTCTGACTTTGGGCTGTAAAGTTTGATTGGTTGACTCAATTTTGTTCCGTGTCAATTTACAGTCAATGGTCAATTTTATCAGGAGGAACGTACCAAGTCCTCATGAGGGTGTTTTCAGAGCACCCGCTTTTCACAGGTAACGGCCTGTCTCAGAACACCCCCCCCTGTTTTCACCATTTTGGATTCGCCCAACCCACTGGAGACCGTCTGGAGACGAAGATTAGAGAGTGACCACTCTAATCAACGTTCGGTGGTTTGCTGAATCTGCCTTCTTGTGCTGATATCAGTATATTTTCACCCAACCTGCTGCAGAAGGGTTTGCCGTCAGAGTCGAGAAAAATCCCCCCGATTGGTCGATTTTTGGTAGAAAACTTCAGGGTTTTAGTTGACCGAGAATTTCTTCACAGCCCTTGTCTGGGTCTTTGTAAATAGGGTCTGGTCTAGCACTTGTTGTGAATTGGCTCTATTTAAATGAAGATTGATTGATTAGTGGTTACCTTATATAGACTCATAATCCCTCAGACAGGACCAGGTTTAAGAAGCTGATCTGGATAGTTGTCAGTGAAGTAACTCAGAGGAGTCAGGTTAGGGCAAAGTTTTCTAAATATCCTCACAGACTGACTGGAAGAACATCACAGACTGATGATATCTCACAGGGTAATCCTGTCCTCAGAGGATTTCTCTTTTTTTCATTTAAGGGGAAAGAGCAGCTTTGGCTTTAATGCCTCAGACTTCTACTTAAAAGCATGAAGATAACGGGCACCAGGGGAAACACAGATGAAAGCGCGAGGAGACGAGCGGAGAGGAAGATAGGAAGGAAGGGGTCTGGGGGTGCTGGACCTTTCCCAAAAAACAATGGTTATCTTTAAATAAAGCTTCAGAAGATGTATTTACGAGCCTTGTTTGGTTGTAAATAAGGGGGCATATGTGTATTTGTTCAAAGACAAAGCTCTTTAGCACACAGGAAGCCTGACTTTATGGATTTGTTTAAGGACAAAGGTGGTTGTTTTGAAAAAAGAGCCAGTTTCCTACCGAAAGCTGACGTAGTCGTTCAGGAGGAGAGGTTGACACAGTCTGGAGTTGTGATGGAAGGAGAGGGGAAGAAAAATAGCTTCGCAGCACGACAGCATGTCCTGCTTCCTGTGTTTGTCTCCACTTATTATGTACTTCCTGTATGCAGCTCGGGGGGGAGGGGGGTTTGAAGAGAAATGAGAGCTTCGTAAAGATATCATCTTTAAAAAAAACAAAGAAAGGACAGAAACAATAGAACACTTGGGAAAAGTCAATATTGGTTCGATGAAACCTCCCAACTAAGAGCCGCTCAGTCTTGTATTACGAACCAGAACCAGCTCATGCCACCCACCGCAGCGCCCTGATCCACCAGCCGCTGAGGGAACTACTCCAAACTACGCTCGCCTCCTGAAAAGGTTTCTGTGACCCACATTCAGGCTGAATTTAATAAGCAAACCCACATGAAGATACCGTCTTATTCCATCTCTTCGAAAGGAAAAAAGGAGCAGAGCAAAGGACGATCTTTCTTTGTGTCTGTGCTGAAGGCCCACAGGAAACACTGGATATAAAGTGTTATCAAATAATGCTGCACAATTAACAAGCTTTATTAATAACAGGTGTTCTGCCATTGCTAGACTTCAAATAAGGGATGCAAACGTCACATTTTTCTGTGCTTGATATCTGACACAGTACCCCACATTTTTTTTTGTAGTTGGGCTTGTTCTCATGCGACTCATTTAGCTCTCTGCAACAACTGTGGGTCTATATTTGGAAGCTTTTCTCCAACGTATTGAACAAATTTCCTTTTTTGCACATTTCTTCATGGCATCAATCATATTTTGAAGTTTATAAAGCGATACCAGTGTGAAATGATTACAAAAAGAAAGGTTAATTATGTTCTCGTATGAGATCATATGAGGCTCAGCAGGTCCTAATTGTAGGTGATGTCATTGTTTGCTCAGGCTCCCTGTCAGAGTAAATAGACTTTACTTTGTGTGAAGTCCTGCCTTTCAGGGTGACTGATACTCATTAGTTTAACAGGTTAAGTCCTTAAGAAGTATGAACTGGGTTTATCATAGTTTGTTAAATTGTTTGTAGTGTAGGGCTGCGACGATTATTCGATGTTGTCTACAAACATGGATAATGGAAGAAGTCAACAATGAATTCCATTGTCGACTTTTGTCGCCAGACGTGTTTTTATCCAGTGGAGTGAGGCGTCTTACTTCATTACGATCTCTGCCCAGAGTCACATATGTGCAATAGTGTCTCTGCTGAGCGGTCGGGTATTCAAACATGGCGTCCAATACAGCAGCTATGAGTTTGTGCTTAAATACCTCGAAAGTTTGGGAGCACGTTAGCCTCGATAAGGCAAAAAAAAAAAAAAAACTTGCAAGGTTTGCAAAGCAGAACTTTCTTATCATGGCAGAAAGTCAGTGATGCACGAACATTTGAGGAGAAGGCACGTAATTTTATCCGATTTGTTTCAATAGTTGGTGACTAGTCGACTATTAAAATACTTGTTAGTTAGTGCAAGTTTGCAAACTTTAAGCACTTTTTGCGAATTCTATTTTTCTGCAGCATCAAACTTTCCGGCCCCTTTTGAGCACAAAAACAGAGCAAAGCGTGGATGAATTTGTCTTTTTAAGTAGCTAAATTAAAAGAAATATGGCTCCAAGTTTTTTGCTCTACATTAAAACTCATAACAGCTCCATAAAGTAGCATTAAAGTGTCTGTGGTTTGTTACACTGCCTCCTAGTGGTGAAAAATTGACCACTTCTGCTTTAATAACTCTCTGCACTGGCTGCTCTTACTAAAGGGTGACATATTAACCAGCTCACTGCTGTCCTCTCACACACACACAGTTCCCACCTCGCTAGTTAACGCGGCCTCGCCATGAGATGTCATTAGCGCTTTAAATAAACACAGCTTGCTTCCTGGTTTACTGCCTGTGTGAACATTTATTGCTTCTCTCTGTACAAGATCACAGACTTCTTACCACTCAAGCGGCGTGTCAGACCTCCGGGTGAAACATAAATAAAGCTTGTCCAATCAGACGCCGCAGGTTAATTGTTGTTTAGCTAAGTGTTGTATTAAACAGGATACTCAGTTAAACTGGTTTATCTGCGTGGGAAGGTCATCCACAAAAACAAAGAGAGCAGGAGAGCGCGGACTGTAAGAGAGGGGGTATTGTTCTGGAAACAGCTTCAGGGCTCTCAGTGTGTGTGTGTGTGTGTGCGTGTGCAGGATAGTCTCCACGCATGTGTCCGTTGATAAGAGACTACTCCTGTGTGACCTACATGTGCGATTTTCTGCATGTGTGAGTATGTGTGGGTACAAACTGACTCACCGCAAATGAGTGTTTTTGCTATCAACCGCAGCAGATCCCTCTCGTGTTTGTTGTGAGTGTGTGTAAAATGGGTGTGCCCAGGTAGGCGCAGGCTCGCGGGGGCCGGACTTTAGCTCCTGCTTCAGGTGTGTCTTTGTGAACCAGAGCCACAACACACAGAGGGGTCAGACAGATAAGACATTAACCACGCAGATCTAGATCAGGTAGAATAAGAAGAGGACAGGTCAAGAGGAGGACAATAAGGAAGCCGCCGATGAGAGAAAATGCAGAAAATGAGACCACTTTGCGAACTTTTATCCTGAAGTTTTCCAGGAAGCTTAGGGATCGCTACCTGTCCGGGCTTGCAGAGGTAAAGGTAATTTGTGTGACCATTTTTTCCCCCCTCTCTGTGCGAGTGTGTTTGTGTTTTTTGGCTGATTTCGTGGGAAAGGTATAGTCACAGACAGATTTAGCGTCACAGATAGCAGCTAGAATAACAGGTTTGTAACACAGGCTGTATAATCCAGTGAGCTGGATCCTCTCTGAATGCAAAGATCGCCTGGTAGCAGTGCTGACCCACGATCAAGTCAAGCTAAGGTAATTGGAAAGAGGCTAATAGGGGCTAACATATGCATATTACAGCTAATTGCACCAGAGGTCAAGGGTGGTTGAACTGAATTGCTCCTGCTGTCAGTATGGATAAGATTCTCGGTTCATATGTAGACGAAGAATTTGCATAGGAGAAAGCGTACAAGTCAGCACACGCAGAATGAATGAAACAGGACATTAGATCTCTGTTTTCAGAGGCTAACTGACCCACTAAGATGATTCCTCTGCATTCGTTTGAGTAAGTTTCCACAGTGTTGCGCATGTTTACCAGAAATGTCGACACCACGATGAGTAGCAAAACCGTCCAGAATTACCAGGGGAGTTTGTCAGATGTCTGAAATGACTCCACACGCTGTTTTACTCATGCATTATGTAGTGTGGAAAAAGTCACAGTTACGAAAGAGCCGAGGTCATGAGATGGGTGAGGTGATTCGGTTCAAAGTGAAAAAGCTCTGTCTGAGATCTAAATGTAAACAAAGAGGCAGCCTCGGGCATCAGATCCTACAACAGGAGATAGAAGGAAGAGACGGTCTTTCTCATAGTGGTTTACAGCTGTTTACTCTGAGATAAAGCTGTCACGTTCGCTCTGCAGGGGAATGATGCTGCTCAAGAGGCATTTAGGGACAGGGATAACTGTGACCTATGAAACAGCAGTGTAATATCACACTTAAGTTAAAGTAGTGACGCCTGACAACCAAACAGAGAGAGGTGATTGGAGTTTAAGTATAAACTGAGGTAAAGTGTGTCACCAGGTCGACTGTTTAGTGGCTAAAAAAGTATTTTGGGGTCTTGACCAATCAGAGTCAAGTATAAAAGTAGGGGTGGCGATCAACAGTGGCTCTACGATACGATATTATCATGATACTTGGCCCAGATATGATATTATCACAATACGATATTATCATGATACTTGGGCCACAATACGATATTATTCTGATTTTTAGCATTTTGCAATACAGTGAGTATTGTGATTTATACACTTTTTCAACTGTTCAGCTAATTTAGCATTTAGCGCTCCTTTATGTTTGTCTTGTTTACGCTTTATTTCATTTTCATGTTGCATATCTTGCAAACCTTTTCTATATATTTGTTGTACTAACTTTCTCCTGCTCTATGACGTCACTCCAGCCGACCTTGCCGGACAAACAGTTGATTTTGTTTTTCTATTATCGTAGATTTGACTTCTTAGGAGCTATTAATTGGTAAATGAGACAATATAATATCACCAGACAAAATATCGCGATACTATGCTGTATCTATTTTTTTCTCCCAACCCTAAAATGTAAGTTTGTCGGTGGTTCCCAAACTTGGGGTTGAGTCCCTATAAAGGGTCACATGATAAATCTAAGGTGTTGAAGATGCACGAGATGCTTCACCGTGTCTTTGTTAGCATATAGTACGGTGTGCTGTGAAGCCCAAACTTTTAATTTCTCTCAAACTCTTTAACTCCTTGTTCCTGCAGTGTTCAGATAAATTCACCCGCTTCAAAATCCGACATTACAAACTCGTCGTCTGTCTTTTTACTCTGCGGCTGTTTTGACAGCGTTCAAATGTCTCTTGACTGTCGCTGCATATCACACTCCCTCTGTCTAATAAAGAGCTGTGACTCATCTGCTGTGTGTAGCATGAGCTGGCTGCAGAGTCCAGTGGGAGCTCAGTGTGTGTGTGTGTGTGTGTGTGTGTGTGTGTGTGTGTGTCAGTATGTGGTTGTCATTGAACGCTGCCAGGACTGGTTCTTCTTATATATGTGGATCACATTCGGCTGCGGGCAGATTAATTGTTTTGAAGACGGTAAGATGAACAAAAACATTCAAGAGCTAAAAAATCCTAAAGATCCAGTTTTCCTGTGTTTGTCGATTCAGAAAACTTACTTCACTCCATCCACGTGCAGGAGTGTGGATGTTTGTAATATGTGGATGCTCATTTTGACGATTGAGGTTAAAACCACCTAAAAAGATGATCTAAAACAGTGTTTAAGTCATTAATTGACATTTGATTAACCAACATAAAACTGTTTGTTCATGTTTGATATTCGCATGTTTTGTGCTGAAAATAAGAGGGCAGCTTGATGTTTCTAGGATTTTGTTTGCATCTCTTGCATCCAGAGCATTAACAATTGTTTGTTTTTTCAATCCTCTGCACACAGAATATCTTCTAAACTGAGTTTACACTCCATAATCTCATGGATAAACTGTTCATTATCAGCTGCATTTACAGTGACTGTGTCCTTCTACCAGAGAAAGAACAGGCTGCAGTGTTTTCTCAAGTGGCAAAATTATGTGTAATATCATATCGTGGCCCAAGTATCGTGATAATATCGTATCGTGGGGCCAAGTACAGCCAAACTGTACCGTCCTACGAGATGCAACCCGCCGTCTGTGCTTGTGTGCGTCCAGGTTGTGCAGAACTTGAAGCATCATGTCAGTCGCAAAAGACCAGAACAAGTCTCACCTAGTCAACTTGCTGTGCTGCAACTTGTACACTGCATATGATCTGCACTGTTGGTCCACAAAAGTAAAAGTAATAATAGTCAATTTCACTGATTAGAAATTCTAGTGCAGGCTAGTACAAGTTAAAGTGAGTAAAAGCACAGAGGCTGTATGTGACTGTGATGAGCTGCTCTAAAATCTGAATCTATTTTTATTCTCCTGTAATAATGTGACCGGACTTCTCATCAAACATTCAAGCTAAAGATGGAAACTCTTCGGTTTGCAGTCTCTAATTTCATCTGGGATTAGTTTGCCTTTATACTGAAACCAGCACCAACCGCTGCTGACCACTGCCAGAGAGCAGACACCCAATAATTACTCCAGATTGCTGCTCCGCTAATTGTGTCGTTTCGGATCGTGGCTTTCCATAAACTGAGTATCTTTGTTCCAACACATTTCTATTTGTTCTCCTTTTCAGGCCGAGCCCTTCCCAATGAAGACCACCTGGTACTGTCCTCTGGATCTGGTAGGTCCAGCTGTGGGTGTGTGTGTGTGTGTGTAGGAGCATGAATGGGATAATGCTCCTGTGTGTCTGTCGAGTTTAAAATAGAGTCACTGTGTCAGGGACTTTCCCTGAGGCTGAACCTGTCTGTCGGAGCTCCATGTTGCGTGTGAGGGAAAAAGGAGTTCAAAGCGGCTCGATTATCACTTATTTTTACACCTGCATGAGTTCAGTTAAAGGACAGGACGACATTTACAGCTTGTATTGTGTTTTTGATATTCAAACTCTCATTTCTCTCATGTACAGTCCACTGTGGTGGAGGAGGAGGACGATGGAGTGATCTACACGGTGGTTGTGAGACAGCAGCATGGTGCCCTTAATAATCCGGTGGTAAGTCCTTTTCAAAGACGTGAAACAGTCTTTGAAAACCTCCAGTTTGAAGCGATATTAACTCTGATTTTTAACGTCTTCATGCAGTCGTCGGTCACTCGCTCACAGTGTGTGAAAGCGGGGACGGAGGAGAAGCTGGTTCTGCACCTGCTCCATTCATTTTCTATGGGGGACTCCTCCTTCATCACCATCTTCCTCTCCACTTATCGATCTTTCACCTCCACGCAGAGAGTGCTGGACATCCTCACAGACAGGTAGGAGGGTTGTGTAGCTGCAGAGCTTATATCTGCCTACAATGAACTTGTGGGCAGTGGCACTCGATCACCGAGCAACAGAAGGAGGTGACCTGGAGAGGCCTCAGCACACAACCTGCAGAAGTTACAAGCTGCAAGGATCTGCAGCTCAGAGGTCTTATGGTGCCCCGGTCTTGACTTAATGAAAAGAGAGGGGCTGCGCAATATGAGGCTTGTGGTCATAACCTCAAAGCTGATTTTTTCACAGTGAGAATTTAAAAGGAAACTGTGTGGTAGCAGCTCAATATGCAGTGATGCACAGCAAGCAAAGACGTCGTCAATATCCTGTCTGGCTGAGTTTGTGCTGCGTGGAGCAATAAAAAGTCAGACTGAGATTAAGTGGAAGACAGCGAAAGTGAATAAACACCGCTCTTGCTTAACTGGAGGAGTAAAAAAAGCAGGAATAAAGCTTCGCTAACAGCTCTGTGAGTCTGTGAGTCTGTGCTTTTGTGCAACGCAGCTCGCTTTTCTCACTTACAAATAGATAAATGACGACATCAAGTTAATTTACAGCAGCAGGTCAAGAGAAACCTTGAGAAGATGTGGCGAGGATGTTTTACAGCTGGTTACATTCAGCTCAGTGCAAACAGGGAGATTTTTAGGGCTCTGCACGGGGAAACAAGTGACAATCTACGGAAACAAAGACATTATGCATATTACAGTTGTGCAATCTCACCTCAAGTGGGTTGAGGTTCAGGGTGCAACATGGTGACTAAGTGCACTGTCCTTATTAAACCTGCGCTGCTGCAGCAAAATATGGACGCACTTTGTAACAGGAGCTGAGGTACATACTGTTTTAGAGACAGAGCAGTCAGAAAGACTGAGGAGCATGTTCACCTCCTGAGTTCGATTTTTGACCTGATCGTGGGGAGTCACAAAGTTGGTGGAGACTTATTGTTAAACTAGAAGTAGAAATAATAATGGTCATAATATTTTACCTGCAACTGAAGTCATTAATCTTAATTTTCAACAAAGGTACAAACTTCTTAAAGGCCGATGAGACCAGATAAAACTTTGATTGTATGACGTGCGTTTCTTTAAAGCTCCAGTGTGGAAGTTTTGATTTGTGTTATATTTGGCGCCCCCTGTGGACAAAGCAATCTTTGCTTATCTTGTTCTCTACAGGCTTAAATTGTGGCTTTCACCAAAAAAATTAATAGGGCCAAATGTATTATTATGTGTGACTGTTTTATGTGGAAATAACGGATCCTGGAAGGAGTCATGAACTTCTATTTTTTTTAATTTGCACATGCGATTTGGTATCTTGAACGTGCGTTTTATACGTATCTCGTAGGTACATTTTATTTGTATCTTGCGCATGCATTTTTGCAGATAATCCTCGGCGTGCCTCATTTGTGAGAGAAGAAGGACAGTGTCATTGACAGAGAGCATATTATCAATATTTTCTTTCATTTAGGTATGACTCACAAAGACATACTTTATAGCTGAGCCACATTTAGTATTGTTTTGAGTAGGAGAAACCTCATCAGGATCCTTGAAGCACAACGACTTTGGAGGAAGAGATTTTGTTTATTAGCGAACAGTTAAATCGCACGTGGGATATAATAAAACGCACATGCGAGACACTAAATCGCACCTGTGAATTAAAAAAAAGTTATTGTCACCTCCCGGCTCCGTAGGAAAGTGTAAACACAGGTCTGTTTCTTTACCTGCTCTGTAATTGTTCAAAATCAGGATTTAAAAAAAGGCCAATTTTGCTGCTGATACTTACAACTAAATGATCAAAAATCTAAAACTTAAGAGCCAAAAAACTAAAAACAACAAACTTAATTTCCAGGAGCTGGTTCTGTAGAGCACGGTGTCTTCAAAGTGAAACTTAATTAAACAGCGACTTGAAGACTTAATTTAGTGTCTCTCAGTATTACAGGAAGCACCTGTGTGTCTGTTTATGATAACAGCGGCTCTGCTGCGTTTTCTGAGGCTGCCTGTGAACTCTCCGCGTCGTGTTTTAAAGTCTCTCTGAATAATTGAGGCATTTTGTGAAACACCTGTTTGGGAAGTTTCTCCGGAGAGTCACTTAAGATCTTTTAATCAGTACAACTGCACTTAAGTTAAAAGCATCTTAGGGAAAAGAAACCATAAATAAATTAATTAGAAGTCCCTCCGTTATTTGTCAGTGAAGAGTGTGAGAGTTTGTTGTTGTTGTTTTTTTTCTGTCTGCCTTATTAACTAAAGCTCCTCTGTCAACAGATTAGAAAACCCACCAGGAGAAAACGAGAGGAGCCACACCAGACAATCTTTCAACAAGTGAGTTTGTGAAAATTCAACCTCACATCATTTGACTTCTTAAGCTGTGAGTCTCTGTGTAAATAAACATGAATGTGTCATAGGTGTGTCCTCAAAGCTGGTCAAAGGCGTGACAAAATACAGGATCAAAGGGTCCTAATGCCTACTACATAGAAAGAGGCTAAAGTTCTCGTCCCAGGTCCTGGTGGTCGCTGGTTCGATTCCAGGTCTTGACCCTGCATGTCTTCCTCTGCTCTCTATTCTCCACATTCCCCATCTCTCTTCAGCTCTCCTATCTGATAAAGTCAACATTTTGAGATGAAGATTGCTAAAACAGTCAACGGCATTAAGAAGCAACAAAACCTTTAATTATGACTAATTCTGATGTGCTTTTCATTTAGTTTCACCAAGCCACCAAGCTTCTTAATGCCATCTTTCATCTGCTATTCACTTTCTCAGTGCAAACCTATAAGTACTCTACATACACAAGTATGTATGTATTTAAGATTAGTTAGAATAGTAAAGAAAGTTTAAAACTGTTAAAGTTTGGGGCACAGGTTTGGCCGTGCTCTGGTGGATAGAGGCAGGTTGCCTGGGGTTACTTCAAACCTGCCTGGTCCTGCACGTCATTCCCGACTCTCTGTCTTCTCGTTGTCTACCATATCATCTGTCATATCTCGAAACAAAGGTTTAAAAACCCCAAAAAGACTCACTAAAAACAGGAGCTGGCAAACTGAGGGAAAACTGGAGGCAGAATAAAAAGTTAAAACTCAAGATTGGAAATTAAACTAACCAAAATAGACGGACAGATAAGATCCTAACACACGAAGAGATTAAAGCTGCAGCAAAGAGTTTTTTACTGGTTATGAAAGCAACCAAAATTAAAGTTGATAATAAATAAGACCAGAAATAGAAGCAGTAAGATCAGACGTCTAAAATTACTGCGGGTTTGGGAGTCAGTCACAGTTAATTTGATTAATTACAAACTATCATCCAGACTTTTTGTTTATATTTCACAGCAACGACTTTAAATCAAAATTGTAGTAAAGTACAGAAAGATTTTTTACTTGAAAACAGTCTTAGAACATATGAAAAAATTCAGCAAAGACAGAAAAACAGTAAAAGGAAATAAATCTAAATGAGCTACAATAAGATAATGAACTTCTTCTTTAAGTTGCACTTGATGGTTTGACTCTTTGCTGAAATGAATGTTTGGGTTTTAAAAATTGTATTTTCAAGATTTAATTCTGCGTCATCCTCGAGCCTAAACTCGGAGCTGATTTTTGAAGTCCTCAGTTTCTTTGTTGTCGGTGTAGCGAGCGAACCAAATGAAGGCTGTAATCTTTGCTAACACACAGATTAGATCCTGTTATTGTCTCCCACATGCTGATTTCATTTACCGCTTTAATCCCGCTCTCTGCTCTTCCTGAAAGTGGTCCTTGGCGCCTTTGACGGCGGATTACTCGATGTTTTGAGAACCTTTTCATTGCAAACACGCCAACATTCAGCCTCTGTTAGCAGAAAACACGCTTCCAAGAAATGATAGACTCTCCTCTAAGCTGCTTTTCTTGGCTAAAGCCCTTGAGAACGTGGTTTCTTGGCAACTTTTGAGATGGGTTAGAAAATATCAATATATTCAATCAATTTCAATCTGCAACGGCTTGTTTATCTGCTTCCTTCAACCTACGACAGCTCAAGGTTTCAGGCAGAAACATATGCAGGTCCCGCTATCACATCTCCTCTTATTGGCCTCCAGCTCAAATTGTGGTTTATTTATAAGGCGCAAGACCCCGCAGAGTACTACAAGGAACCGTCTTTGTCTAGAGGTTAAAATAAAAAACAAGCCAAACTCGCAAACTTCTGTCCAAAACACGAGAAATGCTCAATCTCTGAGGACAGGTCCAATCATTTCTTCTCTCCCAATTTCTGCAGAGCGGTGTGTACCGTGTTCAGCACGTGGCTCTCCGAGTATCCTGAGGACTTTAAGAGTTTAGGGGAACCCTCTCGCCTCCTGCGCCTGGCCCCCCTCCTTCCTCACGACTCCTCATCTGCAGCCGACCTTCGCGCTCGGCTCCTGAGGATAGCCGAGGAGCTCAGCGAGAGAGCCCTGCTCCCTGGCGCTCGTAAAGGTTTGCATTGAACTGGGATTAAATTACAGAGATTATTAGGTTGTTTTTGCCTTAATCAGCTTTTATTCACGGTATTAATCCAGAACTGGGACTAGGAAAGACAAAAACAGGGGGGTTGTATGAAGTATCAGATTTCAGCCTTTTACTTTAATACTCCAAACACTTCACTCCCCTCTGTCTACTGCATCTCTACAGGAAACACTCACAGGTCACTGTATGAATTACATTAATACACAGATTGAGGTTAAATCCACCGAAACAGCAGAATCGAGGCACAGCAGGATTATCTGTGTCCATTATTCAGAACTCAGGGCAGGCTGACAGTACGAGACAAGATCTAATATTAACCAACATTTCACATACTTTGCATAGAAAACAGTGGGCTGTCAGTCTTTGTCGACTTTGGTGCTGCAGGATCAGATGGCTGGACTTTGCGTGCGCACAATGGATCTTATTTGGCCTCTCTTTATATCTGTGCACACCATGGACGGCAGCATTTAAAGGAGAATTTTGAAAAGTTCTCTTGAGTTGCATGTAAATGTGTTTGTTTCTGCATGTGGGTCAATGACGTGACAGTTTTTTTTTTTAATGTTTCCATGTTTTACTTAGATTTAAAAAGGTGAAAATTCAAAAATAAACTCACTAATTACTTGGATACATTCGCTTTTTGAAGACCTTTTCTAAAATTTCTGGATTTTATCCATTTTAATAGAATATTTAGGGAGTAATGGGAAAAATGTCAACGTGGTGTATCAATAAAAACTCAGTTCCAAATATTTCAACTTGTTAAACAATAAAACAATAAAACACAATGTCAACTAGTTATAATCCTACATTTGTGTTGTGTAACTATAAATAAATGAAATGGAACACCATGGTTCTCAGTTTTAGCCAACTTTCTTAACTGTCAAGGCGGTGTAACCAACATTCAAGGAGCCATTTTGTTTATTTGTGTAAAAAGACCATGTGACAGGAAGTTATATCACAGAGAAGGACCCCTGATTAGCCTAATTGCTGCATGCGAAGGTCAGTAGCTCTCTTCAAAATCTTGATAATTTGACATTTTCAGGGCATGGTCAAGTGTGCTTGTGTCAAATGGTAATATAGCAGAGAGTGCGCATGATGGAGAGCTTGCTGGATGGATACTGGCGTTACCGATCCTACTCATAGACCTGCATCAGGTGTGTGTTTGGGACTGAGGTCGGGTGGTGTTGTTGGTTTCTGGAACAGTTTTGAAGTTCAACAAAGAAGGTTGTTGTTTGAGAAATACTGACCTAACCTCACTTTGGTTGACTTGACAAGGGGCACAGAGATGTGATTGAGGCGGGTTAACAGCTTCAATGTGCCTACAAGTTAATCAAACCACTAGTTATGTATAAACATTGTCACCTTAATAACTTAAATAGAGGGATTGTCAACAAAAACCTTTCATTTACTCCGAGTCCAAACAGAGAAATCAGTGATTCAGACTAAAACTGTAAGGATTTTAAAGATGGCGTTTTCACATCGGTGTTGTCGGGGCGTCTTTGGTTTCATTTAATAAACTGCAGCTTTTTTGCACGTCCTTATTGGCTTTGCTTTTTATTTCTCGGGTTTATTTGAGAGCAATGAATCCTAATCTTGTTTTTCTCATCCCCTAATCTCGGCTCATAAGTGACACATCTTATTATCTCCAGATAACAGATGCAATCGTTTTTCTTATGAAACGAGATTCCAGCTTCCTCGTGTTTTCCTGCGATAACTAAATAACTGTTATCTCAAAGAAAAAAGCCACCACTCTGCACACACACTCACAGATCACATCAGCTGCTTTAAGATGGACTAGTTCCTGTAACTGAAACCCTGCAGAGATACTGTATACGGCATCTATAAACAAAGGTGTGTCTCGTGTTTTGAATCCACGGTTTTATTGAGCAGCTCCTCTCTTCCTCTCTCTGCAGATCAGACCGGTTTCACCAGCTCTCCTCCTAACGCCTCCAAGTTTGAACCCACCAGCATCCTGGGCTTCCCTGCAGCACTCATCGCCGAGCAGCTCACCAAAATAGAGACAGTGAGTCTTTGTAAAAGCCTGAACGTGTTTTTAGGAAGACAGTGAAGTAAAATTTTAAAAAGGAGCTCAGAAATTTATAAGATTACAGTTTTTGTTTGTTTTGGTTGTAATATTTACAGAGTTTACAGCAGGTACCTGCTTTTTAATGGAGATATGTTTCTGTTTTTCCTTGTTTAAGAGACATAAAAATACAAGATCCTTCAAGATCATAGTTTGTGCATTGCATTACATAAATGCACAACACCATTAAAATTTTCTACATGCTGTCAAAACCACAATTTTGAAGCAAGAGGGAGGATTTTAGAACTCTAATTCTCCAAACGTTTGTACTCTTTAACCAGTTAAACATTATATCTGGGTCTGAGACGACATATCAAGTGTTAAAATGAAAATATTTTACCTTTACCTGAAAAATACAGTATACACTCGTTTTGGACTTGATGCGGTCTTCATAAAAAAGTCAGGACATGTGCATCAAAACTCTAAAAAAGTCAAAAAACGCTCAAAAACACCTTTTACAACTAATTATTTCACTTTGCTACAGGTTAGTAACATGACTGGGATTAAAAAAGACAGAAAGAGGATCACTGCTAAGAGAGACTATGTCAGCGAACAGTTTATGAATAGTGTTCTTAAAACTGCAAAGAATTTGATTTTTGACGAGAAATCTCTGATCAAAAATGAGACAAGACCAAAAGCCGATAAAAGACAGCTGTGATCTTTAGGCCTTCAGGTGTCAGCGCAAAAACAGATATGACTCTGTAGTGGAAACCAAAATCACTGTCAGAAGTCACTGACTTCCAACACAGGTCATCACTGCATCCACAAAAGAAGGTTAAAACTGAACCTTTGACTTTTACGGGTCCAATATAAGACATCTTTGTTCTGTCTCGTATCAGGAGCTGTTCGTCCGCCTCGTCCCGTACCACTGCCTGGGCTCCCTGTGGTCTCAGAGGGATAAGAAAGGGAGGGAAGATGTTTGTTGGTCCGTCCGAGCCACCGTACGCCAGTTCAACAAACTGGCGAATGCAGTTTTAGCCTCCTGCCTTTGGCCTACAAGGCTGCGCAGCCAGCAGAGAGCTCGACTGCTGGAGAAATGGATCAGCGTGGCAGAGGTTGGTGTGAAATAATCGCACACTGAAGCTTCAAAAATGTGAATTTATGTTCGCTTTTTAGGTAAGAGTTGGAATAAATGAGGCAGATCTCCAAAGAAAATTACCAAGAGTATGGCAGCTGGGTGTTCAAGCCTTCCAAAACCCTTAACTGTGCCTTTCCCAACAATAAACTCCCTTTAATCCTCTAACCATAATCCTATTCTCAGCTCCGACTCTACACATACCAACAGAAATTCACAGTTTGCTCGGTTTCTGCTGTGACTGTTCTGGGAATTTCACTTTAATCCATGGCTGAGAGCAAACCATGGAAATTAAGTCCAGATTTATGATTCCTCTCTAGAAAGAGCAGCAGTGACTGAAAAACAAAATAGCGCTCTGGTGGTTAAAGAGCAGCTCGGTTTGTACTGAAAGAGGACTCACAGTTCCAGCACACCTCTACAGAGTCAGGTAGGAAATGTGCTGCAGAAACAGAGCGTTCCCACGATGTGCTGAGTCATAAACTGTGATGTATGACCTCAGAGCACACAGGAAAGATTTAAATCTGCTGAAAACGGACGGATTATTCAGGAGGAGTGTGGACTCACTGAGCTCTGGAGCGGTGTTATGGTAATTATGCAGAGCATAAGTTTGCTCTAAAATATTAAAGACCTCACAGCTTCAAAAGATCTGCTCACACACACACACACACACACACACACACACACACACACACACATAAACATCCTGTCCTGCCTCCTTATATTCACATGAGCAGCTTCATTCTGTGCCAAGTCTCTTTATCAGTGAATAAAACAGAGCTTCTCCCCGGTTTCCCTGAATGAGAGCTACATTTATCACACACACACACATTAACACAAACTCTCACACACACACACACACACACACACCCTCAGTCCTCTCTGGCAGAGTAAGGCATCACTGGTTTCCTGCCAAAGTGGCGTCCTGAGCTCTTTCCAGGTTTCTTTCGGGACAAACCTCTTTAGGAGTATACATTATTCAGCGTTTTAGGCTGACACTGTAACTGAATACGAGCCAGCCGCACACCCACAGGTGTTCTCAGTTACAGCGGGGCTGTGTGCGTGTGTGCATGCATTCAAATGAGTGAAGTCATCTGTGCGTGTGTGTGCTTTCAACAGGAGTGCCGAGCCAGGAAGAACTTCTCCTCGCTGTACGCCATCGTGTCGGCTCTGCAGAGTAACCCTATCCACCGGCTCAGGAGGACGTGGCAAGAAACTGACAGGTCTGAAGCTCCGACGATCCGCAGCATGAAATATTAAAGTAGACAGCCTGAAGTGTCATTTTTTTTTTATATATACGGGTAATAACAGCTGAAGCGATATCTGCTAAAAAGAGTAAATATTAAATCCTCAGATCGAAGCTAAAGTAATGAAACAAGAAGGTCTTTTTTTATTAGAGGGGCAGAGAAATGTTCTTCTTTGATGAGTTCATATCCTAAAAAAACATACAGAAGAGTTTTTCTAAAGTTTTTCAATTTCTTCCCCCCAAAAAAAGACACTTTGCTGTTTTCCACGCGTACTAAAAAGAGTTAAATAGAATTAATTACAATGGAATAGAGAATGGAATGTTTTGACCGGAATGATGAAAATAGAATGTTGGAAAAAGAATGAATGGAGTAGAATTTGATTCAATGCAATGTAACAGAATAAAGCGGAATGGAAGAGAACAGTATAGAAGACCAAAGAACAGAATAGAATAGAGTAGAATGGAATGGAATTAAATAGAACAGAATAGAAGAGAATAAAATAGAATATAACAGAACAGAAAAGATCTGGATAGAATAAAGTTGAATGTTAAAGTTTCACTTTGTAATGAAAATTATTTCAAGTCTAATAGGAGGACATTACACGGGTAGAAACTGTAGGAATATTGAATTTAAATAATCACAGTCTGATACAGCTGTGATCAATTCTGTCTGTAGTGCAGTTCTGAATTCAAATACAATCGTTAAAATATCGGCACTGAAATATTTTTGGGTCCTGTTAAGATTCAACTAAACCTTGACCAGACTCTTTTTTTTTTCAGAAAGCAAAACTTTAATGAGCAAAAAACAAAATCAGCAAAAATGTAAGCGGTACCACTTTCTCCACAGGGTGTGTCAGAACTGTTGCAACCAGAATTATCTTCCCAGGAGTTTCAACAGAAAATACCAAACGCTGACTAAACTTGAGCAAAAGTCCCACAAACAAAAAAAATCTGTATTGGAAAGTTGATCACTTCCATTTCTCTGTCCTTTCTGTTTGTTTCCCTGAACATATTTTAAAGTTAAAAAGACAAAGAGCAAAGTGATAAACATTATTCAGAAAGAAATAACTGCCGTGTGAGGGTGTATAGATCATTAGGATGGGAAATGTAGTTCTTAACAAAATATTCTGGACTCTAGATCTTTAGGTATTGTTGTATTTAAGTAACTGCAGACTTTTAAGACCCTCTGCTGGTGACTCAGGAACTGCAGGACCACCTCAGGTCTCCACGACCTACACCGTGCTCAGAGTTAGACTCATAAATACATAAACGACCCAGCCTTACTGTAATAAAAACTTCCTATATATGTGTTTTTACATAAAATACTGTAAATAGGGGGGATGGTCACTTGTAGCTCCAAACAGAGTTATGGGAAGTTGCTGCCACCCTCCAGACTCTTGATTTGTGCTGAAACCAGCAGCCCTGCACATAAATCTGAAGAGGTCATCATAAAGAAGCAGAAGTTAAAAAATCTTTCCTCAAACTAAAACAAAAAAAAATGCCTCTTCAGCAGATTGGTCACAACAAGGAGCGAGTCGAGCTGCGTCAAAACAGCGTCTCCAAGTCAGTAATCAGCTGATGACATTATGGTCTTGACTAAATGTTCCCATTAGTCATCGGTTCTCAAACATGAGTATCCAATTACAGGACTGTTCATGCTTATTGACTGATTGATTCATTTGATTTAATTTAATTTATGGGTCATGCATCCAAAGTGAACTCCTGCAGAAGTACAGCTGCAGGGGTCCAGTGGTGATTTAAAGAGTTGTTTCAGAGGAGCATGATCTTTTTTCAGCTCAGTCTCTTTTCAGGATTTATATTTAAAATCTGCTAAAGCACAGCTGAAGTTTTTCATTATCATCAAATCTGCAGAAATGAACAATAATGAAAAGAAATGATTTGAAAAAGTTCATCTTATATGTTTAATATCTTACTGTGGACTATCTTATTGTTTGTGTCACCTGGCAGGGAGGCGATGAAGAGATACGAGGAGCTGTCCGAAATATTCTCAGACAAGGACAATTATTCACAAAGCAGAGAGCTGCTGAAGGAGGTGAGTGTCTGTCAACACAACCTGCACGCTAACAGTGGAAATGAAGCAGGGGTGAAATAAAAGACTGTGAATTAGAACTTTATCTGCATGTTCAGAAACATAATCCTGTGTTAGTGGTACTCAGAGGTTTGCTGCTACATGAGCTGTTTTTTCAGGTCGAGATTCTGTGTTTTTTAGATATCTTGTCATGTGACTAAAGTTGTTTGTTTATCAGTGAGACCAGCAAGTTTCTGTGTTGAACAGCTGCCAGTTTTTGTTTGTAGTGATGGTTTAATTTCTCTTCAGATGTACTAATTTTATTACAGAGCTATTTTTCTACAATCTTTGTTGCTTTTGTCTGTTTTTCTCTAATTATGTTTTTACTCCTCGGCTAAAAAACTTCACAGCTCTTTTTCTTGGTTACTTCAACCTGTAGCTTCAAACACTCTGAGTTTATACCTGAATTTATTAGAATTTTCCTTAACTGTGTAGGCCTTAACTGTGCTAACATGATCAGCATGAATCGGGACGTTGCAATGAAGAAAAGGCATGCAACAGCGCCAGAATTCTGGTTTATCAAAATCTATCATGCTACTGTGAACATCTACTTTATCCTGCATACCAATGTTTGCTAATTAGGATTACCTTCAGCTGAAATTCTAAAGGAGACCTTTTATTGTCATTTTTACTTTTCATTATGTCAGTCTTGGAGTCTTGGACACCTGTTGAGAGGTCTTGCAGGACCTGCAGCTTAAAAAGCTTCTTATCTTTTTATCCTGGCATCCATGGGTGTTACTTTTTACACAGTGTTGTGGTCACAAATGACCCAAAAGTTATGCCTCAACTGAGACAAGCTGTAAGCACCAACTTAACTTCCTGCTGATAGAATACTTCAGGTTTCATTAGATGCAGATCTAGCTTGGACTAGCCTTTATTTTCAGAGGACTTATTGGTGAAGTGACGAGCTCAAACATTTACGATGTGGGGATTATCGTAAAAATATAAACTTCCCACTGTTTCCTGGTGTCTTAACTTTAGGGAAGAGAATTTAATCGGGACTTTCCTTTAGAACTAAAAGAACATTTACGAGGTGTTTTTTTTCTGTGCTGAATCAACAAAGGAAGAAGCAAAGCAGTGAAATAGACTTTCCAGCCTCCTTATTAACAGACCAGGCTCATCTCTTAGTATCATCCTAATAGGACAGCAGAACCGATGTCAGGTTGTGGGTATGTCTCAAAACAAGCTGTCCAGAGAAGTACAGATCAGTATCTCCTTTAATGTGCACTAGATTTTCACTTTTCATCGACATTTAACTCAAATCCTTTCACCAAAACCATCAGAATACGTCTGAATCTATTCAAGAGTATATATGAGTCTAGGTTGACTCTTGTTTTTTCGTCCCTAAAGCCACACAGCTTTTATGGCCATAAATAAAACACTGGATATGCTGACAGACAACAAACTGTCCAGTTCGCTCTGTCAGGCCTCTCTAACTGCAGCTCTGGAAAGCATTACTCTTGTGCACTCTGACCGATAGCTCACATCCTGGGGACGAGCATCGTAATTTGAACACCAGTAGTCGACATTTATTAATGCATCTGTCAAGTGCCACTACTGGACCACATTTGTTAAATCCTATCTGCACAGGCTGAAGTGGAGCCTCATCCTCCTCGGCTGAGAACAGCGTTTAGCTGTAGAGATTTATGGCTGCTTTTAAGAGCAGAAACCGGTCTAATCTGGTTGAGCACAACTGCCCTTATTCTGTCAACACTTTCCCTTCAGTGTTCGACTCTCATCTGAAGACATACATTATATTTAGTTTGTGTCAGAGAGGCTGAGGAAGTTGGCAGGATTAGCTGTGTTTTGATTCGCTGTTATGGTGCAGTGCAGACATCAATACCTTTGCATTAGTGTGTGATTTTACCCATGATACCCCCAAAGGACTTCATCCTAACATTTGCTTTCATTCTGAAAGCTTCACTCAGAGCTTTGATTTCAGAAAAACACCCTCGCCTTCTGCTGCCCTTTGATTTCTCTCCGCACAGTTACAGACTTACCTTCATCTCTCTGCTTGTCTAAAAATGACTGCGACTAGCAGACGGTGTAAGATGAATGATACACAATAATAAAAGACTCACTGAAAGTTATGGGACATAAATTATTCACAACAGTGAGTACTGAAGCGTTTGGCATGCTAACACTTCAATATGATGCATGGTTATAACAGGAAATGTCTCCTGTGCTGACATAGAGGGGTCATGTGGGATCACTTTGATGTGGAGTCAGCGCTCTCATTTCTGGGTCTTTTAAATGGAAATTCAAGATTTGACTAACGAAGGAGCACAATTCAAATAACGCAGATAAACACAGAATTAGGAATAATACCAAACTGGTGATTAGTGATAGCAGAGACAGCTGCATTTAGGCCTTACAGGTCATGTCCACGTTAGAGTCCAGTTTAACTAAACACAGCCTACAGACAACATTAGAGCTTCATTTTCATGTATGTGTGAATCGCTGTGATTTCTAATGTTCCTGTGTAACTCCTCCACTCTGTAATATTTCAAGTATTTGTTCTCTGAGATAAAAAGTTAAGCAAAAACACCTCGTCTCCACTTACTAAGGCTGCTTCTACTATCTCTGTCGCTTCTATGTTAAAGGGATATTCCGGCATGAAATTAATTTAGGGTCAAACACACCGTAACACCAAGTTAGACCCCCTTCAAGAGTGTCTAGTGCTATGGCTGTGACCCTATATGTCCTGTTGATGAAGTTAGGTGCTGTTCTGAGTATTATTTGTGGCTATAGAGTGGCGTTTTGTTGAGGTTTGCACATGGAGACGTAGACTGCTGTGTATTGCTTTTGTGCGGTCATTACTAAAGTTGGTATAACTAGAGAAGTAAGCAGTCGGTCATCTCTCGAGGGGGGTGTCTAACTCTGTGTTTCAGTGTGTTTGACCCTAAATTAATTTTACGCCGGATTATCCCTTTAAATACAGACAAATTCAAACGCCTCTTCAGGTAGAATCTATCCATCCTGCATTAATCAGGTCATCGATTCAGTTCCTGGAAATGTTTCCCATTAAATGAACTTTTGTCTTTACTGCTGTTATAGTCAGTGCTAATTCCCCTCATTTACTAGGCCTCAATAAAAACTGACTAATGCTCAATTAACCTTAATGTGTTAATATATTAATACTGAAAGAAAATTCTTTGTAAACAATTGAAAACAGATTATAAATCATTCGTTCCCTTTGATTCTTATTCTCAAATTTCCTTGCAAATCTACTTTTTACTAAAGTTAATACATTCAAGAGTTGAGTAAAGACACATTTACTGGTTTATCCTGAGTGAATCTTTTTAACTGTTTTGGATATTTTGATCCCATTGCACGACTTTCCTGAGTTTATGGAAGGGGTCTTTTGTTTTTTGTCTTGCAGGAGGGCACGTCAAAGTTCGCCAATCTTGATAACAGGCTCAACAACAAACACCTTAACAGGGTAAGTTGATTTAGTTTAACTTTGACAAAGGCAGCCTTGTTAGCGGAAACTCACTCTGGTGAATATCTAGGTCAGGGTCGATGAGCTTTCTCAACAACAACAACATGCTGAAACCCGCAGACTTGTAGTTGTGTAGGTCAGAGCTGAAGGTGCGAAGAAGAACAACCTAAACATCTGATATTCATCCTCCGACGTGCGTGAACTCATTCGGGGTCACCGAGACACTTCAGAGTGTTCGAGTCACAGAGGAGTCACTTGAAATGATTTCACCATTTGTCGCAGAGGCGAAACCTCAGATCTCGGAGCAGATCAAATGGAACAAATTTCACGAACTTAACATCCTAAGTCTGGCATGCATACCAATCATTTTCGCCTGAAGGGTTGAACACCCCCGTAGGCCTTAATGGGAGACCTTGGCAAGTTAAGGAATGATGTAAGAGGCTGCAAAAGTGTCATTACTGTTGTAAAAGTTAGGGGACAAAGTGGGCTGTCATTTCTGCAGGGAGGGATCTGCGGTTCAACATGCATTGAATTCGTGTATTTAAAGGCCCTGTAAGTCTTTGTAGTTAATCTTTAATCATGTGCTACAAATCTCGAGGAGTTCAGGATGTCAAAAACATGCGAGTAGGATTCAGATTTGTTTCCCTCTGTTACAGGTTAGTGATGGATTTTAACTGAACGCACTTGAAAAGACGGTTTTTCCACATTCAGACGCTGATTCTGGTGTCAGTCTTGCTAAGCAGGGGGTGATCCAGTGTTTTGATGCAGGGCTGTAAGGGGGCTCGACTGGCATGCAGCAGTGAAGAAGAACAGAGGGCTGTCGTGTGTGTGTGTGTTTGTGTGTGTGTGTATGTGTGTGTGTGTGTGTGTGTGTGTGTGTGATGTGCTGAATCCAGAGCCATGGGTTTGAAAAATAGCTGCAGGCGGCCGCTCTGAAATCCCTCTCTGCGTGTGGGCTCTTTTACGATGTGAAAAGAAACCTCCGGGGGAAACGGATGAAACACTGTCTCTCTTTTTTTCCGACACAGTCTAACGCCCAGGGCACCGTGCCCTACCTGGGAATCTTCCTCACAGACCTCACCATGCTGGACACGGCAGTCAAAGACAGGCTGGATGTAAGTCACACCCCCTGAGAGTTGTTGGTGATTTTTCATTTATCAAACCGGCTTTACAAAAAAACCCGTCACTCTGTTTTGCAGAACGGCTACATCAACTTCGACAAGAGGAGAAGGGTGAGTGTCGCTTAAATATCAACACGGAGCTGCTCTATCTGATGCTCTGATGCTATTCCGATGTAATGACTCTGCCGCTGTGTTTCCACACTGATTTGTTGCAACCTCATAACCCTGAGATGATTATGTGAGGGAGAGCACACCTGAAAGAAAAAAAAGTCACAAAGAGAAAAGAGATACGTGGGGTAATTTCTGAGATAAGCGCCTATTAGAGCGAGCAGAGGTAACGTAATACCTGGGGGAGGAAATGATTAAGTGTAGGGCGCCGCGAGGAGCAGGATGAGGGGAATAAAAGAAGAGTATTACTAGATCAGTCAACACAGGCTTTTTTATTTTCGCATCGTGAAACTCGGTGCTGATGAGACGCCTCTTTGTGAACAGGAATTTGAGGTTTTAGCTCAAATCCGGCTCCTGCAGTCTTCCTGCAAAAACTGCGTCTTCACTGCTGACGAGGCCTTCACACAGTGGTACCAGAGCGCGCCCACGCTGACGGAGGAGGAGAGGTAAACCATCCGAGATACACGTATTCAGGATGTTTGAATTTGATGGATCATAAATGTCTGAATCTGTCGGATTTTGTGTGATCGTTTCAGCTACAGGCTGTCGAGTGAAATCGAAGCACCCAGCGAGCCGAGCCCTCGCAGCCTTATGCCCACCGTCATCATCACACAGTGCCCAGAGTAAGCAGCACACACACACACACACACACACACACACAAAAAAGTGTGTAAGTAAAGAGCAGAGTGGGATCCAGGGGGTCAGTCTGGGTCATCTCGAACGATTTTACACACGAGTTTAAGTATTCCTCACGACAAAGCAAACAAATCAGAGCGCGAGGAGTCTAAAGTATCTTCTGTGGTTCTGGAGGAGCTTCCTGGAGTCTGAGGCGCGGAGTGTGACGGATACGAGCATTTACCAGACAGGAAGAGTCTGATGGAACCCGCTGTGAGGATGCATTATGGAAAATTTGCGATTTCCTGCTTTTAAATGAGTTCAATTTGCATGACATGAGGAGGAGGAGGAGGAGGAGGAGGAGGAGGAGGTTTGGAGTGTGCTGCAAAATAAGTCAGAAATTATCTGCTGTTCTGAATTTGAACAATTTCTGCCGCAGTTTTTACTTCAGGGAGTTAAAATGTCTCACACAGGCACCCTTACTTTAATGTAGACAGGATGTGATTATTATTTCATGGACATTAAAGCTGTAGTATGCGTATTTTAACAACATTTAGCCAAACAGACTGGTAGAGCTGTTTTTTAAAGGTGTATTTCACCTTTTTTTTACTTTAACATAAACAGAAGTTGTAATGTTCCCTTCCATGTACGCTGAAGTGTTTCTATGGTAGCTCAGAATGGACAAACTAGTGTCATAGGTATTTTTATGATAAGAGAGAGAACTTCGATCTTTCAGTGTTCTAACTGAAACAGTCATACAGGTTTTGACTTTTGCTGCAGATTCTGGGATTTTTAAGATCTATTTCTATACTGTATCATAAAGAATTAGCAGGTATGCAGCCCTGGAGACAGATAAGGGAGTGATCGTGATGCAAAACAAAGGGGCTTTGACAGTGTATTCATATATTTCGGGGGTGTTTTTATGCTATAAAGGGAGTTCATCAAACCCTAAAGAAGGAGGTCTTCATAGTGCCAGACAGAATAAGTACTGATGGAGGTTTTTTGAATCATGACAAATTCAGGATGACAGGAGCTTATTGTCCTCGAAGGTTACTGTATCTTTATCAAGAAAAGGGGTGAACAAAGGAGCGCTTAACTGCAGAGTCCGACGGCTAGATTTCGCTAAATCTTCCCATTTCTACGTGCTTAACCTGCTTAAAAATTAAAAGGCTTTCAAATCCCTCGTTTTAACTTCTCAAATGAGAGTTTCCTTCATGATCATTAATTTTTAAGATCATTTAATGGAAGCTGCAACCTCCGGTCTGGAGACATGAAGCCAAAGCAAAACTGCAGTTCCTTTAGTGTCCACTTGAAGCAGGTTCCCAAAGCCTCAGAAGCCACATACACACCGACTCTGCTGCTTCAGTCTTTGCTTTAACCACACCGAACTCAACTCGGCGTCATGAGACTCTTTTTAACATGTTCTGACATTTTTTTGACTCAATCACTTTTTAGAAATTACAGTTTTAGTGGAAAATGAAGGATTGATTATAATGATAATAATTATAACATGATTCCAGCCTAATTTAAAAGTGCTCCGTGTGTTGACAGCCTAAGTACCTCTCGGACCAGCCTGCCTGGTGACAGTGACAGCCTCTTTGACTTCTCCTCCCCGGTTAACAACCTGCTGTCAAAACTCACTAAAGTAAGATATCATTATTATTTTTATTTTTAATACTTCAGGGGAACGCTGCCTTTTTAATCGCCTGTATGCATGATTGAGCTGTGTTTTGTTTTTGTGCGCTGAGAGGACCAGACTCCAGTTTCATGCTCGATGAGTAACACCACCCTCGGCTATCATCCTCATCATTATCCTCATCCTCCTCATTTCTGTTGCAGCACATGAGATCTCCGTCTGTGTCCTGTCTGGATGTTGACACGTCTCCCCCGACCAATGACTCCACTCCTGCCACGTTGACTCCCTCCAGTCCCACAAAATCTCACCGCCGATCGGCCTCCTGCGGCAACAACCCTCCGAATAACGTCCAAGGGTCGGGGCCTGACATGCGAATCATCAGGATACGGATGGACCTGCAGGACGGAAACCTGTACCGAAGCATCCTGGTACTAACCCGGACTATTTGAGTGTAATTTACAGCAGCAGCAGTCAGAGTGTAGAAAATGCTCTGGCCCATATTATCTCTGCCTCGGTGCACTTACAGCCTCTCCTCTTATCTGCAGAGATCCTGTAATGATAGTCATCAGAATCAGATCCTGAGGGTACAATGGACCCAGGATATCATTAGTGCAAATCAAGCTGTCCCCGTGTCATTGTTATTCTCGTCTCTCCCCTCAGGTTACGAGCAATGACAAGACCCCCACTGTGATCAGCTCTGCCTTAGAAAAGCACAATCAGGACCCCAAACAGGCATCCAGATATGAGCTGATACAACTTCTGCCGGAAGGGAAAGGTGAGGGGAAATAATCCACAGCTGCTGCCTCGACACTGCTGGAACTGACAGGAGTATTTCTGGACCGATTTTACCGTCACATATCCAATCTACCACAAACAACAGCTAAAACTGGTCAAATCAAGGTTTTCAGACCATATCTTACCTCTTTGAACAGCTTATACTGAATAAACTTAGACAGTCATACGGGATTTGAAGGGAAATTCCGGCGTAAAATTAATTTAGGGTCAATCACACCATAACACTGAGTTAGACACCTCCTCCAGAGATGAATGTTGCCGACTGCTTGCTTCTCCAAAACGCCACTCTATAGCCACAAATAATGCTCAGAACAGCACCTAACTTCATCAACAGGACATATAGGGTCACAGCCATAGTACTAGACACCAAACATCTTTTTAACTTTGACTCATTTCTTTAGCAAAGAGACTAAACACAACTCACCTACTCTCTTCCAGCAGCCGCTTGTTTGTAGCAAGACCCCAGGCCAGTCTATTATGGACTACAGCGGGGTGACGCAGCTCAAGGAAGAACATTTATGATCATTTCTTTATCATTTCTTTGAAGTAATAATCACCATATTAATCATTTTTCACTGCAGACACGGTAGTTCTTCGGCCTTAGCGTCTCGGTCTGATTGTATTTCCATGAAGAAATGATCATAAATGTTCTTCCTTGAGCTGTGGCACCCCACTGTAGTCCGTAATGGACTGGCCCGAGGTCTCGCTACAAACAAGCAGCTGCTGGAAGAGAGTAGGTGAGTTGTGTTTAAAAAAAAAAAAAAAAATGCATCAGATTTCATATAGCGCTTTATCAGAGACCCTCAAAGCGCTTTACATTGGATACATCATTCATTCGCTCACACAGTCACACTTTGGTGGTGGTGGAAACGTGGCTGCCATTCTGCGCCTACGGCCTCTCCGACCACCACCACACAACACTCACAATCATACACCAGTGGAGGACACACACTGGGAGCAAGGTGGGTTAAGTGTCTTGCCCAAGGACACAACGGACAGACTTGGATTAGGGGGGAATCGAACCGCCAACCTTCCGGTTATTGGACGACCGCTCTACCTCCTGAGCTACTGCCGCCCCCAGTTTAGTCTCTTTGCTAAAGAAATGAGTCAAAGTTAAAAAGATGTTTGGTGTCTAGTACTATGGCTGTGACCCTATATGTCCTGTTGATGAAGTTAGGTGCTGTTCTGAGCATTATTTGTAGCTATAGAGTGGACTTTTGGTTGAGGTTTGTTTATGGCTCCTCAGACCTCTCTGTATTGCTATCCTGCGGTCGTTTCTAAAGTTGGTAAAACTAGAGAAGCAAGCGGTTGGCAACATTCATCTCTAGAGGGGGTGTCTAACTTGGTGTTGTGGTGTGTTTGACCCTAAATAAATTTTACGCCAGAATGTCTCTTTGACCCTTAAGTAACTTCAAAAATTTGCAAATCCTGCTTCATAGTTCACTCGCCTTAAAGAGGAACCTAAGGGGGGAATAATATCAAACAACAGTCCTCACATAGATCAGGTCTTTGGATGTTTGTCTTAACCCTGATGCCACCAGAGCCGGACTAAAACTCTGCTGCAGCTTCAGATAAAAACCTCCCCCAGTCCTGATTTTGTCTTTCTTGTGATCTTTCCACAGAGCTGGTGATCCCTGCGACAGGAAACGTCTTCTACGCCATGACATCATCCAGTGTGGACTTCCTGTTGAGGAAAAAAGGCGGAAACGTTCCTCTGGGCTCACAGCCAATCAACACGGAGACGAGCGCCACTTTTCCTCGAATAAAAGCCAAGGGGAGGCGGCTGGTCCGGACTCTGTTTTGACGGCGTCGTTGTTTTTTCAGGAGCCCTCTTTAACAGCGATCGTGGCCTTCTCTGTGCACAACGAAAATTTGCATTTGCCTTTCTCCCAAAGTCCTGCGACGCGTCCTCGACCAAAAGACCAAGTCTCCATTTCATCTCTAGCCTAACCTCTCAGACCTCCAGCTGCCCCGCTGTGATCCCAGACTCTTTCAGAACTTATTCACACCGAGACGAGGAGCGACGGAAACATGTAACAGAGTTTTTTTGGTGCTGGCCCGTGAGTTTCATTCAGGTTGCACTCGAAGCATTTACTTCATTCCAGCTCACTGACTGAGATCTGTTTTAGCTCCCTGTAATCCAGAGGAAACTCCTCGTTGTTGTTGTTGTTGTTGTTGTGTGCCTACGCTGTGAGTGAAGCTACCAAATGTTGATCAGAGAAGATGCAGTTGAAGGCCGAAGAGCAGAAAAGGAAGAAGCTTATTGAGATCTAGATGAATCGTGTCGAGCATTTCTCGCCTGGCTGCCATTACTGCAGTGTATAAATATGGATTATGATTGTTCGACAGCTGCTGATCTGAGGAATTGAACATTATTCAGATTTTACAAATTCGACAAGAATAGCCGACATAATAAAGAAATAGGAGAAAAACTTGACCACCCTCCACATATATGTGATGTGCTGAGTAGCATCACTTTACTCGAGTTTTATCTTATAAATGAGATCATTTCAGTCATCAGTGATGAACAAAATCCTCCCAGAGCGGACCAATAGTACCAATAGCAATAAAATTCTTGAATTGAGTCTCTTCTGCATCAGTGAAGCTACTTGCGAAGCATTTTTGGCACTCTTTATAAAGTAAAGCTTTATATTAAAGTTGAACTTAAGTTTTCACAAAAAGTAAAAGTTTGTCACAGCTGTTATCAGCGTTAAATTTGAGTCACCGAACATCATGTCAGGGTCGAGTCTCTAATCCTTAAACTTCAAGTCCAAATCACCGGGAAAGAATCTGAGTTAAGCCCCATTAGTCTGGTCCTTCTTATTAATATTATTCTTATTTATTTTCATAGCAGCGGCTGTTTCACTCCAAACTATTGGGACCTTTTGGATGTGGAGAAAACACATTTTAACACCTCATGTCTCTTTACACACTCATCGATTCTGCTGCAGACATCTCTACAGTCTCTGCAGAGACGAACGCCGTCTTTAGCTTACTAATAGTCACATTATCAACAGTCCAGGGGCCGGCAGCATCTTAGTTTTCTGGCTGCATCCTGAGCAGATGTCTGTTGGAGTTGTTTTTGTCTCATATCCTACATGTTGCACCGCTCTTGCCTGCAGTTACTGTTGAATAGTTTAGTTCACAGTGTCTCTTTATCCTTGCATGAACTCTAACTCAGCATGCATGCTGGCAAACGCACGTTTAAGTCCGGTCTCTGGACTGAATAAAAAGTTAGGGCCTCACTTAAACATTAAACCAGAGCCCGGTCTTTATCATGAGTCTAAATAAGTGAAATAAGTCCAAGTTCTCCTAATGCAGTCAATGCTCGAGCCTGAGTCCTCAGTCAAAGTGCAAATCGGGTCACAAGTGGTGAAAATCGCTTCAACGCGGACTGTTAAAGCAGCTCAGCTTCCTCCTGATGTTGTAACCGCAGACTGTATATGAAAATCTATAATAATATTCTATATACAGTGAGTGGTTGTGACATAAAAAGCAACAGTGAAAGCAGAAAATCGATCAGCTTGCATTACAACGTGCAGATAGAGATTCCACTGCAGTAATGGCAGCTCGTGAAGTTCTGGTTGTTTGTCCGGTTTGTCTTCGGCGCCCGTCAGATCAGGTTCAGATAAAGACTAGCACACTAAAAGAAGAGCGGTGTGAGTGCATTACTGTAGCAAAACACTGGAGCTTGTCAAAAGAGACTTACATATGTGTTGTGTATATTTATATATATATAATTCAGTGAGTGTGAATGATGTCAACATTGTTTTTACACTGGCGAGGAGCTCTGTGTGTCTGAATCAACAAGGACAAGAACATTTCAAACAGGCCAGACTGACCGTAGAGCTGCATGAATCTGGGTTCTCTATGATTTTGCATTTTTAGAACAAAGTGTGTGTTTGAAATAACCTAAAAAGAAAGATCAACTTTGCAGCTCTGTGGAGCATTTTGGAGTCAAGGGAATTTACTAACTAAGGTTTACGTGCTACGACTGCGACGTTCCCAAAAGGAAAACGTGCGTAAACTAAGTTAGCGACTAAAGAGATAGATGCTTTCCTCAGTAGCTGCTGTGATACACCTGAAAGGAGAATTAAAAGCACTTATTTTATTACACGGACAGAATTACAGCTCCTCATGAATATTTCATCTTCAGCTGGGTTTGTATTCAGGCAGCTATTAGCTCATTAACCCCTTAACAGGCAAAAAGCGCTTAACAGCTTGAGTTTCGCTGCCCCCTAGTGGCCAAAATCAGACTAGAGCAGCTTTAAAAACACCTTGTTGCATTTTCAAGGTGTTTTGCTTCACCTCAGTTAATCATTATGAACCAAAACTATCAAGAATGGATATATCACACCATCATTATTAAGTTTAAAGACAGCAGATTAAGTTTCCACGCAGCTCATCTCCTCTGTTTTTGATGCACAGTTGAACGCCTCTGCTCCAAGTTCATGTCATGAAGTTACATGTCAGCCTCTCTGTGAATATCCTGGTCTCTGATGGAGTCCTGTGACCTCCGCTCGCTCCTGCTCAGAGCCGGTGACGCCTCCTGCCGGCCGAGGCTCGAGCACGCCGCGAGCGGAGCGAGGATTCTTCTGAGGACGTGTGCTCGCGTTTCACTGTTACTGAGTGTTTTAGTGCCTTTTTTTCTAACGGATGCTCATCTCTCCTCATGTTTGCATTAGAATGTATACATTATATACCCGTACAGTGAGGGACCGCAGTCATATCCAGTGCTGTGTCGTCTCACATCAAAGCTATTTATGCACTACATACAGGATGTCCTATTTTTGTGGTAATAAATTTACTTTTATATGAATTTCATCTCTTGTGACTGATGTGCTGTGATCACATTCATTTCTATTCCTCCACTAAATAAGACGGATACACACGAACAGCAGAAAACACAATTATGTGGAAGCAGTTACATGAAGTTTGAAGATAGCCAGCATCTTTATTTCCAAACAAAATTATGAGTAAAATGAGTTTAAATGTGTGTAAAGATGTTACATGACAGGAAAACCGAACAGAGATTTGGATAGGTTAAAAAAAAGCTTATTTGTAATGAAAAAGCACCTATAATAATAATTATAATGCTCATAATAGTCAGGTTAATTACAGAAGTATGTGTGCGCATGTGGCTGTAACACAGAAATCCACCAGCGATTATCAACACTGTTAAAATCTCAGATCCTGCCAACTGTTTCAGACTGATTTACAAGTCAAAATATCTCCTGATTCTTTATATTGATCAAATTCACCTCACAAAGTCCAGGTTTGACTTCTTTTTCAAGAAACTACAACTTAAACTGTCCTCATCTCGGGCACTTTAAAGCTCCAGTAGGGGGTTTTAGCTAAATATGAAGCAGGCTGAGACGACCTCAGAGACGAGCTTCAACCGGGGTTAGGCGTCAGACCACATGATTGACAGCCAAGTGTAGATGACCTCCTGTTCCCCAAACAAATACTCAAATAGACTGTTGAAGCAAAGCAGGATGGGATTTTTCTGCTAAAACACGTTCTATCTTCGTACAAGAAAGGATCATCTGCATCGTTTTGTCCACATGGGGGCGCCAAAATTGGTAGAAACAGAAAGCTCCTTATGGGAGCTTTAAAAAGTGGGTGTCAGGTATCAGTTTGTCAACACAGAGAGGGTCAGCTGATGGGCGATATATATGCTCGTACCATTAAGTGGTGGTTTATTTATGCATTTGAACTTTGATTATAAAAACAGCAATTATACCAGACAAATTTCTCTTATTAGCGTGATTATCTTAGCCGGGAACATGTCCCAAGTGGATTTTGAATGAATTCATAAACTAGAAAATATTTTGCGATGAGATAAATGTCAACAATGATATATTTGGCAGTATTTAACAGAATTGTTTTGTTGTAATATCTTCATTTATGTCCTCATCATGTGAATTTGTCTGATATTAAGAGGAAGGAGACAGTCTGAGCAGAAATCAGACAGTATTCATGGTAGGATTTGAGGGTTTTAAAGTTCATTTCATACATTTTTTTTATTCAGTTTCATTTAACTCGCTCCCTGAGATCACATCAACAAACCAACGACTGATTTGAACAGGAACATTTGGAGTCAGTGAGGCAGCACTCATAAAGTTTCCAGTATTTTCTCTTCAGGTGAATTAAAACCTGTTAGTCATGGAGACACTTGAACAAATGTTTTCATTAAAAGTCTCACTTTTCAGTTTTTGTGTTGTTGTAAAGTGAGCTCTGTATGTCGGTGTGAAGCACTTCACCTCTTGTCAGTTTTACTACTTCTACTCTTCCAGTGTTGTTCGGTGTGGATTTCGTTTGAAGAGGACGATGTAACAGCTCTTGGTTGCTTCCAACAACCACTTCAAACTTGTGAATGACCCGGTAAAATGGTGCCTCAGAGGCCCCTGAAAAATAGATTTTCTCATTTCTGATCAGCTTTTTAGCGAGAGGAATGAAATCTCAGTTTTCTGCCGTCAGTTTGAGCTCCAATTTCACTGGAGATAGTTTTTTCATTTTTGTATTTAAGTGCAAAAATATGATCATTTAAATTAGATTTTAACACACATTAAAAGACATGTAAACATTGCACCAAGCTTTCACCCGTGTCCAGTATAATCTCCCTCTTTTTACCCCCTGGTGATCCTTTACTGAAGCCCAGTTGACCCACCTTCCTCCATCAGGTCGTCAACACTTCACTGTCTCTCCTCCACAATCCTCACACTGCAGCGCCGCGGTCCGGTACGCCTTCCACACCACAGGATCGCGCAGACACACCGTACCGCCGCCACGCTTCTCCTCCGCCTCGTTCCGGTTTATGTCCCCCACACAAACCCAGCCTCCTCCAGGACCTGACCCAGCCGCCTCAGTGCTGACAGCCCACTTGGAGTGATCCTGGCTGGTCTTGAAAGTGAACGTCTGGCCCGGGTCGATGAGCTTGATGTCCAGGACCTTCCAGCCCTTTGAGCAGTCGGAGGGGAGGACTCCTGTGGAGCGAACCCAGAACTGGACCAGAAGGTCTGACTGGAGTGTGGGGGCCACCCAGGAGTGGTACAGGTCTAGTGAGGCACAGAAAGAGGATTTACATTTAGTTTTTCTGTTCAGGAGCTTTCTGAAGAGTGTTAGGATCACAATAAGACATTGTACCTGTAACATGAGCTCATTTAGAGCTAAAAATAAACCCAAGGTGAAGCTGAGACTACGTGAGCAGCAGCCAGATCAAACTTTCAATTCCTTTCATTATCTGAAAGTCATACCGTTGTCAAAAGAAGCCCCTTTGGCAAAACTGATGAAGTCTGTGCCGCCTTTGGAGGTCAGAGTCACGCTGCGATTGGCCACAGGTTTGATGTGTGGAGAGATGTGAGCGCCGGGCAGAAGTTTCTTCTTACAGACAGCGGCCAGCGCCGGCACCAGGGAAGCCAAGGACTCCGGGACGTCACAGTCGTACACATTAGGCTGATTGATCTGCAGCTGTTCTCCTGTGGCGCAAAACAAATTAGATTTAAGACAAACGCTGCGAACAGCACTCAACGACTTCTCTATTTGTTTAGCAGTGTAAATGAATAGAGCTGTCTTGGTGACATTGTGAGGGCAGATGACAGAGGAGTAACAGACCTTCACATTATAGGGAATTACACTGTAAATTAGAGATGCAGAGGGGTCTTTTTTGCACTGCTGCTTTAAAGTTTTTAATCTCTTTCTGTCAAATAAGTTCTGGGATTTGATTTCATTAAACTGTTTCATGTCGTCTGTCCTCTTACGGCGCTGCTGGGACGTGTTCAACAACCTGCATATCGCTGATCTTTCTACCGAATTTGCGGTTTACAAGTTTTTAATACATCGCGACTAAAATATGACCATAAAAGGCTGTCAAACATGGTCAGTATTATACCTACTAAAACACATATCAATATGTGGCTTTAACTCTTAATTAAATAGTTGATTAACTTTTTTAAAACTTAATTAAATATAAATATTTGTGCTCATCTATCTCAGTAATTATACAAATTTAAACACTGGCGAGTTTACATCCCTGATAGAGACGGTTTAACCAGCCACACATTCAGAAAGCTGTAATCATGAACTCTGTCACATCTCAGTTTCCCCTCATTAATGTGCAAATTGATGCTGCAAGGTGCTCCAAAATGAAACGCGTCAAGGCTGCGGCTGCGCTCGCCGTCTGTTATTCCGTTCTCTGTACATCCATGTCACCCCGGACACCGTCACACTCTCAGCGTCCCAGCTGGAGAGACACAGATCTGATGGAGCACGCGCGTGCCGCAGTGTGAGGGCCCGTATCTCTATGGTAACATACCTCAGTCTAATTACATTACCCCAGGCACTGCCATAGCAACTGTGCCAACTGCTGGGTCTGCCAGGGAACTGCACAGACAACACAGTGTCGTGGTGATGACACCTGTTCGCGCTGATTACTCTGGATCTGGATTGTTGTTCCGTCAACACCTGACCGGATTATTAAGTACGGGGTGACAACAAGACCGTAATGACGGAGGAAACGTCCCTTTAGATGAGACAGAAATCACTCACAGTGTACTCAAACCGCTCTGCTTTGATTCTATATCTTTTCACCTGATATTTATTCACACGGGGGACATCAGCGGTATTTTTTACACGATAAAAAGATGAATATTTATCAGGGTTTGTGGTGAGCTTTCCAAACAGCACCCATGAGGACAGCCTTGTGGGAGACTTGCTTTTACAAAGCAGCTCTTTAATGGACCAATCAATAGCGGGTTAACACTGAGATATATTACATGTGATTATGAACTTAATGGGCTTCAATTGACTTCCTCACTGTGGAGTTTTTATTATATCAGCAGGGGAGTTCACGATTGGCTGTTATGATAAGAGGTATAAAATCGTTATGAAGAAGCCCAGACGCAGAGTTTTAACCACATTCCTGTGAACGTGTTGATTCTTCATAATTCAGGTTTTTAGTCTTACCGATGGTCTGGAAGCGCTCGAGGGGGTAGGTAACACAGATGAAGTTCTGCCCGTTGTTCTCGCCGCTGCTGGGGTAAGAAAACCGTCCTTCCTGTCGCACTGGGGGAAACTGAGGGGTGCTGTGGACCAACCAGAAGCCCTGAGTTTTATCCAGCAAGACCACGCCTGAGGAGCAGAGAGATCGAAACAGTCAGCGGAAAAGATCATCTTTATACCCCGATAGTGAGTTCAAGGTTAGAAAGTTCAACACTTTTCATCCAGAATTACAAACCAAAGGTAACGCTCTTAAAAAACGGTTGGTTTGGTGATGTAGACTACAGATTGATAAGTATACAAGGTTCTGGGAAAGACTGACTTCATATTCTTGGATGTGTGAATCATCATTCCAACTTGTACCATTTTATGACCCGTGTCAACCAGACCAACCTGTCTGTTCAATCATATTCTCAACGTACTTTCTGTTTTATGGTTCTTTGTTTATATGCTTGTTTGTTTGTTTGTTTGTTTGTTATGTTAAAAAAATCAAAATCTAAGAAAAGAAAGTTTAAAAATAAATAAATGAACAGCAGCCTCCTCAGGCCAAACAATCTTCACATGTGCCCCATGAAATACAGAGGTTATGTCTCGTATGGCCAGCCCTGTCGCTCCTCGCTCTCTTACAAAGTAAAGGCAATAAGTCTAAAAAAAGGACCGCAGACAACCTTCACAGGGTCCTGTTTGGATCTAGTGCTAACGGTTAATGTTCGTTAAGGTGTTCACTTTGTCATAAAACATTGTAGTAGTAAAACATTAATTATAGTTAATTATAAATGTGCAATCTGAACCAGAGTCTGCCTCATAAATTTTTGATACTGATGCTTGAGATCCTCATCAGTTTTTTTGTTTTTATTCTGCAACTGTTTTTACGATACAACACGGTCAGTGCTGTACAATATGATAAGGTATGACGCGAGGCAACACAATATAATAGGATTGGTCTTGATACGGTATAATCCAGTAAGATGCAAAGCACCATGATACATTTTATTCTCCTTTTTGGACGTTTCTCTGGGAATCAAGTGCTTTATATGCTTAACAGTAAAACCAGTAAATAAAATAAATAAATAAAACATTTCCAAAAAAACCATAAACAATAAACCACATACAAAAAAACCAAGAACCCAGACCAAGAAGACCACAAACAAAAGAAAAACATACTGCAGATTACCGAGCTACCGCTTCATAAATAAGAGAAAGACAAACACGTAAAAAATAAGAACATAATGATATTTTCTGCCTCAAGAAACACTGTTTAACATTTTGATCCAGGTGGGCACAAAGACGGTTTAAAGAAGATCAGTTTACATTAGGGGGACTCTGTATCATCTGCCAGAAGGTAGGCGCTCATACAGAGAGGAGGATGAGCGAGGGGTCAGACAACACTGGCTGTGCTTGCTTAAGAACAGACTGCTCATATATTTACTGGAATAAAGTTGTTTTCAGTCGTCTTATGACCTTAATGACAGTCTGAACCGAACAGAGAAGCTGAGATTTTGAAGCGTTAATGTGGACCGGGCTATGAAAGACAACAAACATACACTGAACAGTTCACTCTCTTGTGTTAGACTTGTTGTATTTGCTGGTTTTGTACTGTTTTGAGTATTATGTCAATTCTCTGAGAGCCTCCTGAGCTGTTACAGTATTCGAGGGAACCTGCTCTGGTCCTTACCTTTTGTGTGACCCCCTTTGTGCCCACTGTTTGGGACCCATCTGTCACCCAAGTCCGGAGAGGGGGGCTGGTCATTGTAAAGGATGTATGCAAACTCTGTGTTCTGTGAGGGGAAATAAAGTCATTATAGTAAAAACCATCAAAATAGGCCAACATACAGCTCTAACACACAGCAAAATAAAGCAGCTTGACATTTACAAGTTCGTGTGAACAAAGAAAAAGCTTCTGTTTTGCATGGACCTGCTGTTGAAACCACGGTGTGACCGCACTCACAGCTGTTCAGACAGACCGACTCCGTATTTATCCGTTTTTACGAGTGACTTTCAGTTCTCATTCTCAGTTTCTGATTCTGTCGAATTTTGTCACATCTCAAGAATTATTTCTAGAAGCAAAACCTGGTTCAAAATAAATGACATCTGTTCATGAGTGTCTGAAGAAGTGCTACAAAGGCCAGAACTCATGAGGGCGTTTGAAATGGGGTTAATAGAAATAAAATACCTCTAATTCAAACATATAGAAAGTCTATGAAATGATCATTTTGCATTAATAATGTATCTATAAAACCATGACTGAAAGAGGATGTAAAACTGTGTTGTAACCTCTGATTCTCATGTAAAATTTTCTTTTGTTTTTGCAGCAGAAAATAAGAAGCAGACCTTTTCTTGTGAGTACATTTGTCCCACTGTCCTCCCCAGAGCTCCAGTGGTGTCATTCACTGTTCCTTTCCCGTTAGTCCATCCGTCGCTCCCTTTTTCCAGCAGTAAATACAGCTCACCCTGTTGGGGAGACTTCTTGCCATGTTCTTTTGGTAGTTTGTACAAATAAAACCTAAAACAGAAAAGACAAAAACTCACTTAACATGATTAAAATCAACCACAAAGTGTAAGTTTCAAAGCTGGTGTTATGAAGTATTTTCAATGAGTTACCAATCAACTGCTTCTCCCTGGTCGTTATAGCAGCTGATTGGTGAGGCGTCGCCCCCTAGTGGCAGACAGGAGATCAGCAGGGATAGGAGCAGAATCATCTAAGGAACAAAAGGCAGACTTGTTGAATCAATCATTTGATAAAAAACACTTTTTCTTTAACAGTTACAAGAGAGTAAATATGTCTTAGCTAAAGATTTAAATGCTGTTAATTAACTTATACTGTTATTGTACACATAACAGTGTAAGTGTGGTCTCAATATGGACTCGAACCAACTTCAATCTATCATTTTTGTGTAGGGGAAGGTGGAGGGGAATATTCATACTTCCTTAATAAAGTACCTCTGAATAGTCAGTGCTTAGATCGCTCTCAAACTACTTGTGACAACTATCTAAAACTCTCAAGCCAAAGAACTTCTGATGTAGTTTGTCAATTTATTGGTAAATTACCGAGATATTTTACACTAATATAACACTGCAGATATACCAAGCAACAAGATCTGTTTTTTTGTACCAAATATCAAAATTTATCTCTGAAATAAAAGTGTTTGCTGGATGTAGTCAGGTGTAAAAAAAAAATTATAAATTATTTTAGCCAAATTTTGTACATTTGTGCTGACCTTGTGTCAGTAAAGGGCTGAATCAAGTGTGGTAAAATGAGACAAAAGTTTTATGATTTTAGAGGAAATGGATTTAAAGTCACAAATAAAACACACCATTGTTAATTTTTTAGTATTTAAGTATAATATAAAAAAATGTACATATTCTTTTCAAATCACAATATGACTGAAAGAAAGCGTACTACAATGTTAGTTTTTCATCCCAGTGGGATGTTTTCCACTCTTCAGTTAATCAGGAATCTAGCCAAGTGTCTCTGGACTGTTTTACCTGCCAGCAGAAATAAATATAAGCTGGAAACACCAGGCTATCAGATGTCATGATGTACCACTACAAAAGTGTCTTGCAGTTTCTCACTTTTCACAGAACCGCTGAATCATGATACTATCATGAATCACGGGCCTGTATGACAACTTAGCTTATGATTTCCACTCCTCATATTTCAGTAGAGGGGAGTGGGGTAAGATGAGCCATTTTCATATTTTGGATCACTACATCAAGTCAATCCTAGTTTTGTCTCTAACTAGTGTATCTGCATATGTTTCAGGATGTTGTTCATCCCTGAAAACCAACAGAATGAGAGTAAACAGAACTGTAATCTTGATAATATAGCATGACAAAAAAAGTGGTCTCCTATGGTCAACTTACCCCTTACTTACTCTCCCCTATTTTAAATTTAAGCACCAGTCCCGATCAACCTAAACTGTAATTATAAGAAGCTTCACTAACCTTAGGTGGATATTAATATGCTTCCCTGTTTCAATACTGCTTTCTGGGGATGTATTTTGTTTCATTTCTCTGTGTGTACATCTGTTAAGTTATATTAAGATTAAAAAGTTTTAAAAGACAAAAGAAAGATTTTGTTAAACTTGTCTATTTTTTCCAAACAGAGGCTACAGTTCATTAAAAGGCTTCAGTTTAACAGCAAAAAGGCATAAATCTCAGTTTAGTTGCAGCAGTTAAGCCACGAAGATAAATCAAAGTCACTGAAAACACAAAGTTTCATATAACTAATCGTACCCACCTTCGGTTCAGCTTCTTACTCTTCATTTATGTCCTGAAATGGTTTTTATTTAGTCCTCAGCATAAACTTGTAGAGAAGTGTCCCCGGAGTTTCACCTACATCCTTGTTTCGGTCTGGGACAGTTTTTTAAAGGATAAGACGATGACTTCAGACCGACGTTTGTCCTCATAACAAAGGTTTCTCACGGTAAAATCGACACGGACATCAAGATAAAACAAAAACAAACATACAGAGACTGTATTTTAACATCAAAAACTAAAGAAAAACACAAAATAACGTTAATTTAATCAGTTATATTCCCCGGTCACTTCCGCGTTAGCGACTAATCCTTTTAAAAAAGTCCCGGGTCGAAGTCTCGTGGTATATGACGTCAAAAGTGGGCGGGTTTACATAAAAAGGCGGGCCCAGAAAAGTTTAACTCGAAATACAGGATTATTTTCAATACGAACGAAAATATTTCGTGTTTTTATCGTTAATTTAGGAATAAATTCGTCATCTTAAATAGATAAGATGTTGTTCTCGCTTTTAAAATCAATTTTGTTTGATTTTAATCATTCGGAGCAGCCAATACTTTACACTTTCCTGTGTGTTAATCATGGCGTCCAATAGAAGTGTTGAACATTTTATCAAACAGATCAGTCTTCTTATCCATCTTTTCCATCGTTATTTCCATTGTTTATTGATTTATTTATTTGCTTTTTTAGGTCTACTTTTGATCAAATTTCTCCTGGAAGTAAACCTGTCATTGGTGGGTTATTGATTAGCACAACAGTAGAGTTTAAACTGGAGGGTTTTCAGACTTTTACCCCATCAGATCAGTTTATTAAGTCCCCAAAAAACAAATGCATACATGGAAAACCTCTGTCAGCAAACTTAAATTAAACTGCTATTTCAGTATTTTATGACCTTTGTCTTGTCTGTATTTCTTTTGCGCATCTACACCTAAAAAGTGGAACTAGAATTTGGCCTGTCGGCTTTTTGTTGTTTCTTCCTGTTTGACTATTTCACAGCTGTGCTTCATTCTTTTTGCCACTTGCCTTTAATCCTTGCTTCTCTGTTCCTGTTTTTTCATTTGTTTTAATGTTTTTATCTGTCGTAATATCACCTGATAATTCGGGGCAGAGGGCTTGAAGAGGTCTTGTGATTAAAAACTGTCTAATTCATCAAAAACTTGGAGATAAATCATGAACTTTGACCTTGCACCCAAGGTTTAAACCTTTTAACTTACAATATTTAAACAATTCTTTATTGATTATATAAACATGAGCTTCAGAGGCATCATGTTCACCTGTTTAACTTGCAGTATATTCTGTCTTTTACTGGATCTCATGTGTTGGTGTTTGTCAGAGCGTTGCTGTACAATAACAACACTTAGTCAACTTCTATTTGAGGAAGTGACACTGCATCCTCTCGTCACCTCTAACCCAGCTTGTGCAGAGCGACCAGGACTTCCTCATGCAGCCCTCCTCTGAACACACAGCAGAGGAGGTCACAGGTTTGCAGACAGAGGGGCTTCTGGCTGCTGACATCTTGTGGCCCTGGATATTTGCATGCGGCGTTTTGCGAGTGTATTTCCAAAGAAGCGTCTGTGTCATGAGATTTACTGGTTGACTACGATCAACTACTGTAAGTCAAAGACACTAAACCTCACAGCTGTTCTCTAAACAGTATCTGCACTCATTAAAGTGTTGCATATAAATCTCTTTCAGGCTGATGTGACCTTCTTTGACAATGAATCAATATAGTAAATAAAAATTCAGGAACTCTTTGATAAAGCCTGTTTTATTATGCATAGTCTGTGAAGAATTTACACATCTGTTATTGCTTTATTTGTTCCCTAAATGAAAGATTATGAGTGCTTCTCTTTGCAAACAAACACTCTGAATTATGTTCATCCAATGTTTTAATCCAAGTTCATTATAACTGATGATCAGCTGTTGAAGGACTGCAGCAGGTTAGGCACATAATTCTCACTCAAACACTAAAAGACTTCAGTGTTTAACACCTCAAAAGCACACACTTTGGTGGATCACATTTAAATAAATCGAATAAAAGATAAATACAAGCTGCCCTCATTTGCAATCTGTTTATTTTCTGCAGGAGAACTTTTCATATACAGTCGAACGCTCTGTGGCCTTTCAGCTTATGTCTACTTCCCACCATCCCTGGTGTGTTTAACAGTAGACTACCTCCTCCACACTCAAACACAAAATCACTCAACCTCTCATCACTCACTCTCAGTACAAGATTTGGAAAAAGCATTGCTTACCTATTGCTCCTAGGAAAAATAAAATACCAAACTAGTAAACTTCACAATCACATCAGGACCCTCTCGAGGTGCATTTCTACCAGGGCTGTCGCAGTGTACCAGTGAAGTGATTAGGAAAACATCTTTAAGAAATAAAATACTGATATCATGCTGAAAACAAACACAGGATTGTATCTCCTCTCAAAACTGAGGAGAGACGAAGCAGAAGTAGTGGACTGCTAATGAGCGAGCTGAAGCCGCCCCTTGAGAGGCGATGATTAGCTGCAAATCAACGTTGGAGCTCGTGCCTCTTCAGGTTTCTAATTAACTCAACATTTAGACTTTATGATTGTTCTTTTAACAGCTTTCTATTAGATCTGCGACTTATAATCCACTGAAAGAAGGACACTTCAAAATAAAAGCATAGTTTGTCGATGCAGTGTATATAGAAACCAGGACAGAGGAGGGAAATTTTTCAAAATAAAAGCATGACAAACAATCGTTTAATGAGCCAGAGTCTCCTCCAGTTTCAGTCACAGGGCTGATTATTAAACTTAAATTGGAGTATTGTTAGACATGGACGACAACTCATAAGGTAATTGGTTCAGTTTATAAAGCTGCACCATGTTTTGTCTTTCCTCATTTTGACCAATAATGTTATTTCATTTTGAAGTTTCCTTAAATATCACGATCATGTTGTTATTATTATGTTTTCTGGCCAATATAGCCGTGAAAATCTGACACCATGACAGCCCTAGTTTCCACCAAGCAGGTCTGCTTCAGCTCAGTTTGGTTTGGTCTTTGAGTTTCCGCTGTTCAAAGTAAGAAAAGGTACCAAATAAGTCGATCCGTACCCTCCTTTTTCTGGTGCTGGTCTGTTGGGGTACCGAGTGGACCTGTTGATTAGTCAGAAAAGTCATCATCTCCTGAGCTGTTTGACTGTATAAAATTCTTCTTATTATTGAAAATACTATCAGGTTACACAGCTGTGATATTACGCTTTTGCATCGCTGACACAGCAAAGTAAGGGTACAACCAGCAAGATCCGACTTTACCAAACTACAACACACTGAACTTTACTGAACCAAACTGGACCGCCTGGTGGAATCGCACCATTACAAAGCGCTACTGCTCAAACATGAACGCTCAAGCATCAATCCAAAAAGCTTTCACACTGTCCAAGATCATGAAGGATGACACAGCCCTAAAAAGTATCATCAGGGTAAAAATAAACTAATGTAAGAGTAAATAAAGCTAAAAAAGCTGCAATACTGGATGGCTCCCCCATAGTTTTTGTGCTTTTTTTTCATCTCAGGTTTGCAGCAGGCATGGAAATTCAGTCCTTTGCTCCTCCATGCGTCCCCCTTGGACCCTCAGGAGAAGGGAAAAGAAGTCCTCGTCATCCATGGGTCCAGGAGCCCTGCTGCGCTGGTCCTCCAGCCTGCCCTGAGCCTGTGGGTAGAAGTTCATTGCACAAAAATGAGGTTCAAAGTGAATCACTTCTCCACTAAAAATAGCATGAGACAGAAGCTTTGATGTGTTTTTAGCTGCAACAGCTTGTATCTTGCTTACTTGTGTGGTGAGGATCATGTTGTACAGATCCTCTTTGGGCACAGGAGCCGCTGCAGGAGTTGGTACAGGAGCGGGAGCAGACACAGGCCTCCTGACAAAAGAGAGCTGCTTCAGGCTGCCTCTGAAACTCCTGCCCTTTGTTTTTGGTGGAGACCTTTCAAGCTGCGCCCTCTGGTCATCCAGCCTGCGAGCCTGAGCGGTGGCCACCAGCTCGAAGAACTCCTCTTTCTGCAACGAAGTCATGGAGGAAAAGACGACTGTGGAGAAATGAGAGAGCACAGCAGGAGGCTTTCAGTGGTCAGCGGTTAAAGAAAAAAGCAAAAAAAAACATGTCAGACAAAGAGGTTTCTAAAGGTTTTTGAGTCATAAAGTACAGGGCCGCTCTGGGTTGTTTGAGCTTGATCAAAATGAGTCAGCATCACGACGTGGAAACAAATGCACCAGTTTCATCATCTCAATTTCACTATTAGCTTCACCGCTCTCTCTCACCTCTCTGCGCTGGCTTGCCGGTGTTCGGCTCGGAGTGGCACCTCCTCCTCCTCAGCCCGCTGGCCTCCAGGCTGAAGGAGCAGCGCTGGTCATTGAGCCGCCTCCCCTCCTGGAGGGTGCAGAGGAGCTCATACAGCGACTCCGGGAAGTCGGGGGTTAACCGGTGAGCCTGTGAAACACGCGGGTAGGTGTCAGAGAAAGAATGAGGGAGGGAGGAAAAGGTTTCTCGCTGAGTGGCACAGACTGTTTGTTGGCACAGCAGAAGAATTCACTCAACTCCTACGTACTCCCACATGCTCTGTAACAAAGTGATAGCTGCTTTTTTTCCACCGGGAGGTTGTTTTTCCCGCAGAGTTCAGAGTGGATGCTTGGTTAAGTACAGACAATAAAAACAAATGCTGCATGATTGGGTTATTACAGAGACAACAAAGAAGTCCACAAACCTTTTTGGTCTCTGCTTCCGACTCTGAACAACTTGAGCTTTTTTTATCCACTTGAGGCTCAGTTTCTCCGACGTTCTTGTCCTCAGTGTCGCTTGTTTTCTCAGGTTTCGCATTAATCCCTGTCGTCTCACTCTTACTATCATCTTTACTTTGTCCATCGCTCATGTTCTCAGTGTCCTCTGGTTTTTCACCTCCTTCTCTACAGTCCTCTGCATTAGTTTCCCCTTCCTCTTGACTCCGCTTTTCTAAACACACTTTACTCGCAGCAGCATCTTCTTCTTTTTCGTCCTCTCCCGTGTGTTCCTCTTCCTTTTTCAGAGCCGAACCCTCGCTGCCGCTCAGCACAATGAAAGCTGAACTGATGTGTGACTTTTTTGCTGTAACACCCTCGGTCGTGTCTCCTTCCTCGGTGATGTGGAGAGGGCTCTGCGGCTCCTCTTCAGCCATTTCAACTTTGATCTCTGCACAGTCCATTTATCTCGCTGTCAAACCTTGACAAGAAGGACATTGAAATAGGGGTTAGGTAAAAGATTGTAGGTCAGAGACGTGGTGGAGCCTATTTTAAACATTTCTACAACACAAAATAGAGGAACAGACATGCAGACTGTGATGTTTGTATCCTTAACTCACTGAGAAATGTATGTGAAACCAGTTTGGCAGGTTTCAACATGTTGACTACAGATGTTAAAACTGAAAATCCAACAGTAAGTCTTATATTTCCATCAGTTGTTTGACAACAAAGGTGTGTGATAACAGTCTGAGAATGTGCCCGCATCTGATTTTTCTCACCAGTGTTTTCTCTTTAATCTCTGTTGAAGTTTACTCTCATTTTGTCCCCTAAAGTTACCCCAAATAAATGTAGATTTGTTCTTACCTGTAACGTTATCCCCTCACAGCATCATCTGCTAAAGTCACCGCAGTCCAAGCACAGCATATTCCTCCTCACTTGTCTTTTCAGAGTCTGTATGAATAAAAAAAATGTAGAAGCTTGGTATGAGAGGTTTCACATGCCGACGTGACAAGCTCTCGCCCGTTCTGTCTGACTGCTACCTTCTCTCTCGTCTCCTCTCTTCCTGTTCCTCTTACCACAGCCCACCCCTATTTACTTAGCCCACATTTGACATGTCACTCTATTATGAAATAGTGCTGTCAAAAGCAGAAGAAACCATCACACATTTGCTTTGTATGGTCCAAAGAGAGGGCTTTTCATTCCAGATCAGTTAAAAAGCTGTCAAAGCTGTAATCTGCTGCTGCTGCCTTGAGTGCTGTTCATTTGATTATGACAGACTCGACTTCAACATGTTGAAACAGGCTCACAGTTCTTCTGACACTGCTGTGGTTTTGGCACACATCCTGTTGACTTGCTGCTAAAAAGAGAAGTAGAGTCAGACGAGAGAGAGAGGAGCTGAGTGAGATTATCACTAAAACCAGAGACATTAAAAGACAAATACTTTAATCTGAGAGTCTGTGTCAAAGCTGCTCACTCGGTTTGGATATCACAGCATCATAATCTCTATTTGATGTAGCTGGATCTCTTTTCTTTGTTATTTCCTGACGCCCACATGCTCACTTCTGCTTTCTGAATAAAAACGCACACTGCAGATGTTTTGGTAACGTTTCACCCAGCAGTGTGTCGCTTGTCTGTCAGCACAGTGTGTTACATGTCGTGTATCTTTCCTTGTACATCAGTCAAGGATCCTAATCTGAGTGATGCTTTACCACCAGAGGGGGTCATCTGTCTGTAAAGTATGGTGGCCCGAAAGGGCAACTGTACAAACATGTTATAAACACAAAAAATAGTCAACCTGACACAAAACCATTTCACAATATTCTAAAAATATTTAATGAAACTCCAAACAAAAGTCACAAACACACAAAAAAATTGAATTAAAAAGTTTTTAAAAATTGAATTTTTTTTGATAGATACAAAAATATTTGACATAACACAAAAGCATCTCATCAAAAGAAATTAGCAAAATATTTCACCAAATCCTTGACACATTTTTCCGTTTTGTAAAATGTGTTTGCCGTAATTGAACATTTTCTGCTTTTGATAATAAATTTATGCATTTCACATCGTTTTGCATTTCGTATTGTCTAGAATTTGACTTTTTTTTTGTTGCATAAAATATTTTTACTTTCCTGTAAGTTAAAATTTTTTTGAACCACTTTCTTGCAAAAAATGTTGCCGTTTTGCAAAATATCTTTGGGCTTCATCTAATGCATTTTGAAAATTGTTTTTGTTTTGTTGTGTCTGAAGTGAGTAAAATGTTTCTGCATTCAATAAAATATTTAGACAACTTGCAAAGCTTTTTGCATTAACCAAGTGAATTTCTTTGGTTTTTAAAAATACTTTATGTTATGCATTTTGAAATGTTTTTCTATTTTGCATAATATTTTTGGTTTTCATTAAATATTTTTTCATATTGCTGATTTTTTTATGTATTTTATAAAGTATCTTTGTGTTCATTTAAACATTTCTGGGTGAATTATTATTGTTGTTTATTCTTGGTGCAGTTGACCTTCAGGGCCAACATAATCAACAGCAGAGCCAGCCCAAGGCATAAGTGAACTAAGTGCCTGCTTAGGGCCCCGCGGCCAATAGGGGCCCCCAAGAGCAATAAAAAAAAAAATGTTTTTAAATATTTTTTATTTGCATGTATGAGTGATGCTTATATATTATTGTAAAAGTAAAATGGAATAAAGTAAAAACATTTTAGTGATGCTGCCGATGTAGGCCTATGATTCTTACTGTCGATATGTCAGAGCTCCGCTACCGTTATGTGCTTTTTGCCGTGCAATGTGCACTGAGCATCCAAAGCGCAGGTAGTTGTGGGGCAAAACAATGTCGCAAAAAAGGACATAACCTTCAGGAGCAGAGAAAAGAAAGAGGAAGAAAGAGGAAGAAGAGAAAAAACGTCAAGATAAAGGTATGTTTGCATGTCATTGATAACCATAGTTAATCAAAGAGATTTGTGAAGTTGTGTGAATGATCAACAATCAATATTATTGGCAGAAGTAGGGGGCCCCAAAATCAAATTTTGCTTAAGGCCCCATTGAGGCTTGGGCTGGCTCTGCTCAACAGCATCTTCATTATTTTTCAAGGTACAAACTTACAACCTTTGAAGTCTTTTTTTTCCAGCTCACATTACCTCTCTGTTTTCTATCTTAGGTCCTCTGCTTCATTTTTTGTCTCTCCTGGACCTCTAGAAAGCAGTTGCAGTTGTTCTCCAGTGAGTCCTTCTTGGACCTGTGAGAAGAAGGAAAGAGAAGAAAATGAATGCTTCAGCTTTTTTTTAAATGAGTTAATAACTTTTCTGGTAAAGTGGTCGTGATTCTATTGCTTTGTTATTTTCCCAAACCACATTAAGCGTTTCTACTTCGTACAGCAGCTGGTGGAGAAACACAGTGTTCTCATATGTCACTCTTTTATCTTCAAACACAAAGGCTTCACTGTACTCTGACATGCTGTCGTCTGTTTACATGGCTTGTACGTTTCCTTCTCTGTCGCTAGGGGACTCATCTTTGTGCGATGCCTCGGTGTTGTGGGTCTGTCTGTGAACACACAGTCGGGCAGCAGTCGTCGCCACTGTGCGTCGCCGAAAAATGTTGCAGCAGCAGCCTCTGACGGGCAACGGGCCCTCAAATGGCCGGGGACTCGGCATGAGTGGCCACCCCGGGATGCACGGCCTGAACTCGGTTCACGAAGCCTCGCAGCACCGGTCTGACGGGGGGAACCCGGGCCTCGAGGGCACGGAAAACGGACATGAAACCCGCAGAGATATCGGAGACATACTGCAGCAAATAATGACCATCACCGACCAAAGTTTGGACGAGGCACAGGCAAAGTTAGTGTGAACTTTATTTACATTATTCTGCAGTTTTTCCAAGATGAAATCTGTTTGTTGTTTTTGTCGCTTTTGTCGATCAGACTGTCTGAGGTAAAGTTTCCTGAAGTTCAACCTATTGTTTAGATAATTAGCCAGCAGCTCTCATTAACGCTCATGTGAGCTCTCAGAAACAAAGGCAGCTTTATTAAGACCGTGTCTGTGATCATATGCTGTCACATTATCCAATCATTATTGTTTCTTTGCTTTCATAAACACGCGTATTTCTCACAGACAGTGTCCGCTATTGTTAGCATGCTAGGCTGCGCTAACGTTGCTAACTAGCCGGAGCTACTTCAGGTAGCGAACAGGTAACGCTGGTATGAACATTAAGAAAGTATTTCATTTTAATTTTAATGGGATAACTGCGTAAAATAAGTAATAATAATCAAATAAAAACAGATTTAGTCTTTTGGTTAACACGGGCATGTGAATAAACGCGTCTTTAGCTGTTAGCTTTGTGGAAGCTAGCATTAGCTCAGTTAAAGGTAAAGGTGTTTGTGTTCGTGATGGAGTTGTGTTTTTGTGTTTTGTTTTGGTCACTTTGAGTGTGTTTTCAGCTCCTGTGTTTAAAGTCAGTGTCTCGTCTCTTGTTTTCTTTGTGTGTAGGAAACATGCGCTCAACTGTCACCGGATGAAACCTGCTTTATTCAGCGTCCTCTGTGAAATCAAAGAGAAAACAGGTACTCACTCCTCTTTTTTCACTCTTGTTGTGATTAAATAAACGTTAAATTTTTAGGTTTCAAAAGTGGTTTATCATGCGTTTCTTGTCCCAAACGTTTGTCTGAGTGCACAGTGGCTTCATGTGTTTTTGCAGAGGTGTGTAAACCTGTGTTGACAAAGTGTCATCAGGATGTAATCAAGTCAAAACAGGTTTACACACAAATATGAGATCCCTGTTTGTTTATGCTTTTACTATTCTCATTAATACTTTCTAAAGATCTTAATATTTTTAATCATTATTTAGCAGTAAATCAACTGTTTTCCCACTATAATTGATAAGCTTTTTCATTGTTCATTTTTGTTGACAATAGTAATGTGTCATTTCGAAAGTTTTCTGGTGCATTATATTTAAAGGTGTGTCTGATATTTTGTTAATTAAGTGGACAAAATATGATGAACACCTTTCACTCCAATAGGGGAGACCGGAGATGGTTATAACATTGGGAGAGTTGCAACTATTTCCACCAATCAGGGATGACATAGGAGTCAAATGCTCATTTTATTATAAACACACATGATTTTGAGATATGAAAATATATTTTTTGATCAAGACTGTATCTTGTTTTGTTCTTTTTCCTAAACCGATAAAATCATACTACTTATATTGAACTAAATAGTAGTTTTTCAGACAATCATAGTGACTTTTTAGAAACTTCATAGTATTCTTGTGGATTGACATGGTTTCTTCTTTAGTGAACAAATATGTGTACTTTGTAAAAAGAAAAAAAGAAAAGAAAAGAAAACTGTTGCTCAAATATTGGTGTTTATCCAGCGCTTCAAGGGGGAAAAATAAGTCACAGTTCTCCTCTTATTCAATTGTTGGTTGTATATTGAGTTGCCAGACACTATGAGGTTATGCTCAATTTAGCTGCAGAGGCTGCATTTGTTGAAAAAATTTTTGTACTGTGTCACAAAAACACATCACCTTTAACTTAAGGTACATTCAGTATTGTCAGAGTGTTGACCCGCCCCTTCTTATTGAAATGAGATTAAAGTAGACACATGGCTGCCTTTGGTTTTAGTCCCTTATTCTTCCGTTAAATGAGCGCCATGAGCTACCTGCTAAGTACTCGTAGTGAGTAAAGTATTTTGGGTGTTATTATGATTCGTCTATAGTTACTTTCTAAGAGGAGAAGGGTAGAGGCAGCTGGTAAGAAGTCTGGGTATAAAATAAGTGGATGCTTAGGGTTTTAGTACATTTATAGAGACACATACAAGTCCTTTGACTGTGATAGTCGGTGTATTGATTTGTGCAGTGTTGAAAACAAACATACAGAAGGATACATGTAATTGAAAAGCCATTATGATAAATTATATTTGGTATAATGACTACAACAGCTGGACAAACACGCGCACAATGGCAACACGACAACACAACACATGCTGGTTTGGTAACTGCAAATATGAAACAGATAATGAAAGGGTGATGAGTCGTGGTGCTTGGTGTTTGATTTAAGCTCTGAAGGAGTTTGTTTGATTCTGCCTGTTTGACTAAGAAAGCTGCTCCTCAAAGGAAAAATGATAATTCATGAAAAGAAACTTAAAAATATGATAAATTTTTGTTTGTTGTTTAAAGTCTGAGAATTTTCCTGTTAGACAAAATAAAGAGTTAAAGTAAAATAATGTTTCCTTTTCCCTCATGAGTGCAAAGAAACGACTATCAGGGTAATAAAAAACTGAATGGCAAAAACAGCAGAAACATGGATGACTGTGGGTTATCCGTTAAAGAGACGGTGGGAGTCAGAGCAGGATGTAAGCGTTGTGTGACTCAGCCTGAACACAGTTACTCTCTTGTGTTGATGTTTGACCAACAAAACCCACAGACTGTGACATTTGCCTTATTGACAGGTCTGTCAATGAGGAACGCCCAGGAGGACGAGCCTCAGGATCCCCAGCTGGTGCGATTGGACAACATGCTGCTGGCGGAGGGCGTGGCGGGGCCAGAGAAGGGCGGCGGGGCTGCCGCTGCCGTGTCCGCTGCCACCAGCTCGGGAGGGATGTCGCCCGACAGCTCGCTGGAGCACTCCGACTACAAAAGCAAGTTGAGCCAGATTCGCAGTATCTACCACACTGAGCTGGAGAAGTATGAGCAGGTACCGTGTCGCAACAGGAGACGAGTGCTGACATTGCCTGTACACGCTTGCTTGTACTTAAGCTGCTCTCCAGAAGTGTAATCCATTGGCATGTTAGGTCAAGAAATACAGACACACAGCTTTCTCTGCCGCTGAATACATTTCTGTTCTTATGTGGGGGTGGAAGAAAGACTTGGGTAATGACAGACAGATGATCCTTTCAGCAACAGTTCATTAAATCTGTCCTGCAGCACAAATTAAAACTCTCTGCTTATTAAAAGAGGCTCTTAAAACATAAACAGCTTCAAATACCCGCTTTGGTTTTGCCTTAAGATCATTGAAGTGCTTCATACACCAACAGGACCCACCAGTGATCTTAAGACGAAACACTGAGACCAGATTTACAATGCTTACTAACAAAATCAAGGCTTTTAGGGTGGCACTTACAGAAGATTTTATCCTAAAATGTCATTTTCACTCAACAGAAACTGAAAGAAAAACTCCACAATTCCAGACGAGTCTTTCTAAAATTCAATTAAAGTCAACATAACAAAAAGTCAAACTTAGCTTTCCTGCTTCGCTCACTTCTGTCTTTCACTATCGGTCATCGTTTGCCTCACCTGCCCAGGCGTGCACTGAGTTCACTACTCACGTGATGAACCTGCTGAGGGAGCAGTCGCGCACCCGGCCCGTCACCCCGCGGGAGATCGAGCGCATGGTGGCCATCATCCACCGCAAGTTCAGCTCCATTCAGACCCAGCTGAAGCAGAGCACCTGCGAGGCGGTCATGATCCTGAGGTCTCGCTTCCTCGATGCCAGGTAGGCATGAGTGTCTTCTCTGTGGCTCTGAAATAATTCTACTATTCCCTCTGTTTAGAATAATAGTGATATTCTCCATTGTTGATTATCTTATCAGGCTCGTGTTACTTTCTGAAACTTACCACCTGTTTGTGTTTCTTCAGGCGCAAGAGACGCAACTTCAGCAAACAGGCCACAGAGGTCCTCAACGAGTATTTCTACTCCCACCTGTCGAACCCTTACCCCAGTGAAGAAGCCAAAGAGGAACTCGCAAAACAGTGTGGGATTACCGTCTCTCAGGTACCAAATTTCACTGCTGCAAGTTCTAAAGTTTAAAGAGTTTCTGTGATCGAATGTGTCAGAATCTGCTGCTCAGGATCCATCAGTCTAATTAGGAGTGCACACAAAGCCTTTAATTGTGTTTTTATTCCTCGCCAGGTCTCCAACTGGTTTGGCAACAAGAGAATCCGCTACAAGAAAAACATCGGCAAGTTCCAGGAGGAGGCCAACCTCTACGCCATGAAGACAGCCTTGGGGGCCAGACAGGGCGACGACTCCCCGCACACTCCCAACTCCACAGGTACCGAAAAGACGGCGAAGGCTTGGTCGCCCTGAAGTGGTGAAATTAACTGTTAGCACACCCCTCTGCTGACTCAGTCGTGTTGCTGAGGTGTCAACCTTGAACAAAATGTATAACCTGAGGTGGTGAAAACTGATTTGTGGAGGTGGCGTGGAGGCAGAGGAAAGGCAGGGTTTCTGCAGAAAAGCACCTCTGCTTTCATTTCGCCCTCGTACAGACTTGCATTAGTGGTTGTTTTGGGGCAATCTGCCAGAGTTTTGGCAGCCAGCGTCACTTTTCCTGCCCTTTTTGTTGTCAGTTGCTCGGACCGAGTCATGATGTGACAGCTGAGGCAGCAATGGTCCCGTTTGTTACAGCAAACCCTGATCTTACATGAGCACCCACAGCCAAACCTACCTTCGGGCTTCATGCAGAAAGTGTGACGGCTCTGCAGCAGCTTGATTTTCATTTTGGTGTCTATGTTAATTGATTTGATTGTTAAGACAGCAAGTATGAGCAGCATCCAACAGTCAAACAGAGGGCTCTGTGTCAGCTGTGACTACCTCCAAACCATGAAAACATACTGCACTGTGGCTGCACTACAGAAAGCTTTTCAAAATAAAAGCCTTTTTGGTTGTATGTAGAGGGAATCCTTGTTTTGAAGAAGGCTTTTATTTTGAAGTTATTTGCTTAACATGGCAAAAGGGTGCCAAAATACCAGGACTTTTCCAACTTTTAACAGTAAAAACACAAATAGTTGCATGCTGAAAACAGCTGATTTAAATAGTCATTATTGTAGTAATGGTTTGTTTAAAGAGCTGCTGAAAGTCCCCAAATAATAAAATCTATAAATGTGTTTGAAAATATTGAAACTACTCCTCTGTGTCTGTTTTCAGGGTCCGGGTCCTTCTCCCTGTCCGGCTCAGCTGACCTGTTCCTCGGCGTTCCACCTGTGAACGGCGAGCAATCTACTTACCAAATGGGCCTGCAGGTACTGAGCCGTCTCCGAACAGGACAGATACTCTGCATGACGTGATTGTGTTTAAAGAGTTGCAGGCAGACTCCCTGCAGAAGTTCATCTGTGAGCGATGTCTGTGTGCTGGAACTATATTAAAATAACTGACGGGCATGTTTAGCATCAGTTTCCTCTGTAATTGATTATCAAGAGAAATCTGCAGATAAAAATGACTGGAAGTAAAGTTCAGTTTCTGATGTCTGTTTGTTTTTTGTTTCTATCTTTCAGGCCAACGGGAACTGGCAGGGTCGGAACTCACCTCGATCCGGAAACTCGCCCCACAGCGACCAATCGGACAACTCTGACTGATGGCCCCGCCCCTCTTGGCCCAGAACAACAGCGACGGAAAGTTTAAAGACGGAGAAGAAGACAGAAAAGAATGAATTCACACTTCCCACTCGGCTGCAGTTTCGTTTGTTTGTTTGTTTTGTACGTCGTTTGTTTGTTTTCATCATTTTTATTGTATGTTACTATTTTCTTTTCTTGCGGCTCAGCACCCGTCATTTTTCTGTTTCTATGATTCGCTGAGCGCACGGATGGTAGAGTGAAAATGTTTGTGTGTTTGTGTTGTGTGCATGCAGGTGTGGTTTTCTTATCGGGGTCGTGGGGTTTTGTTTTCCACTACATTTTGACCTGTTACTGAGGTGTGAGTTTGTGGATGGACAGGAGGAGGCAGGAGTGCATTATCACGGTTTTTAGCACACTATATCATTGTTATTATTATTATTATTAATATTATTGCTGTTTTATTATTAGTGCTACAACTATTTTCATTTTAACAGCTCAGAGAGAGAGGATGCATTTAAGAGAGAGTGAGAGGGCAATAGAGAAAAATCCAAAGATTTTTGTGTGTTTGTTTCTCTGTTTCGTTCGTTTGTTTTTTATTTTCTACCGGGCTTCTGTGTCCCTGTACAGTGAATGAGGCGTGTCTGAGTCCACATTAACAGTTTGAATGAGTATATCAACAGTGCTGTCTTTTTTCTGTACAGTGAAACACCTGTATTCTCTCTACCTCTTTTACAATAAAGACTCTCTGTATTCACAACCAGCTGGCGATCAGATCAGATTTAACGTCGAGTCGGGAGGTCAGGAGGAGAGAAGTGGTGGTCGAAGAAGCGGTATTTGGAGGCGGGTAAATATCTCAAGAAGAATCTAAGAACTCATAACTGGAGTTAGTTTTGGTGTTACAAACCAAACTTCTAAAAGGTTGTTGATAAAAACTGACTGCAAATCATTAAAAACGTATTTTAGATTCAAAGTAACGCAAGGAGAACATTGAATGGGGCAGCAGTAGCTCACAAGGTAGAGCGGTCGGCCAATAACTGGAAGGTTGGCGGTTCAATTCCCCCCATCCCCAGTCTGTTTGTTGTGTCCTTGGGCAAGACACTTAACCCACCTTGCTTCCAGTGTGTGTCCTCCACTTGTCTGTGATTGTGAGTGTTGTGTGGTGGTGGTCGGAGACGCTGTAGGTGCAAACTGGCAGCCATGTTTCTGTCAGTTTGCCCCAGGACAGCTGTGAGTACCAAGGTAGTTTACCACCACCAGGGTGTGACTGTGTGAATGAATGATGTATCCAATCTACAGCGCTTTGAGGGTCTCCGATAAAGCACTATAAAAATCTGATGCATTATTATTGTTACTCTTAAATGTTGAGGCGAGAGAAAGAGCAGTTTCTGGAGTTTTGAGAGTTTATTCTTGTCTGGTTTTTGCTTGATAGTGGATTTTAGCGGCTCAACAGTTTGGGGGTCTTTTGTCGTTTTGTTCGACTCATAATATGCTCCAGGTTTTCAGTGGGTGACAACTCTGGGCTGCAGTCAGGCCAGTTCAGAACTCAGACTCCTCTACTACCGAGCCATGCTGTCGTAATTTCAACCAAACATAATCTAACACCTTTAAGCTGTATTAAAAAAGATGCTCAGTCTTAATGATGGTTCACAGATGGACACTTTTGCACCCTCATGCCATCAGGGATGCTATCTTTAAAACTGTGCACTGATAACAAGCCTCACTGCCTTTACAGCAGAGGATGTTGAATCCATAATTTCCAATGCGTGGCACAGTTTTAATCAGCAGTTATGGATGAATATACAAACTGTTCACAGGCAGAGGTTTTGGATCTGAGTTTGAGCCCATGTTATGGTTCCCACTACAGAGTCGGTGCCTGTGTTTACTGTATTGTAGCACCTGAGGATGTAAAGGTCACAGCCATTCAGTACTGGTCTCTTTTTTGCGGTCCACTACCAATGAACTGCACAAAACAGTCCAGTTATAATCAAACACAGTAGAGCGGAAGGCTTCTACTCCAAACTGGAGTCATGATTGTAGTGTGACATGAAGGTTCGATGGAAGGTGGTTGAATAATTCTAATGATGAGAAACAGCAGGATGGAGACAGATAACTTTCTTTCTTTGACTCCTCAGCCATCTTGTCATCCCCACAACATAACCCAAAAACTTTACATCCTGGACAACCCTGATCACATGTCACGACACTTACAAATCAGAGGCTGGGAGCTCGAAGTAAATATAAATAAACCTCAGAAACACATTCAGCATAATCTGCTCACCCTCACTAACAGCTGCAGAGAAAAAGCATTTCAACTTGTAAATATGAACCTGTCAACATTTAGTGAATAGTTCTCTGTATGAATTCTATAAACACAATTTTTTATTTTAACTTTTAAATAGTTTATCCCCCTGCTGTATTCTCACCAAAGCTGTTAATTCATTTACATCTCCTTTGTCCACTTACAGGCCCACACAGCTCCACTTTGGAGACCACACGTTCGAGCTATAAAACGTCGGTCACGTGTTCGTGGCCACTGCTCTCGTCTTTCCCACGGTGTCCCCGCAGCATCAAAGGGTTTCCACGAGCAAATGCGGAACAATTGTGGTGCGAAACGGCGCACCAGCCCGAGACGGCTGCCCAAATGGCACGCGTGGTCTATTGTGGCGTGTGGGTGTGAATGACAAGGGTAACACATTGTCACACCTTCCCGCCTGCCTGCGGTCTGAATGACAAACGCAGAGGCGACACGCGCGAATGGTGAGGTGACGGCACCCGTCGAAAAGAGGCGCGCGATTTAGGAGGAATTAAAGACAGAAAGACGTTTTTACGCAGCGAATAAAACAGTCAGGAGTGAAAATGGTGAGTCACACATGATGATAAACTTTATCAGAATAACATGTAGATCATTATTTCTCACGAGGTTTGATCTTGAACGAAAATGAGGGTCGGTTTGAATGTTTTAATAACAGAAGAACATTTGGATTTAGGTGCAAACTCTCACCTCACACCTCAAATGGTTCGTGCCAAACACAAATGGTCCATGCGCTGTCAAAGCACAGCTGTAAGTTTTCTCTATTGTACCATCCTACAACATATAAAGCTTATATACAATAATGAAAACACTGTTAACCTGGAGTTGAGGGCAAAACTTGTGAGAACCATGACGAAGGTTGTATTTTTTGACAATCAGCTGCCCATGATAAGGTCTATTTCTGTGTGTCTTTATAACAAATAGTGTCAAATAACTTAATGCAACAGTCAAATCAACTTGTCTTTTATCATTTCATCCTAACGCTTTTCAAACAGAGCAAGTCTGAACTAAAACTGTCAGTATTTCCCAGTAAAACCTCAAACTCTGGTATTTTACGCATGGATTTTACGCACGAGTTTGCGCGTCGCATGTGAAGTTTCGTAACACGTCTTTTGTTTCTGAAGCCTTTTTATTGCCTGACTGTGTCGTAAAGGTTTCGAAACAATAAACTGTTAGGTAACTCTTTAATTTCACTCAGTTTCATATTAACAGTGAGTGGAAAACGATGGGAAAGAGCGTCTGAGGGGAGGGGGTGGACAGTTGCAAAGACAAAGTGGGTGGGGTTGTGAAGTGTGGTGGAGTGGGAGGAGTCTGTGGGACCGGCTGCTAGTGGGAGTTTAAAGCAGCGTCCTGATCCTGGGCTCCACATTTCCTGATCAGCTGCTGACTGAGGAAGACCCTCACTCTGATTCTGGATACAACTGACCACGTTGGATTACGGGCTACTACCATGAAGCTGCTACAGCAAAGAGAGGATGCTTCAAACGACAGAAAGGTAAAAAATTCAGCTTTTTGGAGGTAGAGGTGAATGGATAAACTCTCTTTGAAGATTAGACACAAATTAGGATGGTGGACATTTGTTTAGGTTGGATTGTAAAGACTGCAAAGATAGTGGTTTATGACAAAAATATCTCAGAAAACTTTTTAAAAACTTTTCTATGTAATCCTTTTTGTCTCTGCGTGTTTAAAAACTCCCTCGACTCTTTTTCTCTTTTGCTCCTAGTATATAAAGTCTCAGGTGGAGAAACGCCGCAGGGAGAGGATGAACTGCAGTCTGGAGCGTCTGAGGACCATGTTAGTTCAAGAGCCACAACAACTGGTAAATAAAATCATCCTCTCAATGCACAAATATGAGGCTTCCTTACTCATGCCAGCAGACGCCATTAACTAAATCCTTATGTTTTCATTCAGGGTGAGACCCGGAGAGTGGAGAAAGCAGAGATCCTCGAGCACACCGTCCTCTTCTTGCAGAAAACTGCGACAGAGGACACAAGAGCGAGTCCTGATGGAGGTGGTGGGGGCAGAAAACACTCCTTCCAGGACGGCGTCTCCTCCTGCCTGCAGAAAGCAGCTCAGTTTCTGGGACCTGAGGGGAAAGGCCTGTGGCTCGGAGCAGCACTGGACGCGTCTTTTGCTGCTCGTGTTTCCCGGACAAACTCTGATTCTGCTGCAGGTTTCAAGAGAAGAACTGAAGCGTCCTCCTCCAGCTCTCTTTCACACACTAAATCCATCCTGCAGATGCTGAGGCAGAAGTCCAAGCAGAGACTGCACACAGGAGCCTGCAGTCCCAAGAGTTTTACTCATCCATACCGACTTCAGGTCCGGCAGGGCTTTTCAGGAGTTTCCCAGCAGGCTCAGAGACAAAACCAGCACGAGACCAGAGTGGAGAGGCGAGCTGGGAAACAAAGCCCGACTCAAAGCCGCCCAGTCAGCCAGACTCTGTGGAGACCCTGGCCCTGACCACACAGAAACTGACCTTTAATGACTCTGATGTATTTCTAATCCATGTGAGCTGTAACGTTCCTGACTGAACTTCTGTAACCGTAAAAAACAAAACTGTCTCTGATTCTCTGAAGCTCTCACAAAGTCAAACCCTGTAAATAATGTAAAAATCTCTTCTGTATGAACATGTGCTGTTTTATGTGAATGTCTTCACTCACTGCTTGTGTTCAGTGGTTGTGAATGAGTGCAGACAGCAGGGCAGCGGTCTCCTCTCTGCAGGCAGACTCTCCTGGACGGGGGAGAGCTGGATCTCGTGGCCGGGCTGAAACTGTCGCTGTGCTGAAGAAGGATTTCAGAGGTGAGTCTCAGCAGGATCAAGAGTACATCTGTGCTCTGTTCGCTCTCACACACTGGATCAACTCGGTGCTATCATTCTGTTCAAGTGTGATGCTGAAGAGGATAATGATTGAGTGTCCATCCATCACGTTTTTAGGTGTGGGAGCTCAGGGTTCGAGGCAGGGAGCCCCTCACCTTCACCTTCACCTGTGTGCCATGATGTCTGCAGGCAGCTCTGTCTACATTATGACCTCTCTTTAAATTTATATTTTGTCTATTTTGCACATTAATTTATTCTGGATGTCTCCCTATGGTGAGCAGTATTCTCTTTTATACGAAAATAAAAACATTCCTAGAAATAAACTCACTGTGACTGTGTTTTTTTTTCTAAAATCTTTGAAGATGAAAGTCGCGGCGCTTTTGTTTGTGATGTTGACAGCTCTTTTTAGTGAGAGTCAGAGGTGAGGAGCGTGGCGTCCTGCAGAGCGACATCCTCCAGGTGTGAAGTCTGGCTGTGATGGGAAAGAGCTTCACTTCAAAGACTTCAAAGACGCTCCTGCTCACACGCTCTTCACTCAGACTGAACGACTTCAGACCAAAAAAGATAATTTACAGAAGAAAAGGAAGAAAATTATAATATTACCTCTGCAGAGACATCTCCACAAATAGGCTTCATTAATTAAGATAATAACCCAGATTTGAATTGTGAACATGCTCATCTATTTTTCCTCCTCCTATAGGAACTCTATCCTGATTTTAACTCTTTATAAAAACTTGATTTAACAGAAAAACAAACTTCTGTAACATTCAAACTCTTTGACCATCATAAAGCAGAGTCACAGTTTCTCCTCAGACCCCTAAAGCTCCTAAAATCACAGTTTTTCTCACTCAGTTAATATTCAGTCTGTTTTTCTGTGAGTTAAATCAACATTCATTAACTCACCACTTTAAAAGTTTTACTTAAACGATATTAAACTCGTGCCCACGGATGTTTTAATAGTAGTTAGCATCACGTTGACCCCCCCACTGTTCACGCTGTTTGCAGACCATTTGTTTTGTGCGCGTGACCCGTGTCACTTCACAGGAAACAAATCGTGTCTTCACACCCGCGCGAGCCTTTGAAGTCCAATCAGGCTAAGTGGACGTTTGTCCCTCACCTGTCTCGCGCCATGGCTGTCTGGTTATAAAGTTTTTACGACTATGAAATCTGTAACAAGACGAAAAAGTAATTTTTCAGGCGCATAATTTCTTCTTTTTCTCGGTTAATTCCATTTTTGTTGTTGTGTTATTGAAACAGTCTGGTTATCAGTCGCTCACAGTGTTGGCGTGTAAACCGGAAAATCGTGGACTATTACAGACCACATTCTGGAAAACTGTGCAGGCAGATTCGGACAATAAACTTCGTTTTCTGAGCTCTGCCGAGGTTCCCTTTCAATAAGGCACAGCTTTCAATGTCACCTTTAGATGTAAATTGAACTTTGTTGATTCCTACAATGGGAGAAAGTAATTTTAATAAATACCATGAGACTAGAAAGGTAACGATAGTAATTAAAAGGGAGGTAAATGGACATATGATGAGGATCAGAAAAGATTACCATACATTAATTATAATTTTGAATAAACTCGTAAAAAAAATTATAAAATCTTGTAAATGTGCACACGGAAAATCAGTTCAAACATGTGTTACATTGTGAGTGGGTCCTGTTTATGCATGTGTTAGTCTGGATCTGGATCCAGCACAAGAGAAAACACACTGAATATCGTATAAAGAAATAAAATCATTTTGTTGCAATAAGTAAATCTTTATCTGTAAATTAGCTTTGTGATTTTTACATGCTTGTAATATCTTTTGAAAATTGAAGTTACTGTAAGTACCCAAACAGCTACCTTACCCTTTTTTTCTTTTTAAATAGATTACTAGCTTCTTACACGTGGCACGAAATGTCACTTCTCTTAATGTAATTACAGACCTCACTGGTCTGATCCTGCTGGAATAATTTATTGTCGTGTGTTTCCACGAGAGTCTCTTTCTGCTCCTTTCTCGTGGGAAACTGACAGAGAAGTTCCCATTTGCACTTTTATTATCTGTTAGAATTAGAAGATCATTAAAAGAAGTGTGTGAGGAGGACGGTGGGCCTGCAGGTTCCCACACACACACTTTACACACACACAGATGCAAATCAGGCTCTATACGCACGAGGCGTGCCCAGACATTTGACTGATTTCACACCTGTTTGTGAAGCTCGTGACTGAAAGTCTGCCTCAGTGTCATTAAAAGGACTTACAAAAGGAGTTTTGCATTAATTTGCCTGGATTTCGCCACCTAAATATACATCTTAGAAAGTCTAAAATAGCAGTTCTCGAAAAAAACCCCTTTCATTAATGAAAGTATTTTTTTTAGTTTTACCACGAGTATAGCCTCCTGATCACCGCAGTTTTTGTTTCATCTTCAGTTGATTTTTTTAATTAATCATCGCTTGGATGTTCATCAAAAACAAAAACAAGCAAACAAAAAAATCATAATTAAATTCAGCTCTTTTTTCCCACTTACTCTAGTGAAATATTTACTTATTAATTAATTTCCGGGTAACTGTATTTTAGCCAAACGTCTCAGATTAAGTTCTCAGCACGTGCCAACCTAATTACTTCAAACTAAGTCACTAAAACACGAGACATGTTACAGTCACGAGCTCACAGCTGACAGAGAGACCAATATTTTCCCTTTATTAAATCAACTGAACGATTGAATTATTTAGTTTCCCTATTCTGTGCACACTTAAGATGAAATATCACCTCAAAGCCTGTGTTTGTTAAAGTTCTTTACTGAAATCAGTCAAATGTTTTGTCTTTTTTTCGGCTGGCGCGTGTCAGGTTAGGTGTGAAATGGTCACGTGCTTCAGCTCTTGCACGCGTTCCCCTCAAAGTGTTCCCTAAATATCAGAAATTCAAGGGTCAGGTAGTCAAGGCAAACAAATAGTTGCTTTACAAAAAGGTAATTAAGTCCTCTGCATAAAAAAGGTTTTACAAACCATAGAAAAATATTCAAAAAGCCTCAAATAATGTAAAAATATTTAGAGAAATTAACAGAAAAATGCAGAGAACCAAAAAGAAGATTATTTTGAGCCCTTTCAACATTTTTCTCTTTCTTTTCTTCTCTCTTTTTTTGGATCTTTGTCATTTTCATTTTCAGCATTTCTGGTTGTTAGTTTGTAAATTTGAGGTTGGTGCAGAGGACAGTTACATCAGCTTTGTGCATAACAACGAGCTTTCATAATCGAGCAAATGGTCACGTGCTCTCAAACACAAAATGCCTCCCGATATGAGTAGGAAGTTGACTTTGTGCACAGACAAACACCACAACAGACAAATGCTGAATAAGTGTGACAGTGGGAGAATCGCCCTCATCTCTTTCTCATCGTGGGACCGTGGAGCAGGAGGCGCCATCGTCTCTTTATTACCTGTTAAAACTGATACTTGATTCATGAAGTGTGCTTGGAGGAGAGGTGGCTCTTAGGTTCCCACACGGCACACGTTGGAGCTTTACGTTGAGAATTAACGTAACAGGCCTTATCAGCTTATGGTATCCAAACACTATGAATGGAGAGCTGTGCGTAAAAGTAGATTTTACGCACAGCTTTCCACAAGAGAGAGAGGGTTCACACGAGCCTCCACTGTCACTTGAGATAAATTTCTATGAAATCTGACACAATTGGATGTGTAATTAGTAAAAGATATAGAAAATTTGATCGAAATTTGATATTTTGTCATGATAAAAGACTTACGAAGACTGGAGGTGTGCGAGCAGCTCCTCCACGTCTTTCCCATGGGAAAACTCTGCAGTGAGCTCTGTTCCCACTTTATTAGCTGTCAAAAGTGATACATCATTAAAAAGTGTTTGGATGAGCAGTTGTTTCGTGATTCCCACGCGCTGCTGCTCACGTTTAGGCGTCTCCATTTGGTGAAGTGATGCCGATCATTTCGCGAGTATCTGCAATTTTACGCACAGCCGTTCGCGCCTCTCCCGCAAACTTCGCAGACTTTCTGTGGATCATTAATAAATGTTAGTCAACATATTCATCTTATAAATAAGTTTTGGCTTGAATTTGTTTTAAATAACATGAGAATACTGTCCAGAGAGCTGTGCGCCAACACGTCTTTTACGCACGTAAGAAAAAACACTCCTGCTGATGTTTAAGGAGGGAAAACATCGTTATGTGAACTTTAACCAGCAGAAAAGTTTGGGTGAATACTCATTTAAATGTCTTTTCTTCCTCAGCTGCCTCCTTCGGACCCCTGACTCCTTCTTTGTCAGTCTCAACATGTCTCGTGACGCCGTCCAAAGAAAAGGCGCGAGAAGTCACCCACGGTCGTTTGTCTGGGTCTCACGCTGTGTCGGCGGATGTGTGTGGCTTTCCCTCACATATGTTAATAAGCGTCACACGAGCTGGTAACACCTTTCACGGGCGCGTGCCTCTCTCGCTCAGCAGGGCAGCTGCACGTGCCTGCCCTCAGATTAGTGGAGGGGGCCATTGGCGCGTCCTTCAGTCTGTATTCAGATTTGGATACTTGAGTAAATGTGCTAAAAGTTCACCATTTAAAAAAAACTAAGATAGAGATGACTGAACAGGAGTACTTAGTTTTAACCTTTCTGTTTAACTCCAACAGTTTCTTACTCTTTTTTAAGTTGTAATGATTAAAATTCAACTTTTTAACACCAGGGGGAACAGGAATCTTAAGAAATCTGTGATTTTTTTTAAACCAAAAATTGACAGACCTTGACAATTTGGTAAAAAAAAAATGTGTTTCGTAACATTTTTTCCATAGTAAGTAAATTCAGCATGAATGAAATCTGCAATAAAATTGTGACTTTGGTGGGTGGAGCCTAAGGTAACGCCCACCTAAGGGTTAAAAGCCCTCACTCATTACAGAGTTAGTACATTCAGCTTCTGCTGAGAGACCGAGTGAACCGCAGTCACAGCCGTGTTGTTCTCAGGATACCATGATGAAACTGTTTCAGGATTCCGAGGATGCAAAGGCCAAAAGAAAGGTAGGTGCTTCACCAATGATTTCATCTTTTATTACATTTTACTTCGTTCTAATTTGAGGGATTTATCTAGCGTTTTATCTATCTCACTCTTTTCTGGGAACAGCACATGATGTGAAACTCTTCTGGTGTCTTTGCATTGATTGGTGTTATTTTCTTGTTTTTGTGTGATAGAGTCTCAAACCTCAGGTGGAGAGACGTCGTAGAGAGAGGATGAACCACAGTCTGGAACACCTTAAGACCCTCTTGCTGCAGAGACAGGTACAGACCACTGAGCTCTGGTGGTCCTTTTATCAGAGTTTAGTTGAAGTATTTGGATCTGGCCTGTGAAGCAGTTTATTAATTCTCATTTCTGTTGCAGGAGGCGTCAAAGAGGAGAATTGAGAAAGCCGAGATCCTCGAGCACACCGTCCTCTTCCTGCAGAGCTCCGCAAAGAAAGGAAAAACGAGCGCTGAAGATGGAGGTGGAGGCCACAAACACTCCTACCGAGACGGCTTCTCCACCTGCCTGCAGAGAGCTGCTCAGTTCCTGGGACCTGAGGGGAAAGGCCTGTGGCTCGGAGCAGCACTCGATGCATCTTTCGCTGCTCGTTTCTCCCGTTCAGTCTCTGATTCTGCAGCAGGAGTCCAAACTCAACACCACTCCTCCTCTAACCCACTTCTGCTCAAGAAGACGTCCAGATCTATTCTTCGGTCGCTGTTGGACAAGTCCGGGTATAGAATCGGCACGCCTCCTCTCAAGGGGGACAGTTGTGTGAACCAAAGTAAAGAATCTCTTCATTCTCCACAAACCCTCCATCAGTCCCATACAGTATCGAGTCGGGCGAACACACAGAGCCCGCCTCAGAGCCAGCCTGTCAGCCACACTTTGTGGAGACCCTGGCCCTGACCACCACCACCGCAGTGAACTCTGAATAACTTGAACCTGCAGAATAATCCTCACACAACAGCCTCGGTTGTTGTTCTGTCTTCCCACAATGATGTTAAGTGCAATGTCTTAAACACGGACCAACAGCTTCGTGTAAAGTGTGATAAATCTGCAGATACTGAACATTTACTGTAATCACACCACGTGCTGCTACGACCCTCACAGACCAACTGTCTTTTGTGTCATTATGATGATGATGATGTACTTTTGCACCTTAATTTATTATATTTGTCTTTTGTAAATAAACAAAATGAAAAACACTTCGTGCGTGAATGCTCACTGATTATCTGCACGCCACGTGCCTCGGAGCGTGTGCCGCCACTCACCTGGGGATGAGGGGCCCCACGCGGTGACTGTTCACAGCTGCACGCGAGCTCAGTAGGCCACTCACTTGGAAAAACTATAACAAGCACTGAAGCAGCAAAGTGATTTAGAAGATCAGATACAGTCATACTTTGGGATCCTTTGCCATGACACGGATAATTACGTGACTTAAATTTAAAGAAATTATCAAAAATTACATTATTGTGTCTCTGTGTGTGTAAAGGTCAAAGTTAGCTATGAAAGATAAAGTCATTCTCCGGCTTCTACTGATAGAAATATGAGCAAAGAAGGATTTAGAGCCGTGCGTAAAAGGTGCCATATCCCGTGCGTAAAGTCGACGAAGTCATGAAACGTGTTGCCGGTCTGAGCAGAGTTTAGGTTGTTATTGTAAAGACTTTTATCATTGTAAATAACTTAAGATGAGGCATTTTGAACATGCGTGTTAAACTCTCCTCGGGTCGGATCCTCTGCTTCCATTTATTCCCCTTTCTGTCTCACAACCGGACAGTCAACTCAGCCTGTTTCAACATTTGCATCTCAATCGTGAAGCGCGGGTGGGAACGTAGGATGTGTCGCTGCTCTGTGCTTCTCTCTCTGATGAAGTATCAATTTTAACAGGTAATTAAGCTGTAAATGCGGCGCCATTTCCTCCTTTCCCACGAGAACAGTCGAAACCCAAACCCTTTCCCTGTAGCTGAAGAAATTTGGTGCATGACTCTGTTGAAATCTTTCACGACACGTGCCAGCTCTGCCGATAAACCCCACCAACTGACGCGTATTACACATCTAACTAATGCCAACAGTATGAATAATCACAGGTCCTTTTTGTTTTGGATATTCGTGCATCATAGCAATATTGATATTAATGCCACAAACATGAGGATTCAGGAACACTTTCCAAAGCAAGAACCTGCTCTGACTTCTCTTGTTTTTACTGTGCTTTTACTTTGAAGTTGTGCCCAGGACAGTGAGGACAAATACATTTTGTTGTGTACATAACAAACAACCCCTATGAAACCCAGTGACCCAGTTTGGCTGCCCTATTCAAAAAGCTCTGGCTCTGCTCGTGTTTATCTGCTGGAAAGTGGAAAAAAACTTTAAATCCCAATAAATTACATGAAAAGTTATTTTATTGTATTCATCAGCAGGACTCTGACATCGTTGTGCAACCACATGCATGTTTTTTTTTCTTCTTTTTTAATCATTAAACAACCTTTACATGATGTGCAAGCGTATCTATCTTACATTATCCTGCTTCAATATTCACAAGATGTTGCAGTTCTAGTGAGGCTGTTCTCGTTTGTGTTCGATCAGTTCTCAGAATATTCCCCCCTCTGGTGAAAAACAAGTTTCAACAATAATAATAATTAGAGCGAGGCTGATTAAAGTCTGTGGAGGTGATTTGGGAAGGAGCATCTCTAAGTGCTGATGTGCATTTATTTGGACGAGTTTAAGGTAAATCTGTATGAAGACATCGAACAGAAACCTACTGAAGGTCCTCAAATTAGTGTCCTTTAGGTCTGGGCTTCCCTCCCTCCTGATTGGCTCTGGGCTTTAACATCAAACCTCTGTGGGTGATTATCCTCCTCACTTGTTTGTGGATCTGTTCATTTAGGCTGAAAGGGTTTGTTTGTTTTCATATCTCTGTTCTCTACAGGGCTGTTTGTGTGGAGTCGGTGTTGTTTGACCTCTCACCTCTGGCCTTCTGCTCTGAATTGGATAAACTCAGCGCCGTTTGTTCTGCTCTACTGTGATGGTGGTTATCGCCGTTTACAACCGTCAGACGATCTGACTGACCCGCAGCATCTGTGGGAGGAGAAACAACCACTCTTTGTATGGGCTCATGGGCTGAGCTGTCTGACACAATCACATAGTTTGGCTCAGGCTGTGGGGCGCTGGAGCGACGCTGCAATGCATGCTGGGTGCAGGAAAAGGAACGCTGCCGAGGGGCGGGCTGGGGCGACAGGAAGTGAGGTGTTGCGGCTCTGGGGGTTTCCTGGTGCCTGTCACGATCCTCATCCTCCGAGGTCACCTCTTGTAAGGTGCTGATTGGCCGAGGCGAGCGGCCCATGATTCTCGGAGGGACCAGCGCCGTGGCTGATTGGTTGAGCTGTGGCCGCCAGTTCTGAGGGGAGGGGTACTGGACCCGGCTCATCGACCAATCACTGAGAAGAAAGACAAGTCAGTGATCATGATGTCAGACAATGTAACAAAGAGGTTTGCTGAAAAATAACACTATTTTGCATTATCTCTAAATTAAAGGGATGTTTCGTATTTTTCTCCACTTAAGGCGTAAACACAGAGACGTCTCGGAACATGTATGCAGTACGAAAGGGATATTCCGGCGTAAAATTAATTTAGGGTCAAACACATCATAACACACAGTTAGATACCCCCTCGAGAGATGAATGTTGTCGACCGCTTGTTTCTCTAGTTAGACCAACTTTAGTAACGACCGCAGGATAGAAATACAGAGAGCCACGCGCTCAACCAAAACGCCACTTTATAGCCACAAATAATGCTCCATCCTCTCGAGTAAGACCTCGACCAGTCCATCATCAACTGAGATGGGGTGACGCAGCTCAAGGAAGAACATTTATGATAATTTCTTTATCATTTCCTTGAAGTAAAAATCATCATATTAATCATTTTGCAGACGTGGTAGTTCTTCTGCCTTAGCGTCTCGGTCTGATTGTATTTCCATGAAGAAATGATCATAAATGTTCTTCCTTGAGCTGCGTCACCCCACTGTAGTCTGTAATGGACTGGCCTGAGGTCTCACTACAAACAAGCGGCTGCTGGAAGAGAGTAGGTGAGTTGTGTTTAGTCTCTTTGCTAAAGAAATGAGTCAAAGTTAAAAAGATGTTTGGTGTCTAGTACTATGTCTGTGACCCTATATGTCCTGTTGATGAAATTAGGTGCTGTTCTGAGCATTATTTGTGGCGTTTTGGTTGAGGTTTGTTTATGGCTCCTGAGACCACTGTGTATTGCATGTGTATGGCAAAAATTGCCACCGTTCTGGATCAGAGCCGGATGCAGTGGAAATCCCGGGTAACTCAGTTTTCCGGTGTGTTTGACCCATAATTAATTTTACGCCAGAATATCCCTTTAACTTACTTTTGTGGAGGCGGGGTCATATCTCGATGACCTATAATCCCAGAGAAAGAGGCGCTCCGTCCAGGCAGGCCCTGTGCCCCGACCCACGGCGAGTACATCAGAGCACGCTCCTCCCACAGCATCTCATTGGCTGTTTCCACGGGAACAGGCCCTCTCTGAATTTGATGAGCCAGCAGGAGCTCTAACACCTGGTGATGAATGCCTTCTCTGGCCACGTCAATCGGCCGGCGTCCTCTTCGATCATGCAGCTCCAGGTTTGCTCCGTGAAGGAGGAGGAGTCTGGCCGTGTCGTAGCAACCGTGAAGGGCGGAGAGGAAGAGTGCTGTTTCACCCTGTGGGAGGAACAACTATCAACTCAGCGTACTTTCAGTGATGTTAGAGTTTATTCAGCTCAAATCAAAGTCAGCAGAAACTCACCTTGTTGTCTTGCAGGTCCACGGCGGCCCCGTAGCGAATGAGGGTCCTCGTTAGGGAGAGGTGGTTAACTGAGCATGCCCAGTGCAGGGCTGATCTCCCTGAGAGAGACAGTGTGAGTGGAGGGGAGGTGAGGGGGAAGAGGGGAGGGAGTAAGTCAGCCAATGAACAACCATTACACCACAGAGTCAAGCCCAGAAGGAGAAAAGAGGGAGAACAGAGGGGGTGATGGGACGTGGAGGTGAATTATTTCAGCCAAAAATTACGAATGTGAGACGAGATGAAAGGACTGAAGAGGTACGAGACGGATGGAGGGGCAGATGGAGGCACGGTTAGGCGAAAAGACAGCGAAAGCTAAAGGGGGAATGTGAGCAGCATCGTTAATCCGTCCGTCAACTCCAGTTTGAGCTCATTAACTTTGTTCTGAGTCAGAGGAGGGCAGCAGGGGAGCTGGAGGAGGAGGAGGAGGAGGAGGAGGAAGAGGATGGAGGCCATGGAGAGATGAGCACAGGGTGGGAGAAGAGGGAAGAGACGGGGTAAGTTACTCGACCCCTCAGAGTACAGGCGTCAGAAAATGGCTTGATTGAGAGATTCACATGATTCATACTGTCCTTTACAGTTCGTACAGACGTGAAGACTGAGGGCAGCAGCAGCGCAGACACGCTACAATAACAACTAACTAACAACACGAGGAGAAAACCAAGTTCACAAAACATATCATGACAACAAGCCTTCATACAAAAACACAGACGTCTACTTAAAGGTTGTTGAATGACAAATATCATCTTGAAATTTGAGTTTTTAAAATAATTGATCATGATTCAAACATTGGTCACGACCGCTTTCCTCCGCTTTACTCCTCCTTGAAATGGGCGACAAGATACGATCCGTCCATCGATGGATCTGAGTCCAACACTCGTACTTTATAATCTTTGAGGACTGAGGTGAGTTACCGGTGTGATCAGTGTTGTTGACGGGCACTCCTGCTCGCAGCAGCTCCAGGACCACTCTGTCCAGACCGCTTCGCACCGCTCGGATCAGGACCACAGAGCCGTCAGGGCCGCACCACTCTGCAGACTGTGAACAACAACCAAGATGTAATGAGCGAATATGCAGACAAACATACAACACAGACATATTCCAGACATACAGGTTTAGATGCACAGGTTCCTGAAATAAAAAACTGACTTTATGTAACTGGATTAAATCTGCTGATAAAATAAAAGACAGACCTGCTGTGGAGGACTGAGCAGAGGGGGAGGCATGGCGTTTCTCTCCCATCCTCTAGGTGGAGCTGCTGGAGAATAAAAATCATAAAAGATGACTCTTCACTTACATTTAAAGGTTTAACACTGACACACAGTACTGGTATAATTCAGTGTTTATCCAATCAGAGACATCTTTACATTCACCACAAAGGGATGGTGGGTTTTAGGTCTTACTTTGTACAGGTCTGCGGAGCTGCGAGGTTCCTCCTCTGTAGTGTTTCTGCTCTGGGTTCCTGTGGTCACAGATGGAGGCGTCCTCCTGTCTTCTTGAGCATCTCGCGCTGATGTCCTCCATTGAGCTCTGGGTAAAGTCTGTATCGCTTCCTATATCCTGGTCTCTTTTGAGAGGCCTGAAAACCAGAGTCGGGATTTTGATGAGGCACATTAAGAACATGATTTGGTCTTCATGAGGTCTGCTTTTACTTTCTTTACAGCAAGAGAGTCAGCTGACGTTTTCTTAAAATATATTTGTGAGTGGATAAACCTCCTGTCAGAGTGAAAATGCACTCTCCCTCTCTAGTTACTCTGTCTCTGATTTTTAACGATCAATTATCAATCGTGAAGCAGACAAAGTTTCACTATAATAACAGGATAAAGGTCGTTTCTCGCTGGCTGACAGGAAAAGAGACCGGCCCTGTCTTTAACCTTCCAGGATGACCTCTCACATGTTTAAGTGTACACTGTATATTTTTCTACGTGACTTCATGACTCAAGCAGACAAAACATCCTCTCCTTTCACTCACCGCATTCGGATGGCATCCTCTCCGAGCGGCTCCCTCCTCCTCTTCTTCTCCGCCTCCTTCGCCTTCTTCTTCTTCCTCAAGCTGATCTTCTCTTTCTCTCGGATGGATCGGACCCTCTGCTCCTGGTGGGCTGTGTGCGGCATTAAGCCTTTAGATTTGGGCTCGTTGTCTGTGATAGTGGACCGGTGTCTCACTCTGTGGCTTTCTTCCCTCTCCGCTCGGTGTCGCCTCACCCTCCTCACCACCAAGAAGGCCGCCAGGGCCAGAACCAGCAGGAGGCCGATCGCCACGGCTATGACCGCCCAGAGCCAGGTGGGAGTCGGCTCTTTGAGAGAGGAAGTAAAAGTCAGGGCTGCACGACATTTGGAAAATTAGTAATAAATTGGTATGTCTGTTTTTTATGGAAGAGGATTAGGGCCACTAGAAAAAAAAGTCAGTTTTTTCTATTATTATTACTATTCTGAGAGAAAAAGTCAAAATTCTGAGTTTAATTCTGACTTAAATCTGAGAATTCTGACTTTTTTTCCTCAGAATAATAAAAAAAAAAAACCCAGACTTTTTTTTTCCAGTGGCTCTAATTCTCTTCCGTAGATTTTTTGCATCATATTTGGCACATTAGGAATTTATTTTTGCAATTTACTGATTAAAAAATGTTGAAAATAACCAAATAAAAACACACAAATCACATTTTTTAACCAGTAAATTGCAAAAATAAATTCCTAATGTGCCAAATATGATGCAAAAAACTATGGAAGAGAATAAGGGACACTGGAAAAAAAAGTCTGTTTTTTTATTATTATTATTCTGAGAAAAAAGTCAATATTCTGAGTTTAATTCTGACTTAAATCTCAGAATTCTGACTTTTTTTCCTCAGAATAATAAAAAAAACCCAGACTTTTTTTTCCAGTGGCCCTAATCCTCTTCTGTAGTTTTTTGCCTCATATTTGGCACATTAGGAATTTATTTTTGCAATTTACTGATTAAAAAATGTTGAAAATAACCAAATAAAAACACACAAATCACATTTTTAAACCCTTAAATGTCCAATGACTTGATAATTTCCCTTTACTTATTCTCCTTATTCTTACTCTTGGTCACTGATTAATTGTTGTTCACATCTTCACTTCTGTTGTTAACCCACCATCTAATAAAAAAGTACCCCACACCCAAATCCACACACAACGTTTTACTCCATTTTTCAATAAAAGTGACTGATTTTAAGCAGATTCTTCACTATCTCAAAACATAAAAGACAGTTTTCTCATAATATTCAGATTTTAGTTTATACTTTTTTTAATATCTCGGATTAACAAAGCTGGTTTTCCTGCAATAACAAGATAAAGAAGTCAAGATCTTGGTAACGGGAGATGGAGGGATGAAAATGTATACATGCGTGTCCACATGGGGCCTCTGTCTTGGTGATTGTTCATGGAAAATAAAGCAAAGAAAACTTCTTGAAGACCTCCTGATCAGGACAACATTTGTAATAGAATGGTGTTAGAATAGACTGCATCTAAAATCAATAGATATTCTGGTTTCTTCCATAGATATAAACAGTGATGTTGCCAACTTTATAAAGACATAAATCATTTATCTCCTGTTTCTAATTTGATACAAATTTTCAACCCCATGTTGCTTTAAAATATATAATAAGTTGATCATGATACGTTGCTTTAACTTGTTTATATTCCTTTTGAAGTGTCAGCACAAATTTGAACACTTCACCTGACTTAACTTTTTCGAAATTGGCAAAAACAGCCATAAAAAACCACACACAGGTCACAAACTGAGGACTTCAACTTATATTGTGTCCTGAGATGGACTTCTTTGGCAGGCCTTCGACTCCCTGCTGGATTATTGGAGCGTTTCATGTATCTGGTTGTATTTATCAAGTTTGTCCAGGAGGAAATTACCTCACCTGGGATGTAAAGGTCTTGAGATCTAAATCTTTCACACACTAATCAGAATTTTATCTGATGAAACGTAAATCTCTCAAACGGACCTCCACCAGGTCCATGCTCTGGAAACATTAAGGTGTTTGATGTGTTTTGTTTGGAGGACGTTCAAAACTGGATGTGTGCGTTTGTGTGCGTGTGTGTTTGTGACACAGGACATGCAAGCCTACCTTTAACTTCCTTTATCACAGTGTCCTCCCTGCTTCCTATTTCCTCTCGGACTCCTCTTATACTGAAGACCGCCGTCAGCTCCGGGCGGGTGGGGAAATACGAAGGCTTCTCTGACAGTACCGCGCGCAGGAAACTGGCTGCCATAGTGGCATAGGGGAAACAGGTAGCCGGCAGCCGGGAGCACGGCCTGTTGTCCACCTGGAGGAAGAGGACGGAGCTAGCAAAGACAGAAAGGGAAGGAAACAGAGGGAAAGAGCAAGTACGTCATGACTGAGGCCTTTTTTTTAAGGTGTAGGTGTGTCAGGAAAACGCCGTCTTCCTTAAACACTTAATATTACAGAAATACTTGATGGAGTTATTGTTGTACTTGACGGAGTTCCCCAAGGTTCTATGCTTGGTCCTCTTCTAGTTCACTGTTACATTAATAATATTACAGTTAGCATATTTTATTAGACCTCATTGTTTTTGGGTGTGTAGCGACTGCTTTCCTTCAACAAAAAAGGCCGCTGGGGTTTAGGTTTGCTTGCATCTGTGACTCGTCTAATTATCAGTCCGGTTTTAGAGTTAAAAAAGTAATTTATGGTTCAAAAAAAGAAAAGAAAACACGTTGAGCCAGGTCCAAAACTATGCCTTCAAATGAAAGGGTGATATGCTGAAATGAGGTTAAAACAGGACGAGTGAAAAGGTGAAAAACGATGAAAAATGATGAAAAATGGTCAACAGAAAATTATCAGAGCTCACCAAAACCATCGTCTGACTACACCGTTGAGATTTAAATAACCCGCCAAACATACCAAAACCACACCCCTCAGTGATGATCCCTGGAAGTGACGTACCGAGTAGAAATCAAACTCAACTAATATATTTTGGCTCCTACAGGATGATTTAGTAATAGTGACTTCTTACTTGCACCCCTTTATGCACAATAGCTGTTGATTCAACCACATCTGTATAATCAGGCTTGTTTAAATGCAGCCAGATTAAACTGCTGTAGACTTTTAATCCCAGAGAGAAGCCTTTAGACATTAGCCATGTTTGAAACTGCATACTATCATACTTTTGAGATTAAGTGGCATCACACTATTGACCAATCCATTATGCTTTTTGTGTATGCATTAAATTCCCAGATGTAGACTAAACAAACAACCTCAAATCAGTGGATTAGTCCTTTAACGGCTAAAGACGTTTCGAAAACTTGAATAAGAGTTATAACCGCTCTCACTATGCTTGTCATTTCCCTCAGCACCTACCCATTTGAGTCCGTTACTGATGAATGGGACAACAGGCTGGCGAGCTGCTGAGCATCAAAGTCAAACAGGTTCCTGTTAAGGGCGAGAGGGGCGGAGCCTCTCAGTTTGAGCGGCGACTGGAGGAGGACGCTGAGCGCCCAGAGCAGGGAGCTGTTAGAGAAGGTCCCTCGCTGCAGCGGGATGTTGGTGTGAAGGATTAAAGTGCCTTTGGCCCACAGGGGGCTCTGGTGTTTGTAGCAGTCACTGCCGTCCCATCCACAGGGGCCGCTGTCACATCCCTGCTCACAGTGGGTGTTCGCGTAATGGTCCCGGCAGTACAGGATGTGGGTTGGACTGAGAGAAAAAGAAAGAAACAGAGATTTGGTTGAGAGGTTTAGAGAGCTTTTAATAAGATAACCACAGCTTGAGATGTGGAACTGTTACCAAGGAGGAAAATGAACATTTACAATAACATGTGACTACAAATAATAAAATGTGCTTGTTTTATTGTTAATTAGGTTTCAACTGCAGACTTTGGATGGATCTTAATATACTGAAAGTAGACACAGCTCTGTGTCAAATTTGTCAGATTGAATAAAAATAAATGGTTTGATTCTCAGATGTGTCTGATCCTGTTATGTCCTGTAGTCTCCTTAATCATGTCTTCTCTTGTTCTTGTGTGTTGTATCGTGTCTTTCTGCATCATGTCTCCTTTACATAAAAATCAAATGGGTTAAATTTCAGAGCACCAAGGGTGTGCTGTGTGTTGTTTTGTCTCATCATGTCTTGTTATAGAGTCTTGTCTCATGTTGTGTCTTTTTGTGACCCTCTAAAATAAATATATCATAATAAAATCATTAAAAGTTTAACAACTGTCATCTTAAACAACAGGTTAGAGTATAAGGACTTAAGTCTTACTTTTTCTTTCTTAATGTGGTTCTAATACTCTGTCATATGAAACTGACAGACTTCCATCGTTTTAAACTGATGGTTTAATTAAAAAAATATTCAATTGAATCATTAGTTTTGAAATCGTAAAAAACAAATAAGCTGTTTCACTTTTTATATAAATCAAATTAAATCATGCCCAAGAAAACTTAATACCATTTTATCTACTTTTTCCCTGCACTAGTACATTGTAATGAGGATTGTAAAACTAGACTTTGATAAATACATTTTGCATAAATTATCAGTAAAGACTTTACTGACTTTTAAACAAGATTAATGATTAACCAACATATAAACCAGCCTGCAAACAGTCAGATAGATGGTTTTAACCGTCATAAATCAGATAACATTAGATATAAATGCAGGTTTAAAATGATTTTAAACTGATTTTACTTGCAGGGGTTCCTGTCCTTCAGGCAGTCGAAGCCGTCTCTGAGACACTCGGGGTCCATACACTCTCTGTTGCATGAACTGTCTCCAAACTTTTCCTTACACTTCCTGTTTATTGGACAAAGGCCCCACGGATCTCCAGGTGCGGCTAAAAACAGAACAAACACACATGGCCAAAATGTAATAAACTGTATTTGATCTTTTATGTTATATAGTATACAAACTTGATACGTAGACGACTCTCTCATTAGTTAGACCGTATATAATATATACGGTCTAACTTATGAGAGAGTCGTCTACGTATCAAGTTTGTCCCCTTTGTTCAAACTGTGAGCTTCACACAGAATCTGAAACACAATCATGGGAAACATGTCAACCTTTATAACATCTGCACATATATCTGACTGTTCAAACTGCTTACACTGAGACTTTTATCGCAGGACCAAGTCACCCACATATTCAGACCACTCATTGTTTCAGTGCATTAGCAGCTACTCATAACAATGCAGGTCAAGCCATGAAAGGTGGCTCCTGATACGAGCCGTTAGAGGAAACAGGAAATGGCCCCGACATAAACAGGAAGTTTCCAGGAGAAACGAATAGCTGCAGGAAATGAAGTGGGCCGTGCCTCGATAAAGGTCGAAGGTCGTCACCGTGGTAATGAGAAATGGGATGGAGCTGGACAATGGGCTTGGCAGGTGTGCGCGGGATCATAAAACCGTGGTAGAGAAACGAGCGAGACAAAAGATCTGAAATTAGACGCTGAGTTTTTACACTTTAGTTTGACTCGGTCAGCAGAGAGAGCCTTTCTGTTCAGTACAGTGTTAGAGTGATAAATAAACAGTTGTTAAGGATGTGGCTCTAATCTCAGACTCTACACGACTAACTTTAATCATATAAACAGGAGGAAGTACGGTAAATTTGATGTCTGTTAACAGCAGTAAAAAGAAGAAAAAGGGATGAAAACAAAAAGCAGAGGAGGTTAACGACAAAATACCACCAAACTGAGGAGTTAAAACCAGAACAGGGTGGATGTGGAGATGATCAGGATAGCACTGGTTGTGGTTTGGCTGTATTTATATCTAGATAAGAGTTTTAGATGGTAGGTGTCTGACTAAACTTTAACTATTTATTGATTAATGTGTAACCAGCCCAAGCATGTAGACATGGACCTGCTGGGAGGAGCGAAGGCTGGTGGTGCTAGCTCTGCTGTCTGTGCAGGCACAGGATATAAAGATGCTGATCAGTCTGTCATGATTCCCATAAAGGATCATAAAGGACATGATCTGCCCTCATACAGGACTGATTTAGTCTCTGTGTAAACACAATAATAATAAATTGGATCACTGAGAGCGCTCAGCATTACAAAAAAACACCTCAACAGCCCTTTAAAGGTCCTGTCAGGAATTTTTAGGAGGTTTTCAAATAGACTGAAATCAATACTTGTGCCTTTGCATGGCTCTCAAAAGCATAAGAGGTCATCAACAGTAAGATTGATAATTTGTATGTTGTAATTTTTAAAGCCTGAAACCGCTGGGAGGGAAATAGGTAACAGACCAGTCAGACAGTTTACTGAAAAACAAGCCGTTCTTTGTATTTAACATCATAAATATTCACTATAAGAGACACTCTGGGTGTTTAAAGAAGGCAGAATGAATATTTTAAAGGACAAAATTACCCTGGCGTGTTCAAGACATCATCAGCGTAGCAGTAAGATCTACAGTTTCACTCACAGAGGGCGCTCAAATCAAAACAAACCCAAAGTCACTCCCTACAGCTTTACAAAAATATTCTTTTGGTCATTACTGTCGGTTGTGGAATATTGAAACGGACCTTATATCTGCAGTAATGGGAATAACCAGCAGGGGGCAGTACTGGTTCCAAATGACTGCAAGTCTGAGAATATAACCATGACTCTCGCTTTATTTACTGCTTCACTGGACTTTTCCTAAATGAGTTTTCCAAAATTAGAGGTAGTAACTACAGTAAAGCTTTTTATTTTTAAGATGACATAAATTCTTTAACTTTTTTCTTTTAGTAATATTAAACTTTAATATTGTTGGTCTCTTGTGTTAGAGTTTGTCTCTCCCTGTCAGTTATTTACTCCAATCTTATTCCTTTAAATTTAAACTCTATTACAAATTTAAAATACATCTGATCTGGTGCACAGTTTATTCAGTCCTCTCTAATAGATTTAAGGTAAAAGGCTTCTGTCCAAACATTTTGTTATGCTGAAAACTTACATTACTCCACAGCCCTGGATAAAGCTCGATTACACTTTAAACTTTTATTATTTTCATACTGATGGTGATAAATCTGTTGAGAATAAGTAAATAATCTCACCTTGACACGTCCAGCTCAGCCCCAGCAGAACAAACGTCCTCAGAGCCAACATCTCCCCGCTCCTCAGGTCACCAGCTGTTTTCTCTGCGGTCTGGTCCAGCTGTGAGGTAAACCTCCCTCTGAAGTGACTCCCAGCCTTAAACACAGCTGTCTATGTGTTTCTCTGTGGAGCCTCTTCACTCCTGCTGCTCACAATGAAAAATCAACTCTGGGCGATTCCATCACAGAGACCAACACCTTCCAGCACCACCACCCAGCCCACTTTGTTCACTCGCTTCTCTCGCTCTTTTTTTTTTTTAGAGGCCCTGCGGATATCTGGACAACTTCCTGCCACTGTGCGGAGAAGAATAGGAGGGTGACGACTGTACGTGCGTGTGAGTGTGTGTGAGTTTGTAGTTCACTCTGTGTCTCCACTTGAAAAAAAAAAAAAACAGTATGGGGTACGGAGGCTTTACGAGGAGACGTTATTTAAATGTGCAGAAAGCTGCAGGGTGTGAGGGAACGGCGAGGTTTGAATTTGACCTTTTCATGAAGTGTGCACAGATACACATAAACACACACACACACACACACACACACACACACACACACACACACACACACACACACACACACACACACATTAACACACACTGGCTTTGTCTAGCTGCTGAGTCAAAATACAATCAACTGTTAAGAGCCTCAGCAGGACTGTGTAAACTGCTTCACAAAAGAAAACCGGATTAGAGCCCTAATGGCTCCGTCTAAAGCGAAGGGAGGAAATACAGAAAAAGTTCAAGACATTTGACAACAATTTTATACTCACATTAGAGATTTTCATACATGTTTTAACACATTCTTGTTTCAAGCTTGATTTCTAATGAAAGAAATGCTTTTAAGACAACCTGAGTCACTAAAACAGAATTAATGTAGCACTTTCTCTGAGGTGAAACAACAACTTTCAGGAGTATTTTATGAAACATGAGGTTATTTCATCCAGGCATTTTGGCAAATTCAGAGTCTATATTATCATGTTGTGAGAAAAAGGACAAAACACAGCTGATAACACAGAATTCTATGTTGAAAAAGCCCGTTTTGTTGGTAAATCTGGTCTACTTCTCCAGCTGAGGCTCTGGAGCTCCTCTGTTCATGCAGTATTCCTCCCAAAGCTCATTGAACAAACTCCCCGTCGCACCAAAAGTACATCCTTGATCCTTTTTGGGGTCACACAATCCCAAATCCATCTTTTTAAAAACTGCGCAGAAAACCTGCCGAGAGAGCGGCGTGGTCTTCTTCTCCATGCAGTGGTTGTAGTAGTGTCTGTAAACCTCAGACATGTTTGAGAAGACCGGCTCCAGATACAGCTTAGAGGAGTATGAGGTCACTTTAGGTAAACTGTCCAGGAACTCATTCAGGAAAACGTGCTCTGAAGCTTTACGGGACTTCCTCTGTTTTTGCTTCTTGGGGTTCACGTCTGGATTGTCCTCCTCAGATGAATTCTGAGCCCAGTTAAGCACCGACCACTCTCCAACCCCCAAAGTGGAGAGGAACATCTTTTTGCAAACTTGTCTCCTGTCACCTTCAGATATTAAATGATACCGCATAGAGACTGATCTTCTTGACTTAGTCCACGGAGCTCGAGTTCTTTCCACTGGGTCACAGTTAACTAATCCTGCCACATAGATCCTCCTCTGAGACCAGTTCATACACTGCCAGAAGCTGGTGAACAGCTGTTTCCTGGCTTCTTCACTGAAGTCTGCACAGAAACGGTTCGACGCTTTCCTGCAAGCGCTGGAGGTGCACCTCGGTCCGATTGTCCTCTGAGCTTTCGTCACAGTAGCACCGTCTTTCTTTCGTTTGCTGATGTACGGTTTGCCCTCCATCCTGAGCTGCTTCATTCGATTCTGCTTCCATGTCAGTGGTTTGGCGACTCTAGATTTCTTCCTGGCAGGTCCCTCTGGTTCTGGTGGGCTGTTTTTGTCTCTTTCAAGGCCGATCACATGTTCTGCAAAAACAGAAATAAGAAATTCACACCATTTGAAAAATCTGGAGATCATTTTTGTGAGTGATTAATAAAAGTCTCATGAATGAAAATTTAAAAGAGGGTCCACTGACACTATAAGGTATTGCTACTGTCCACATTTTGATCCAAACTCAAGTGTAACCCACTGGGAGTAGGAATATCTTTCAAAATAATGCCTCTTTTTAAAGGTTTTTAAGTCTCATATATGAATGGACCATTGCTTTACTACCCTGATATTCTTTATTTTGCATAAATACTCTCTAAGGGGTTTCAAACTGGCTGTGACAGACTGAAAATTACATCGTCTCTTTATGACTTTAAAAAGCCAAAAACACCAAAAACAAGGATATTAGGTTCCTATATTTTATTGTGGTTTATGCTGTTTGGGGTTATTTTGTCTTTATGCAAAGTCCCCAAAAACTTTAATGAAGTGTTTTGATCGTGGTACATGTACAGAAACAAAAATAAACGTAATCCCATAGAAACACTCACCCAGGGAAACTTCTTTAGTATTACTGACTGCAGCAGAGGTCGGTTTCTGTTTTGGGACCTGAGGCAAAGCCTGCACCATTTCCAGTTTGTTCCCACTCTGTTTTTTCTTCATATTTGTTGCTCCTTTCTGTGCCCAGTTGAGCACAGACCACTCTCCAACCCCCAGAGTGGACAGGAACATGTTCTTACACACCTGCTTCCTTTTACCATCCACCAGCAGGTGATAACGGAGTGACACCGATCTCCTCGACTGTGATCCCACCGCTCGAGATCTTTCCACGGGGTCGCAGTCGACTTGTCCTGCTACATACAGTTTCCTCTGGGCCCAGTTCATGCCCTGCCAGAACTCCTCAAACACTTTCTGTCTGATGTCTTCATCGATTTCTCTGCAGAGCCTGTTAGAGGCCTTCTTGCACACACTCGAGGTGCACCTTGGTCCCACTGCTCTTGGCTGTTTAGTCACGATCTCTCCGTCTCTTTTGCGTTTGCTTACATACGCCTTGCCCTCCATCCTCAGCTGCTTCTGCTTGTTTTGCTTCCATCTGGATGGATCTGAAACTCTTGCTCTGGGTTTTCTTCTGCTAGTCCCTGTCTTATCCAGATTAGAGTTTACAGTCTTTGTAGCTGAAAAACAAACAAATGCAGAGAAATTGAGTTGGTTATTTGATGCATTGCTCTAAAATACAAATTGTGACTCATTTTGAAGATAAAATTTAGTGCCAATGTGCAAAACATCAAAAAACATATTGAATGAGTGGAAAAATCAAAATTGCTAAAAAACAGTTATGTCAGAGTCCAATCAATTATTGTAGGAACTTTTATGTTATTTTGGTGAAATTACTCTTTCATTTGTTATGAGTAGTACCGTTTATCTTTTAGTTTCACTGAAAATTATTGTTCCACAGTTGAAGATCGGCTTTAGTTAGCTATAAGCAGTGTTGCGCGGTATGACGGGATATACCGTATGATGGTATAAAAGTGTCTACCGGTAGAAATTACACTAGAGTTTGGCAGAATCTTCCTAAGTGTCCATGTAATATAACATGTGCTTTTAGTATGAGGGAGTAGAAATTGAATTTACAAGACAACAACACCCTGTCACTTACTGCTGACAGCACACAGAGGTGATGGTATCATCTGAGGCTCTGCTGTCTTCACTGAGAGGGAACTTCTTCTGCATGCTCCATCTTCATGTTTGTTAGATTTCCTGCTTGTATCAGTGACATGCAGATGTTCTAGATAAAGCAGCACACACAGCATCTTCATAAAGGAAGTCAATAACCAACAATACACTTTCTTATAGAAAAGAGACTCTGTTTAATCTCACCTGGTGGAGGGTTCAGCCCCAGAGTCTCAGTTGCTGTGGGTCTGTGAACAGGCGGGGGGTCATTTGTGGGTTTGTGAAGAAGACCAATATCCTCCATTGCTGCTATGGCTGCCGAGCAGGGAACAGGTTGTGAGGCAAACAACAAATGACAACATATGCTTTTACAATAACATATCAGGCTTCTAGCATCAATTACTTTGTTGATATCGGTCTTAACGCGCTTTTTACTCATATTTAATCCGTTTACACCAAAGTCATCCAGATGTATTTGCAGAGGAAAGCGTTTCAGGTCTGTCATTTATCAACAAAGTAAGTCCAAACAGCTTTTATGCGTTTAGTTTTCATGTTTTCCTCTCTTTTTGTGCAGCTAATTATGTGCGAATGTTGTTGTGGAAGGCTGAAACCACCATGAAGTCCCTCTGAAATGAGTCGTATTTTGGTGTTTGCTTACATAGTGTTACACATTTGAAAACGTCGCGTAGACCCGTCGGTTCCATCCAGATAAAGTCACAGTTTTCACCCTCTGCTCGCTTTTCTCTCCATCACAGATAAGAGTGTAAAACTCCTCCACCTTTGGCTCCGTCAGCTCACGGCTAACGTTGATAAATTATCCAACCGCCTGATCTGTGCAGCTCCATACTGGCAGCTGCCATGTCTGAGCATGCGCACTGGCCTTCAACACACAGCTATGTTTATGTTGTCTGAAGAGAGAGTGGCGGGAGAAATATCCAGATAACCTACTCTATTCAATAGTTAATTAAAGATTTACATCTCCTTTATTTAAAGCTGATATTTGTGAATGTCTTAGTTATATGTAGCTAAAATATATGGAAGTAAACCTGTGCCATCTGGTTTTGAATTTGAATTTCTAAAACTGAAATTTTTTTTGCATCAAAATCAGACTTGAATGTCAAAAACATCACATTTTAAGCACTCATTTTTATTTCTTACACTTATTTTTTTTCACAATGAGGAAATAAATTCAGTGTAAAAAAAAGTATCAAAATATCTGTATTGTCGGAATTAAAATACAAGGAGAGCATTTGAAGGTTCAAGTTATTTTTAGGGTTTTGGGGAAAAAAGGCAACATAAAACAGAAAGACATTTATAGCTTTGCTCATCCTCCTGCTGACTTGAAAGCAAGGGAAGGAAGGAAACTATCAGGGAGTTCAACGTTTTTGCTCAGGGTTTCATCCTTCACTTGTTTTAATGGGTACAGCGCAAGGCAAAGGTTTGCTCTTCTGGGGCAAAATCAGAGCCATGTTCTTTGACTGACAATTATTTTAATTTTGTGGTATAACTCCTCACATGTAGGGCATGGATATCCATCTTGGTTGTATATATTTTAGTGGGTGGCGTGGAGTGATTCAAATCCAGGGTTTACCCTAAACCCAGGTGGTTATTTCCACTAACCACATCTATCTTAACTTATAAAAGTGAGGAATCAATAAAATGTTATTTTCTTGTTTGTAATATTCAATTCTGAAAGGTAACTCAATAAAGTGAGGACATTTAAATCTGCTGATCTTAATTCTTCTGGGGACTCAAAATAAAGATATGTCAAAAATCACAGTTTGAAGTTACCGCTCAGTTACCCCTGAACTACTATGATGACTTTATTAGTCCTCTAAACTAAAATGGTGGACTTTTATGTTTTTGACTTCATGTTGTAGCTCATAGATACCACAATTGATGTATAAAACAATTTTAAAATGATCTTTTTTGGTCTGAACACAATTCTAATCAAACTTATGACAGACTAAATTCACTTTACAGAGTGAAAAATGTTGTTTTTCTGTAAATAAATGTCTAACCCCTTCACCCATGTGCTTCTAACCTTCACAGACTCCATGAATTGATGACCATCTCTTAAATATTTGGTCACAAGATCAATTTCTTTTACCATTTCAAAGCAACAGGGGTTGGATCAACTTACCCCACTGTCACCTATGTCTCTTAACTGTTTGTGCAGGTTTAGCTTTTGGACACTAGATGGCGATAATGGACTGTTGTAAAACTCCATATACAGTCTACGGGAAACCTCACACTGTAGATATCATTATATCACCACTGCACTATTTCCATGTGGTAACTTTTTAACCTGCAGAGGTTGTCGTTTTTTTTTAGACAAAACTTTATCAAACCAGGACTTTGAGTGGATGTTGTTAAACAGTAAACTGTGCTCCATTTCTCTCTGTACTACAGCTGTAGTTCTGGCAGGGACGGAGGGGACTTACCGTCATGTTCGACTATAAAACCACAACTTTCGGTTTCTCTTGTTGAAGTTGAAGCTCGCGCGACGTACCGGGAGCTAACGTCTGACCGTTGGGGAATCATTAGCCGACATTTGTCGTTAAATAGTGGCTCTACCGTCGATTTTTTTACGTTTTCAAGCCTCATAATCATCGAAGTTGACTCGTCGTTCGGAAATGTGAGTAAAATTTGACCTGAATACGCACTAACTTAGCTAAACTGAGCTAGCCAACATCACCGTCACATACACACTAATGTATGCTCACATGCGTCGTGGTTTATGTTGTGGTTGTGTTGTGGTTTATATGGGTGTGTTACTCCGCTCCGTATATCTGTAGGTCACTTTGTTTGTCTTTGGGCTTTTTGCCAATCTGCTTAAAAGAAATCAGCAGGGTAGAAGAAAACGAAAGTAAATGCTGTACAGAGACAGTAAAGGCTCAAATATACTGAAAGTCGTTGTGCTGTTTACTGGGTATTCCCCTATTGTGTGACATGTTGCCTGCTGTTTACACATATTTTAAATTTCCTAAATGTTTTTCATTTTGGACTAACATATTCCAAATTCTTACAAAAGATTTGCATAATACTAAAGCTTGACATTCAACTGGTGCTGTAAGAGTCTCTTTGCCAGTTTTCTTAACTTAATAAACGCCCCCTATGAGTGAAGTTGTTATCCTATCCAAATGAAGAAAAATCTCTAAGATTGACCCTTTTTTCATTTCTTACACTATTAAGAAGTGCAAACTATAATTACTGAAAACGTTGTTTGTATTCTTTATTTACATTGTTAAGGAGAAAGTGGAGTGACAAGGAAGTGAAGCAGTAAAACCTACTTTACCCAATAAAAGCTTTATAGAGTTAATGTTTTAACATGTTAAATGCAGCTGTAATTGGGTTGTTAATATGAGCCTAATCAGTGAAACCTGATAACATTGTTCTGAAGTTTGACTTGTTTCTCTGACCTTCTCTGCAGACCCTGTGAATTATGCAGAAAATGAACTACTTCTTCCCTGTACTCTTCGTCTGCCTGGATGTCTGCGTGGTGCACGCCCTCCGCTTGGCCCACCTCTCACCTGTGCTCATCCCCCATCCGTACGTCGCTCTGTGGGGAGGAGCGTTGACCCGGGCTGCCATCCTCGTCTTCCTCACCCTCACTTACCCTGGTAGCCTACCATGGATGAAAAGCTCTGCAGGTCTGCAGAGTTTAGGGGTTCTTTGCTTCCACTTCCCAGTGTACACCACTCTTCTCTGGGTGCTGGGACAGTCTACCATGGAGGAAGTGTGGGGGTGGCACTCCTGGGACAGGGTGGGTAGCTGATTAAGAACTGTATTTGAAAACCTTATGTTGCAGGTGCAGATGAGCTGGGATTGATCCAACTACTGTTTTATTGCTGACTGATCACCTTTTTCCTCAAGCTTGGCTCAAAATGATGACTAAAGGTCACCTTTTGTTGCTAGTCTGATAGCTTTCTCTGATAGTTCAGTGTTTTATTATCAGACAAGTCACCCCGTGTAGTGAAAAGTGACGCAATCTTGAAACAAAAAAATGTAGTCCACCAATAATCAACCATTTCTTCTTTCACTTTATTGAGCAATGTCTTTAAGGGTTACATAACCTGTCCTTATAGAATTAAAAAACGTGTTTTAAATATAATATCTACTTTTTGCAAATGAGCCATTGAGCCCTGTACATGAACAGAACCAAAAGTGAAAGTTGCCATTTTCGAAATCCTTTTTCTTTTGCATTAAATGGTTAACCTCGGATGCCTTATCTGTATTTTACCCATCATTTGTCTTGCAGGTGTTACAGGGTTATGCTGTCACAGTGGTGGCATGGCTCTACTGGAGTCGATACGTGTCTTCTCTTTTGGTCTCTTGGGGTCAATACATCTCGTCTCTGTGGAAGAAGACACCATCTGAGGACCCTGACGACCACACCGGTGCCTCTCTGAAGAGACTGTTGGGGTACATGAGGCCCTATTTTGGACGCTTTGTGGCTGTATTGTGCCTAGTTGTTCTCTCTTCTTATGGTAAGTGAAACAACAACTTTAATGTGGTTATTTTCTGTGTTTTAAAGTAGTTTTTGTGTTTTTCTCTGTAATGCCACAAATTAGTTTAAAAGTTATGAGTTTAGAACAAAGTAGAACTTATTTTAGGATTGTTTTTAAGCTTTAACTTTGAATTGAGACATTTTTAAAGATACATTTTAAAACTTTTTGTTGTCTTTGAAGCTAACACACAGTCGTAAAAATCACACTACTTGATTTCAATGATGTCAATATGATACAGTAGCAGGGAGAAGAAGGATGTATAGTCTGGACTCGTAGAAAAACAAGAGACTCTGTTGACTCCCCCAGATCAATATTGTGTCAATGTGAACTTCTGCCCTCAGGTGAGATGGCTATCCCCCAGTACACAGGGCGTGTGGCAGACTGGATCCTTAATGAAGAGGAACCTGATGCTTTCACAGAGGCCATCAAATTCATGACACTAATGACTATTGCCAGGTAATGTAGCCTTTGGGACAAAACAATTTTATTTTAAAATGGACTTCAAATTTTAGGGCCCTTTTCTTTGGAATTGGTGGAATAACAAAGTTACAGGATGTAACCACAGCTAGCAAAACTTCTCCTTTTTATTCTGGAGAAGAGATATTATTTGAAAGTTAAATAATTTGGGTGTTCGACAGCGTAACATGTATGGCCTCCTCTGTTTCAGTGCTGTGCTGGAGTTTTGCTGTGACCTCATGTACAACATCACGATGAGCCTGGTCCACACCTCAGTGCAGGGAATTGTCTTCCAGGCTGTGATGAAACAGGAGATCGCCTTCTTTGATGCCACCCCTACTGGTTAGTTGTAAATACTTCATCAGATTAATTGCACTTGTGCTGAGGCTTTTGATTTGCTTTTTTATGGACTTTGTGTTGGCTGGTTTAAACTCAGGATTAAACAACACATTGAAGTCACGCTGCAAGTGTTTTCATCGTTTTGACGAGGCTTATGCACATTCTGTTTCTCTCAGGTGAACTGGTATCCCGCATCACCACAGACACGAACAACATGAGTGAAGCTCTGAGTGAGGAACTCAGTCTGCTGATGTGGTACTTCGCACGTTTTGCCTTCCTCTTATACTTCATGGTGAGCCAGTCCTGGAAGCTGACCCTGCTCACCTGCATGGGCCTGCCCATCATCTGGGTCATACCTGAGCTCACAGGAGGCTTCCACCAGGTAAAGAGAAGCACCATTCTGATGAGACTTGAGAATGGATGTAAGGTACTTGTGTACTGTGAAAGAGACCGTCCTATTGGTACAGTTGGCAGTGCAGTTAGTGTGATGCACCCAGACCAACACTTTTAAAGTGGCCTGTGATTGTTAAAACCTGTCAGTAAGATGCAGTGACTGATTCAGGCTTCAACTATTGGCATCTGGGATTATTTTTTGTATCTAAGCAGCAGTACACTGACAAAGCTGAATCAGTTTTCAGCTTTTGTATTTATAGTTTTTATATATTACTTCATTTTTCCCCTAAATGAGTATCACTTACACTTATAACCTACTTTGTCTTGTTGTTTTAAACTCAAAAATGACAGAAGAGGCTAACTGGAAATGCTGATTGGCCGATGTACAATGCTGATGTCATGTTGTTATTGTTGTTTTGCATTTGATTGATTAAAACAGTTAAATAATATTAAGATTGACATCTCATATAAATTTACTTTTATTATTCCATGCACAAAACAATCTAATATATGTATATATAACTATCTTAGCCAGTAACATGTTTTATATGTATTTTTAATTTGATGTATTTTTATCCCCACCTCAGACTATCGCTCGAAAGGTCCAGGAGTCACTGGCTAAGGCCAACCAGGTGGCCACAGAGACTTTCTCCTGCATGAAGACCGTGAGGAGTTTCGCCAACGAAGATGGGGAGACAGAGAGGTACAGACTACAGCTGGAGGAAACCTACGCCCTTAACAAACAGGAAGCAGCAGCGTATGCAGCCACCACCTGGGCAAACAGCGTAAGTTAAAACCTTATTAAAGTGAAAGTGCAGGGTTTTCTTTTCTGCTGTGTTTGTATAGGAGTAATTTTGCTCTATGTCTGTAGGGTATAGAAAAACATGCATGTAATATTTGTAATGTCACTTGACAGGACGTATACTTGCAGAGGAACATTTGAATACTGTTTTGCATAATAGCTTAAATATATAAATCACTGTCTTTTTCCAGTTTGCCACCCTGGCCCTGAAAGTGTGTATCCTGTACTACGGGGGGACTCTTGTGACCAGGGGGGCTGTCAGCAGCGGTGATCTGGTGTCATTTGTTCTCTATGAGCTGCAGTTTGCTTCAGCTGTCGAGGTAAACCACAGAATAAGTTTGAGTTATTTACAGTGTCGTGACACATGTTTGACACAGACTATGATGGGCTGATTGTTGAAAATATGTAAATAGTTGAAATGCCTCATTCCTCCTCCTCTTCTCCAGGCTGTCATGCGTTATTACCCAGAGGTGAGGAGGGCAATCGGTGCCTCTGAGAAGATCTTTGAATATTTGGATCGCAAACCTAAAGTACCTCCAGAGGGTACTTTGGCCCCCCAAAATCTTGAGGGACACATTCAGTTCAAAAACGTCTCATTTTCATATTCGGAGGAGACAGAAAAAAATAATTCTGTGCTCAAGGTATGTTTGTTTAGGCATTAATATCCCACATGTACATAACTAAATTGCATCATTCATTCAAGCTTTGTAAAATGATTATTCCTCCTCTCTACCAGGACGTGTCTCTGGACATTAAACCAGGTCAAATCACTGCCCTAGTGGGCCTTAACAGATCAGGGAAGTCCAGCTGTGTGAAGCTGCTGGAGAGGTTTTACCAGCCGCAAGTCGGGGAGATTTTACTGGATGGGGAACCACTGCAGAGCTACAAAGACCAGTACCTACATGATAAGGTTTGTCGTCAAAGACTTATATTAGCTGATATAGTCGTACAAATATGATGATAAAAGGAGGATTAATTATTATTCATTAAAGGTGTCATCTCAGGTTCCTTAAAATGGGTCTTAAATTTCACTTCTTTGCTCTGTTTTTACTGATTGTTTTATTATGACTGATCACAGAATAGGAAGGACTTTTGCACATAATTTTCCTTATTTTTTTCAGCTATTGTCCTTATTGTCAACCACCCCCCAAAAAAGCTGTTACACTTGGAAGTCACAATCCTTTCCTCTCCATCTTGTTTTTTAACAGATTGCTGTTGTGAGCCAAGACTGTGTGCTGTTTGCTCGCTCTGTGCGCGAGAACATCAAGTACGGCTTGGAGGACGCTTCCGATGAGGAGATGTTCAGAGCTGCCAAGCTGGCGAGTGCCCACGACTTCATAATGGACCTGTCCAATGGATACGACACAGGTTTGACCCATAGACTCCGATTTTGTTGGAGGGGATGAGTTAGAATCTTCATAAGAATCTGAAACTGATTTCTGTTTGTCTTCGATTTTGTTTTCAAAGCTTTCTCAGTTTTAAATCAGTTCCTTGTTTGTTAGTTCGGTTGGATTCTAGAGCGCACTGTCCCTTTTGTTAAAACTTAAATCTGTTCATCATTTTCAGTGGGTTAATCCATCCCATAGAAACACAAATACGATGACAGTATGCTCCTCTGTTGGACAGATGCTGGAGAGAAGGGAGGGCAGGTGTCTGGAGGTCAGAAGCAGCGCATCGCCATCGCCAGAGCTTTAATCAGACGTCCTAGAATCCTGATACTGGACAACGCCACCAGTGATCTGGACCCCGAGAATGAATACCAGGTGGAAAAATCTCACATTTTTCTGATTATTTATTATTGTTTTCTACATTTTTATACTGAAACCAAGACATTATTGTTCTCACCAGGTCCACCAAGCTCTGCTCAAACAAACCAAGGACTGCACCGTGATGTTAATCTCCAACAAAATGAGTGTTGTGGAAAAGGCCGATCATATAATTGTCCTTTATGAAGGCATGGTGAAGGAGGAGGGAAGTCATGATGAGCTGCTGGAGAAAGATGGCCATTATGCTGAGCTGGTGAGGAAGCAGAATACAGGCTTTCACCGTCAAGGAGAGGAGGAGAAGGAGTTACAGTGATCTGTGCGGGCAGCAGTACTAACGTAGTCTGATTACTGGAGGGTTGCTGGTTGAATGTCCTGACTTTCAGCTGCATTTAGAACATTTGAATATTAGCTACGGATGCAAAACTTTCTGCATCTGTCTGCCACCCTACATCAGTAACCAAAGTCCTACCCACTAATTGACACAACAAACACACACCTGATGAGACGATGGGCAAGGTAACTCATTTCATATTCATTACCCACAACTAGCAACCAGACTTCTGAACATGTTCGATCCAGATCAACAGAAACACTGCTGACAAAAAATATTAATATTAATAAAGTTAATATTAAGAGCAGCTGCCAAAGTCAGACATTTCAACCTAAACTTCAATGGAAGTGTCTACGGCAGGTACAAAGCGTCAAGAGCGGAGGAATGCTGTTTTTTTTTTTGGAGCAACCTTAATTGTGAGGATAGGTTTGTATGTAAAGTGTACTTTGTAGAGGCTTTTTTTGCACATTGTGAATTCTTCTTTGTGTGCCTTGGCCATTCAGAAGACCCTAAAGGTGTGTTTCCACCGTGGGGTCTGCTTTGGTTCAGTAAAGTGCGGCACCGTTTGGTAGGGTAAACCCTGATCTTGCATTTCCACAGCAGAACCCGGCTGCATGACAGCCTCAGATGGGCTTGAATTTTGGTGTGCACATGATGCTTTTACTCTGACACAGATTTCAGGGCCGTTACTTGATTAAAGAAGTAACTTTCACCTTTTTCTATTTGGGCTTCAGGTGATTTTTCACAGCAAAATAAGTTTTCATTAATCACATTAGCTGCAGGTAAGCTAACGTGATTATTCAATAATATTAAATCTTTTGGTTCTCATCTCCCTCTGTAGCAATCACTGTGCCCCTCTCACTTCTTGTGTCGGTATGTGAATTTTCCGATCATTTATATACTGTTGGCAGCTCATCACACCACAAAACATTTCCTGATAAGAATAAAAACGTAGATAAAATCGAGTCATAATTTATTAATCAAATAAATCAGGTTAAGAGATATAATCCAGTATGATCTCCTTCATCTCAATCATTACATTTAGGGTCAGGTTAGAACCCTGTACCCTAACAAAACAGTGCCAAACGAGCAGGATTGTATGGGTTTGTCATTAGGGTCCCAGTTTTTGGCAGTAGGAACATAAATATTTGTGCATCATACTGTCCCTGACCCCTTTGTGAAAACCCATCATAAGTAATCTTTCTGAACCCCTTTAGTTTGAGAGAGACTGGTTCTACTTGAATTTGGTGATATGGATAAAGTCCTGTATCAGGGTCCATTTATACCTATCTGTTTTAGACCTACAGAGAAATTACTAAATATGATAAATGACACTTCTGTAGTGTATCACCCTTAGTTCATCATTAATTGAATTATTATGACGTCATATTTATATGCCCACAGTGGTCTCTCACAGATGTAGAGATCATATTTAAAGGGTAATTGTCTATATCAGTTCTTTCCATGGTGTTCATGATCATATTTCCAAACCGACCAGTTCCTTAAGTGAAACTTTTGTGTATTTGTGATGGTAAAAGGAGTTTTTATTGAAGAAAGTCTGATGATGACAGTACATTAAGTTAAACAATGTAGATGAGGGAGAGCTGAATCTACTGGCTTTATGGAGGTCTTGGTTGTGAGAGTAGATGTTTTGTACCGTATTTTTGCACTTGTCTTCTCTCTGTTGCCTTTTTCTGTATTAGTTTCTTCAAAATAAATGTTGATTTTTTCTTCAAATAGCTGTCATGGAGGTTTTCAATAAGAGCATGTCTGTAATTTGGGCTTTCGTGTGTGTATAATTTTACCCTTGTGATAGACTTGCTACTGAAGGGCACGATTTCACAAATAAAGGTCAGGCTTATGCATCACGACTACACCATTACAAAAAAAACTGTAAGTTTCATCTGTTTCCAATGTGCTGTTTCCAACTTCAGATATTCTGACCTAAATGCTGAAGGTATGTGGAATGATAGATGTGTAGGAGTTTACCTGAAGGTGGGATCTAAATAAATAACCTTTTTAGTGACTTTCCGCAAATGGCAAACTCCAAAGATTATATAGAGATGTTCTATTTTCTTAAAGGTCTTCTGGGTAAACAATGCAAACGTCTTTAATTCAATATAAAGCAAGTCTGAAAAGATGTTTGGGAATAATGGATGCAGACTGGGTAAGGTATATTACCTGATTCATCCTACAATCTCACCTGCTTCAACCTTAAATTAGATGATACCGTTCTAACAAACTTGTGTAAAACGCTGTTATGGCCACAGTTTGCAGAAGAATGTAGTCCATGCAGAAATAATTCACTCTTGATATTATAATGTTTAATTAACTTTTTTCCAAAAGGCATTCCCAGCGGGTTAAACAACACTGGGAATAGCTCTGTAAACATTTACATGATGCAGATGAACAAATTACATCATATCACCATTTTCCAAAGAAAAGAAAAAAGACTCAAAGACAGTAAAGCTGGTCTTGGGAAGACAATGTGCATAAAATTTCGCAGCACGGTGGTGCGGAGCCGCTGGATTCAGACATGACAGAGAACAAGATGTACCGAGCAGAGACTGATGGGCGTGTGCTTCAGTTTGATGGACGTCTCATTACAGCCAATGAGCGCTCAGAATCACCCCGGCCGTGACAGGAAATACGTGACACCGCCACGTGGTGGGTTTATATAGGGTCAAGCGGAAGCGTTTGAGCGCCATTTCATTGCGGAGTTGAACAGTGGTGTGTCGGTGGAAGTGCAGCAGCGTCAACAGCGGTGGAAAATTCGGACTGTAACAACACCCCGCCTTCAGCGCGATGGAAGCGGCAGTCAACCCGCCTCACGACAGGTAAAAATCTGCCTTTTACACCTGAAGAATCCTGACCAACGGTTAACGGCGCACTTAGACGTTAGCACCCTTTACCGTTAGCACCATCACCATAACAACGCTAGCAGAGGTTGATTTGAGGTGTTTTTAGCTAGCGTCTGCGGCGACTCAGCTGACAATGACTTGCTTAATCTCTGCAAAAGTGCAGCCGAGTTTACAGACGCGTACTTTCGCGGAGGTCTTAGCTTCACTGGAGACCGGGCACAAAGAAGGCGGATGACAGCTGCATCCCCAGCGGCTGGTTCAACCGGCTGCTCCCCGCCGGCTCTCTGTCAGCCGGTGTTCCGGTGTTAACGGTGACCGTGTAAACCGGCGACTCCAGCCGAACGCGTCTGTTGTTGTCGTACTTGTCAGTTGTTGATAGCGTCCTTGCGAGTGCTTCTTGGTCAGCTTTTTATATAAAACACAACTAACGGTTGTTTTTGTTTTCCACTAGAATAAACCAAAAGGCATTCATTAGGTCCCGTTTTGTGTTTTAACGGCTTGTTGTAACTACGACAACCAGCGACGCATCCTGCTTGAGTCGCCAGATCCCAGGGTCACTCTTTAAACCGAAACACGTTAATCCTGCTGTGGTGAGACAGTCGCATAATATAACCGTTAATACGAACCATGTCCAATATGTCTTAAACTCGCAGCAGTTTGAGGTAAAAATGCAGCTTTATTAGACTTTGACAGGTATCATTCCTGCTCACCAACCTCAGCTAACAGCTTAGCTTCTGTCTCCTGTTCTGTGAATCAAACATCTGCATACCCCTGACAGGAGTCTGTGAATGACGGGCTATTATTTTTGGGCTTTTTTTGCAGTTTAACCATCAAACTATGATGTATTTTAAAGGAAAAGTCCCCGTCTGTCAGTCGCCCATGTTATTACAAGGCAGTGTTTACAAACAGGGAGGGCGGGGCTCCGGACCACGCGATCACCAGCTGTTGGGGAGCAGATCCAGGAGTCTGACTTTTCATTGTTTTGGTTTCACATATAGGCATTGTAGTAACCTTTAGGCTCGATTGTATGAGAGATAATGCCTTTTAGTAGTAGTAGGAATTTGAATCGAATTACATGGAGTTGAAAAATAACAACTAATCGTTACTATAATCGATTAAAAAATCACTAATAGATGATTTCAGCTCTCAGTATAGGGACTATAGGACTATGTTGTTAGGTGAAGTAATAATCTAATGCATTTTAGATTGTTTCATTTAAGTACATGACTTTAGCCTGATATGAAAGGATGTAATCTTTGTAAATCACTGTATCACTGAATGTATTACTCAATTCTTTATAATGTTGATTTATTAACAAAAACGTAATGAGCACACTTGGGTTCAGTTTGAATTACTTTAACATAAAAAAAATGACAATCACAAATTAAATCACAAATTCATCAATATCGCAGTATCAGCATTTGCAGTTAATTAAAAATGAAATTTAATCATCACAACAAATTAGGGAAGGATTTAATTAGTATAACCAGTGTTTTATCTCTCAGCTTGTGTATTTAACCTATCAGATGGAGACCTGGGTATTATGGTCATGCTTTCAAATGAGGCTTTAACCAGCTGTCAGCAAACCCCGGGCTGGTTGGTGATAATTGAATTTATAAAAACTGTTTTTTTGTATTGGAGAAACATGATACAAACTGAGTTCATGTGTAAAACAGATTAACAAAGAAACTGGATTAATGTTTCAAGAATACACTTGTTAATATTTGCTTATTTACCCCCCACTTCTAATTGATATCACACTGATAGTACAATGTTATTACACATCCTCTTTTCTTTATTGTGTAGCCTAAAAGGCCACCTGAAGTGCAGTAAAGATAAGAGATTAGTTTTGTTCGATTGGAGAGAAATATTCATAAAGTTTCTCAATTACATTTTTAATAGTATTTACATATAAAACACATTTTGTCTGGTCTAACTTCCTGTATTTTTCCATATTTCAAAAATATATCACAGAAATAAAACATATTGTGATGCCAGTTCATCCTAATACTGTGTCGCCCTGGTAACCGATCATATTAATACAGAAACAGCTGCGTTTGTGAAGACTGTGTGTATGTAGTCCAAAACTGTCAGTCCTCTGGCTTGCACAATTTTTTATTTTCTCCCTGTAAAGAAAAACCTAAAGACAGTTCCTGACATACCCAAGTCTAATAAAACAAATGTTTTCTCCAGATATTCTACAGAAGTATTAGCATACTCTGTGTTATATGATTTTTAGAGACCTGACGTAAATCTACCAAACCTGAAACAGAAGGAGGGCGATGCTGCACAGCTGTCTGTAGTGACTGTTGGGTTTGAGTTGGTCGAAAAGAAGGAGACACAGAAAGAGAGAGAGAAAGAGATGAGTTTGAATAAAAAGAGCAACATCAACAAGAGATAAAACCGGTTATTGACGGTAATGAGGTAGCAGCAGTTAAAGTCTGTGTGATATTAACAGAAACAGGAAGTTATGGTCAGTTTACTCCATCGACTACTATGATAAGAATAATATGGGGAAGGCTGATGATGTTGATTTTAGCAGTTGGAGTGGAGCAGCTCCAAAATGTACATGAACAGCTTTGATAATGATTATAAAAGTTAGTCAGATGATATACTTACAGTTCAAATGCAGGAATGTCCACAGGAACGAGGGGGCTCAAAAACCTCCTGCAGCAAAAATACCCACCAGTCTGCATAAATGCTTTAAGAAACTACAGCCCTTTCCCTCCAAACCAGGTTCTTCATTCATAAAGATTAGAAAAAAATGGTATAATAGCATAATTCATGTGAGCAATCTGAGAAATGATCACGTTATTTTTTGTCGTACTTAAAAAAGTCTCAGCTGAGCGGCGCTCACATGCGCTTGGCTGCGGGTTTGTATTGTAATTCATTCATCGCCTAAAGGCTGGTGTTTTTCTTCAATGCTAATGCGGTTTAGCTGTTGATTGGTCTGTCTGGACTCAGACTGGTGTAGTAAATCAGCTCACAGGCTTTGCCACAGTTTGTGTGTCAGTGGGGCAGGTGTGTGTGTGCTTGTGTGTGTGAACTACAGGGTTAGATTTAACTTCTTCTAAATCTGGTTCATGTGCTCTGCTCAGACGGAGGAGAAGACGGGATGATGGGGTTAACTGTGACTTGATATCTCCATCTGACTGCATGGACTGACAGCCTCCCCTGGTTGATCTAGGAGGTCATGGTTTTAGTATTTCTGTCTAACCGCAGTCCAGGCTACAGATGTTAATGAGCCGTAGACCATCCAGTGATTTGCATAGTCTTCTCTTTTGCTCTGTGCTGTTAGCTCGTGTTTGTGAGTTAGTTTTTTGCATGTTTACCTTCAGCTTATTTGACTGTTGAAGTAGAGAGTGGGTCGTGTGCCAGGGAACCAAGTCACAGAGTTGATGACATTATCAGGAACCTTTTTCCCATGACCATTTGATAGAAAGTCAACAAGACCATCTATGTGAACACCTCTGAAATATATACTATTATATTATAAAACCTCCTCATTGTGAGCTGAAATCAGTGTGTAAAGCATTTGATTCAACTTCTGATTTCAGTCCTGGAGTCGGTGCTGAATTAAAGTGTTTTCCCCTGATTCATAAATACTTCTGAGCCAAAGGTCCTGGAGCTGTTTCTTATATTTTCCCAGGCTGGATGAGATGGTAAAACCGTCACATTTCAGGGTTTTATTTCCCAGTCTCATATAGGGGGAGTGTGTTTTTTTCTGTGGTTGGTGAAGACCCCTTTGCATGGTGGTTCCCATGACTGTGCTATAAGTAGCAACCTATCAATAAAGGCCGAGTTCCCTCGGTGACGGCCCTCAGAATTCGACAACTAAGTGTTAGTTTTCTGGGGGTGTTTTTGTGAATGAGGACCTAAAGGTTTGACATTTTAGGCATTTGCAAAAATATAAGATTAGATTGATGTGTCAAAGGTTGAACAGCACATTTGTCTTCAAGATACTGTCCTTCTCTGCCATCTCTCCATGGATTTCCACTGTTAGTTAATTCTCTCTCTCCCTCTCTCTCTCTCCTTTCCTTCAGCTCTCTGATTGGGTTGTCCAGCGGCGGGATGGACCAACACACAAGTTCGAGCAAACGCATTCGGAAGCCCTCCCTGCTGTACGAGGACTTCGAGAGCCCGTCTCTGCCGCACACGTTGCCCCAGGGGCCTCCCGCCCCCCCACAGCCCCCAGTGAAGGATCCCAACCGGCTGGGTCGCATGACCAACCAGCTCCAGTATCTGCAGAGGACCCTGTTGAAGTGTCTGTGGAGGCATAACTTTGCCTGGCCTTTCCACGAGCCTGTGGATGCTTATAGGCTTAACCTCCCGGTGAGTAATGAGGCTCTGCACCAATCAGACGTCACCTTTAACTTTGACTCGGCGTTGGTGCAAGTCTTGGCGGCTCCCGGGCTCAAATGTCAAAGTAGAAATGCCGTCCTTTTCAAATTTGTAGTGATTCTTAGTGCCGCAGGTGAAGTTGCTTTCTCACTCCTCCTGTCGACCTTTTCTCTTCCAGGATTATCATAAAATTATCAAGCAGCCGATGGACATGGGCACCATCAAAAAGCGACTCGAGAACAACTTCTACCGCAGTGCCAGTGAGTGCATACAGGATTTTAACACAATGTTCACCAACTGCTACATTTACAACAAGGTAGGTTGACAGAGGAGCAGAAACTGTAGACAGAGATCTGTTTTTTTTAACCTTTTATTGTCCCCTTGTCTCCGTCCTCAATGTTTTCACCCTATTTTTACGATCACATTAAACATTTCAGGGACCCTTTCACAGCAGTGACAGCAGGAGTTGTTGTAGACAAAGTTTTTATTAATCTGAGAGAAAAAGGTCAAGACCAAAGAAGTGTTCTAGCAAAAAAGAAAAGTGTTTGTTTTTTATTTCTCAAGAGGAAATATCCGTCTAACAGAAACTCTGACATGTGCTGACCTGTGGACACTGTACAGCTGCTGCGGTTTAACATTTGAGGCGAGAGCGAAAATGAAAACACATCCAACTGTTGTGGATCAAACTGCTGCTGAAAATAAGGATGATTTATTACAAACTTCCTCCTCGTCGGACTAAAACCTCTTTAAACGACGATCATTCATCATAGCTGAGGGTGTTTAACCCTTCGTTGACTCTTCAGACCTCATAACTCACACATTAGTTGTTGAACATTTCACGCTGAGTTTTGAACGCTGGTAGGGATGTGAACGTTAATTAAGTGTAGAGGTGTGTTCGTGTGTTTTATATACTGAACTGTTTTTGGTACGGCTCTTTTGATCATCTGTGTGCTGTAAACTCAGACTGATCGTGTGTGTGTGTGTGTGTGTGTGTGTGTGTGTGTGTGTGTGTGTGTGTGTGTGTGTGTGTGTGTGTGTGTGTCCGTCCTTGTGAGGAGCGTGTGACTGTTTGGTACAAATTGTGTATTATTTAACCCTCATGTGGAGAGCAGCCCTCTGAAGTTAGCCCACCCAGTGGAAAATCTGCCCACATTTGGTGCTTGGCAGTGATAATTTTAGACCCTACATTGTTCTGTGTGTTTTTTTTTTCTCTCTTTCACTTTCATTTTTTTGTTTTCATGAGTTAGAAAAGAAATCTGAGCAGACCCTCCAGTCCGACCTGTTAGTGCTGTACTTTAAAAGATATGATATGTCACAGTCATGTGTGTTTTTTTACATAAAATACTGTAAATGTTTATAGAGGTCGCTCCAAACAGAGTTATGGGAAGTTGCCGCCACCCTCCAGACTCTTGATTTGAGCTGAAACCAGCAGCCCTGCTCATAAATCTGAAAACCTCCCGGCTGTTATCAGGCTCTGTCGTCACTGACATGAACACAGACCCCACCTGTAGCATTGTTTGAGGAGAGTTAAGACAGAGGCAAATGAGTTCAGGGTTTTTAGATAAATGCGTTTTTTGGTTTTGGGTGGAAACCTACAAAGTCATGACTTGGAAAACAAGGAGAAAGTCTGATTATAACTGATTATAATCTGTGAGCCGCAGTGTCAGATGAGACTGTGTCTGCCGTTTACATTTTAGTTAAAATAGATCAGAGTAAAAGAAGGTTAGTGTCTTGATAATCAGGCGTAACATTAAACATTTCCACTTTCATCCATTTGTTTCCCTTTTTTGAGTTTTTCTGCTCAAAGTCTCAAAAGTGAAAACATTTTGGTTTTTGCTTTTTACTGTTTCGTGTTTCAAGTGTTGATGTTCTGCCAGTTATTACAGTAAATACTAATGAAATATAAGTGATTTCTGGAGCATGTTTTGCCTTTTACTTTGTTACACTGTCGATGATTTGGTTTCCCTGGTAGCCGACAGACGACATCGTGCTGATGGCCCAGTCCTTAGAGAAGATCTTTCTCCAGAAAGTGGCTCAGATGCCCCAGGATGAAATCGAGCTGCCTCCCCCGACTCCAAGAAACAAGAACAGCAGAGGACGGGGTCGCAAAACCTGTGAGTTTCTGACTGACTGTTTTATCAGCAGCACTGATGTCAGACGCTACTTTGACTGTCTGTCATCTCTGCTGTTGCTCATGTTGATATTAATGTTTCAGCGTCGAGGGCTCAGCAGGTGCCAGCAGTGTCCCAGTCGGCCTACTCCCCTTCTTCCTCGGACACCGGAGACTCGATGCTCGCAAACTCTCCTCAGACCGTGCTGACCAAAAGTCTGCCTCCGGCGAACATCATGGGCCTTCCTCCGACACAGCCGACAACAAAGGTAAACCCTGAAAGATCGAGAACTCAGGACGATGTTTAATCTGTGAGGACGTATCTGAAGTGATATTCTCTACTCTAAGCAGCGTAAGATAAGACCTACACTCTGTTTACTCACAGAAAAAAGGAGTGAAGCGTAAAGCGGACACCACCACCCCCTCCAACATGGGCCTGTCTGTGGGTATGGCAGGAGGGACGCACATGGTGGGCTTGGGGAAAGGAGGCCACGGGGGCCAAGTCCACGACACTTCCATGCACTCCATCTCCTCCATGGGGGGCATGAGCTTAGACACCCCACCTGGCATGGGCCTGGTCAGAAGCCCCGGGGGTCCTGTCCTGCTCCAGCCTATGATGGCAGGAACCGGGCGCAGAGTGGGAAGCGGGCGCCCCATCAAACCCCCCAAGAAGGACTTACCAGATTCTGTACAGCCTCTGCCCTCGAGGAAGGGCAAACTGAGCCCTCAGCTGAGGTACTGCAGCGTGCTGCTCAAAGAAATGCTGTCGAAGAAACACGCGGCGTACGCTTGGCCTTTTTACACGCCTGTGGACGCCGCCGCTCTGGGACTGCACGACTATCACGACATCATCAAGTGTCCCATGGACCTCAGCACCATCAAGGTGACTCTTTAAAGACGACTGAAACAGGCCCCTCTGTGTTTGTGATGATAAGTATTGTTATGATCAAATCAGGGTCTGTTTGTCAGCTCCGAGTCAAATATTCTGGTTTAACCTTGTAGTTTGTTTTTCTTCTCGCAGAGGAAGATGGACTGTCGTGAATACAGGGACGCACAGCAGTTTGCGAGTGATGTCAGGCTAATGTTCTCAAACTGCTACAAGTACAACCCGCCTGATCACGATGTTGTTGGCATGGCACGCAAGCTGCAGGTGAGCACAGCTGTTCAGTCCTCGTCCAATCAGCAGATGAGGATTTTTTTAACTCCTTAATTTTGTCTCTTTTTGTGTCGCAGGATGTGTTTGAGTTCCGCTTCGCTAAGATGCCGGATGAGCCGCTTTTGGATCACACCAGCATGTCTATGAGCGTCCATCCAACATCCTCCTCATCCTCGTCTTCGTCCTCCTCGTCCTCCTCTTCCTCCACATCAGAAAGCGAGCCCAGCAGTGAGAGCGATGAGAGCGAGAGCAGTCCAAACTCAGACAGCGAGGAAGAGCGAGCGCATCGTTTGGCCGAGTTACAGGACCAGGTGTGTACTCAGGTAAGACGGCCAGAACTGCTCATTTAAACAGATTCACTCCAGAGGAAAAAAAACAGGTTTTTGCAACAAGATCTCATTGATTTCTTTTCGCACAGCTCAGGGCCGTGCATGAGCAGCTGGCCGCCCTCTCCCAAGGCCCCATCGTCAAGCCCAAGAAGAAGAAAGACAAGAAGGAGAAAAAGGAGAAGAAGAAAAAGAAAAAGCTGGACAAGCGGAGCCGAACGGGCAGGAGCAGAGCCGGCTCTGAGGAGTGGAAGATGCCCGGCAAGATCCTGAAAACAAAGTCGGCCAGCAAGTCCCAGCCCAAGAAAAACCAGGGAAAGAAGAGCAACAAGAACAGCAAGTGAGCGAAATGATTATGTGGATATTTTCTCTTTCTTTATTTCTTTATTTAATCGTGTGTACAATATCAGGCAGCTGAGAACAAGAAGTGTACGCTCTGATTTATATGTTCTTGTTTCTACAGAAACACAAAGAAGCCGTTCTATCCTCCTCTGCCCACCTCCATGCTGCCACACTACGACTCGGAGGAGGAGGAGGAAATCGTGCCCATGTCGTACGACGAGAAACGCCAGCTGAGCCTCGACATTAACAAGCTCCCGGGGGAGAAGCTTGGCCGCGTGGTGCACATCATTCAGTCCAGAGAGCCGTCACTGAGGGACACCAACCCCGAAGAGATCGAGATCGACTTTGAAACACTGAAGCCGTCAACACTGAAAGAGCTGGAGCGCTACGTCATGACCTGCCTGAGGAAGAAACCCCGCAAGCCGTTCACTGATCAAGGTAAACAAACGCAGACCTGTCGAGTCTGGACTAATGATGTGTTTTCATGAACATCTGTGTGTGTGTGTGTGTGTGTGTGTGTGTGTGTGTGTGTGTGTGTGTGTGTGTGTGTGTGTGTGTGTGTGTGTGTGTGTGTGTGTGTGTGTGTGTGTGTGTGTGTGTGTGCTGTTAGCATGACTGACTTTTACAGGAGAAGTTAATCAATATCATGCAGCCGTCTTTACGAAGGTCGGCACTTCGACATGTTAAAGTTATTCTGATGTGATTGATGATGAAACTGCAGCTTTGAGCAGCTCTGTGAGGATTTGCTCTGAGAGTCTGTGGACTCTTTGGTTCTTTCTGCTGCACAGACATTAACACAGAGCTCAGGCACTTCAGGATCAATGTTTATCTTCTGTATGCATGTCTGTTTGGCGATGGCACATTGATAAACCCTCCAGAGACTCCAACATTTACCATAAAACCTGGATTTGTCTTCCTAACTGTGGTCACTTGCTTCTTACAGCGCCATCTGCTGGGCAATACATGAACAAAATAAAATACTTCTATATATTCTATAAGATGCAGCATAGGTGACAAAAAGGTTTTAAAAATGTGTCTTTTTCACTAGATTTACAGTAAATGTCTCGTATGGAGGGGTTCAGCTAAATCTGGTTTCAGTCAATCACTGAAGCAGCAACAATAAATGTGAAATCTGATCATTAAGGACAAAGTCAAAAACTGCATCAGAACAAAATAAAGAGGAAAACAGAAGAAGACGCTCAGCAACATAAATATGTAACTCAAGCAGCTGTTAGCAAACAAAAGCATCACAAGCAGACGGATTTAGGAAACGTTGATAATGTGAAAACAGATCATCTTCATCTGAAGGACGGGACACTGAGTGAAGGAAACCAAGAACTTCTTTTTTCTGAGATAGTTCCTCATCTTGATGTCAGTTTGGTATTTTTCCACGACTACTTAGTTTAAAGTTATGAACACAGAGTTACACCAAATAAACGAACTTGTAATATATGTCATTTTAGATCGTTAATGCACATGAATTGTATGCTGCTCATGTCTTTTTCAGTTATTTGAGGGAAAGTTTTCCTCCTTATTAATTCCTGCAACATGAACTCTTTAAGGCTAAAACAGTCATGTTAATTCTGCTGGTATATGTAGTATAGAAACAGAGTAAACAGAGTTCTTCTGCTAAGAAAGTTCGCTAAAGCTTGTTTGAACGAGTTAAAGCAGGTGCAGCGTAGAAATGTTTTACAGCATTCCTGCTGAGATGGTGTTATTACCAAAATGTAACAAAGGCATCACGATGTTTGAGGAAAAATTCAGCTCCAATCAGCAGCTTTGACAAGACTGAACATCCAGAGATCCACAACAGTCAGTCAGTTAATGAGGGATGTAATTATAGTGTTTCTGAGCAGAGCAGCTTTTGTCATTCAAAGATGACATTAGGATGGATTCAGAGATCTCAAACACACTCAGGCAGCCGGTAACATCCTGGTTCAGTTACAGTCTGTATGTTTGTCCCAAAGTTTTTGAAACACACCTTTAAATACTGGGACAGACGAGGATATGATCTGATGGTTTGTAACATGTTTTTTGTTGATTCATGTGCAGCAGGAAAGAAAGGCAGCGTAGGAAAGTCAAAAGAGGAGCTGACTCTGGAGAAGAGGAGGGAGCTGGAGAGGAGGTTACAGGACGTGAGCGGGCAACTTAATTCTGTAAAGAAACCGGCAAAACCTAAAGGTGAGCGCTCATGTTTGATTTATCCTTGTGCACATGAATATTTCTGTCTCTCTGTTTCCTCTGAACACCGTCTTCTTGTCCTCCCTTCAGCGGAGAAGCCCAGCGCTACAGAGACTCACACGGCGCCCTCTCGCCTCAGCGGCAGCAGCTCCAGCTCCGACTCCTCCTCGTCGTCCTCTTCCTCCTCGTCCTCTGACACCAGTGACTCAGACTCGGGTTGAAATCGTCACAGTGGCTCAGAGTGAAATTCACTAATAACTCAGGGACTTGGGCTGGCCCAGGACACAACACACCCTGAAACAGTAGTGGGCTGAGGAAGAAATTACCACGGCGAAGAAGTAGAAAAAAAAGAAAAACACTCCAAGAGGACTAGTTAAAAATGTTTGAATGTGGGACTGAGGGATGTGAAACATCGTCTCTGTGGATAATCATCAATCCTAAACACTAAATGCCTTGGTTTCCCCTCTTCTTCCCTTTTGTAAATACTTGTACAAATTTATGTTTCTTTTATAAAGAAGAATTTTATGGTGATCCCCCAAAGAGGGAAGCAAAGTAATAAGAGGATGTGGAAAGACGGGCCTTACTCCAAATCCGTTTTGGCTGGCCTTAACGCTGCGCAGTGAGGGAATGGAAGAGTTTATTTATTTGTTTTCTTCGGCTACATTTCCTCTCGTCTTACTGGAATTTGAACCAGCAACCTTACGCTCACAAGCCTTGCTTTTTTTCCAACATCTGCCGCACTTCATTTTAGATCCACCCCCGGATTAGCCTTAATCACACAGACGGTTTGATTGGCAACTACCTGGAAAAATACAAACACTCTTGTCTCTCTCATGTTCACAGGTGTACCAGCATCTCCTCTGCTAGTTTCAGGTCAGAGTCAGCTTCAGTTCGAGCTCTGGATGATTACTTTTTATGTTTACAATCTCTGATCCCGCTGTAAAATCTCAGTGAGGGTTTTGGGGACACCCTGCAGTCTGTTTCTTTTTAAAGTTCATTCAGTTGTACAGTATAGAAATAAGCTGAAATGTTATGATAAGGTTTGCAGTAATGGATATTCTCCTTCAGTTTTAACAAATCTTAGACACACTTTTCCCCTTAAAGCCCATCAGCCAATTAAAAACAGACTAGTCTGAAAACCTCCTCTAGTCCAGGGCCTGTTTCTGTATCTCTAAAAACCAGTTCTTCCTCTTTAGCTTTAATAATTCTTCCACATTTCTCTGCGTTCGGTAGGTCTGGACTAAAAGAGTTCATCTGGAACACACGGTTGAATGTTATCTGATGACAATAATGGTTTCTGATGACTACAATAATAACACAAGCAGGTCGGATGTTATGTCTGTTCTTTGAGGACATCTGTAGCACAAGCCAGCGAAGGTTTCTGAGAGAAATCTTGAGCTGCTCGGCACTTACTGGAACAAAAAAAAGTGACGTTACAGGGTTCCTGAAGAGAGCGACGGTCTTCACTATGGTTTTATAGTCGAAGCTCTTGTTGAATGTTCAGTGAAAGATTATATGCTTGTATATACTTAAACTATATTTGCTGTTGCACAAACTATTGTATTCCTGCTGTTCGGTCTTTCTGTTCTCTTCAGTTGTCTCGTTCCCCTTTTTTTTCTTTTCTTTTTTTTTTTATTTTGCTTTTAACCCGGTTACTTCTCATTCCAGTTAACAGTCTTAGTTGTTGCCTGAAGAGCGTTCACACGAGCATCGCTGCCTCTGGTCAAGCAGGTTGTTGTCTCTCAGAGGCAAACCTTTTCATTTGACAGGTGTGTTGATTAAAAATACTCTCTTCTGTAGAAACGACCTGAGTTGTGTCTGTTTGTGTGGGACCGGAGTGAGTCGGTGAGTAACGGGTTCAGTCACAGTTTAGCAAAAATATCTTTGTAGTTTATAGATGTTTTTCTTTGGCAGAGGTACAGGACAGTGCAGGCATGTAGGGGATTTTGTCGGCGAGATTTCTCCAACAAAACTTCAGTTTCTCTGTCTTCTGTAAAAGACAGGATTTCAAATCTGAAGACGCCTTTTATTTATAGCATCAAGGTGCGAGTACAGAGGTCCATGTTCCCTTCATCACACCAACATGTTCATGGTTAAGTTTCAGGAGGATTCAGAGTGTCGTGATAATTCTTCTCCCTCTCTGCTGAGATTCTGGTGGAGCCCTGATGGTCAAAAAGGCACAAACTTTTCATGTTAGCTGCAAAAATGATCACATCCAGCACACAAACATTCAATGAAACAAGAAAAAAGACGAGAACTTAGTGTTTCATATTTTTACTTGTTGAAGAATATTTTGTATTGATGTAATTTTATGTATGAGAACAACTTTTAACACGACACGCAAACTGTGCAGACTCTGATTTAACAAAATTTCTGCTCCACGAGGGTTTAGGATGAAATCAATAACATATTTAGTCTTATCTCTTTTAATTTTTTTATCAGTTATTTCCATTAAAAACAGGCCGAGGCGTTCAGAATAACACCAGAGGATACAGATGATCGAAGTGTAGTGATAATACAACATCTAAACATTACAACACGAGTTAATGTACCAACAGTGCTCATAGAGTTACTAAAAGAAACCAGCTTCAACATAATAACCTAAGTATAAAGTGTCAAACTCCAGATAACCAGGCGCTCTGTGCTTATAACTTTCTCCACTAGATGGCAGCAGATACTCAAGTCCAGGTGAGCTCTTCCTCTTCAGGATTGTGAGGCACTGATTGGTTCTTCTTAGGAGGAAGTGTCGGTTTAATGTTCAGGAGTGACAAAATGTCCCAAACCGGGTCAGTTTGATCTTTGGAGGAAGTGAAATCCAGGATGGCAGAGAAGCTGCTCTCAGTACTGCTGGTTATTGGACTTGCAAAGTGTAGTCAAGGTAAAATATTGATTATTGTAAGGAGGTCAAATATTAAAAGTTTGTTCTGTATAATTTAAACTCTGTGCTCACTCAGATTTTTTCTCTAACTCCAGGTAAACATCTCCTCCGCTTCCTGACCTTCTGTCAGGTGAACGTGACGGGCAACGGTCAGAATGACATCGAGTTTGACGGAGATCAGCTCCTCTACACCAACCCCTTCACCCACCAGCCGGTCCAGCGTCTGCCGGAGTTTGCAGAGGAGTGGACCCCTGATCCTGGACTGCCTGATGAGTCATATGTAAACCTGGGTACCTGCTATTACAACCTGCCACGACTCGAAGCGGGCGAACACAGTCCACCTGAGAGAATAGGTATGAAACTTTTAGAGTTAAGTCAAAGGACCAACACAGTGTCAAACACAGTATTAAAACTTGGATCCTATTTTTGTTCATATTTATATTTTTGATTTAAAGCTCCTGTGAGAAACTTTCTGTTTGTTTTGATTCCGGCGCCCCCTGTGAACAAATGGGTACATCATACTTTTGTACCAGTTAAGTCCTAAAATTTTTAAACTGCTGTATTTTAACACTTAAATGTCTGATTCATTGAAAATCTTTGCCATTTATAATGTAAATAAAGGCTCGTTCAGTCACTTCAACAGGTACCTACACTCGACCATGGTTTAAGACATTGGAAATAACTGTGTAGAAGTACGTAAATGGTCTTGTTTGCTTTGTAAGCCATGAGGAGAGATCAATATTGATTTTAGTCTGTTTAATAATCAACCAAAAATTCCTCACTGGAGCTTTAATCAGAGCTTTAAGTCACTCCAAATTGCTTTAAAATCAAAATACTTTAAAGTCAGTATGTTGGCTCCTACTAAGTAAAACAAACTAAATTTAAGGGGTCATGGGTAAATAAATAAGTCAGAAAAAAAGGAGGAGAATAATCACTGATATATGATCATAAATTCAAATCCTGGACCTGTTTTATGTTTGATTTAAAAAATAACACAGACTGGATCAGATTGAACACCGTCTTGTAAGATCAGACCTATTCCCATCCCATCCCATATTCCCACAGGAAGTTATAGTAGTGAGGAAAAACTTCCTTCAACAGGCAGAAACCTCGAGCAGAACCAGACTGATGTTAGACAGTCATCTGCTGAGACTGAACTGGGTTTAGACGGGAGAGAGGGAGATGGAGAAAGAGAGGCGGACAGCAGAGAGACTGAAGCAAACAGCTGAAAGCAGGCAGGTCCATGTCTGCAGCTGCAAACTAGAAGAACCTGTGCCACTCCCTTCTGCTGGTCACCTGTCGTCTTAAAGTTGTGGTCCCACTATTTTATTTGCATCAAGATATCAAAAGCGCATCTTATACTCTGAAATCGAGATACTTTCTACTGATGCCTTTGGTCTGATATGCAGGTTGAGGAGCTGCAGATAAAAGCTTTTAAATCCAAGAAAGTAGAAATAAAACACCAGAAGTCTCGCTGCTGGATTTACTGTTTCAAACTCAGACCAGATGAACACTTCATCTAAAGAGTAAATGAAGCTTCAGTACTAAAGGAGGAACCCTGAGCTCTGTCTTTTAATTTAAAGTTAATGAGAGGAGTGGACTGGTGTAGATTTTTAATAGGAGAACAGGTGTACAGACAATCCCAGTAATTAATCTCTGTGTGTTTAATCAAGCGTCTGTCATCAGAGCAGGTAACAATGTCCCTCATTGTTTGATGTGAAGCTGGAACTTCCCATTGGCAGCTGAAAAAAGAAATGGTTTGTGTATCTTTGAGAGTTACCACATTAATCATCTGGTGTGTGCTCTTCCTGTTTTGATTTATGTCGACCAATTTAGGTCGACTGTAAACCTGGTGACAGACGATAGAGGCCTCAGCGATATCTTTGTTCAGAATCCTTCAGGAAGTCTGTAGGTGGAATTTTCTCATATGTATAACCATCTACTTCCAGCGAGTCCCACCTCCATGATCTACCCAGAACAAGAGGCTGAAGTCGGGGTCCCCAACACCCTCATCTGCTTCGTCAATGACTTCCACCCGCCGACACTCTTAGTCAACTGGACCAGGAACGGGCAGCCGGTGGACCAGAGCGCCGTCAGCCAGACTCAGTACTACTCCAACATGGACTTCAGCTTTCACATGGCGTCCTACCTGGAGTTCACGCCGCAGGTTAACGACATCTACTCCTGCAGCGTGGGACACATCAGCCTGTCGGAGCCTCTCGCTAAGTTCTGGGGTGGGTCAGTCATGATATAGAGATACACCGTCTTTCAGACTGTCTGAGAAAATCTACCTCCAGTGACGCTCGTATATTTCCTGTGTGTTTGTGTGTTTTTGTCTCCCACAGAGGTTAAAGGCCCGGACCAGCAGCTTGTCGAGACAGCAGTGTGTGTCTGCGGTGTGATCCTGGGGCTGATTGGAGTCGTCACAGGACTCTGCTTCATTGTGAAAGCCAACAAGTGCTGTCAGGCCTAACAGGCATCAGGACAAACACCTGAATCTGGATGTCAGACGTGCGATCGTACCTATCTACTCTCCTTTGGTGGTGGGGGCTGAAGGGGTGAGATTCCCTTTTGTCCACATCACAGAGTCAGAGTCAGAGTTTTCACACCTTTTGTGTTGTTTGCCTGTTTTTTTCCATTTCTTCAGCGGGAATACATCTAATTCTGAGAAACAAAGACAACAGATAGTCTGAGGCTCTTGAGGCGGTGGTGATTATAGCCTAGAAACAGTCATCAAATGAAAACAAGAAGAAGCTAGCCTGCTCTGACAGTAAGAAAATCAGCCTGTCAGTATTTTCAGTGAAACTTCTGAAATAGAAATGATGAGATGTTGATTTTTTTGGGCTGGAAATGACAAAAACAAACCTAAGAAACAACATTGTGAATAAACTTTACCTTTAGAGTATATTCTATACTTTCTTTACACTCAATACTCAGTTGAAGCTTTTTTATGAATGACAGCATTAATCTGTTGAGGCATGAAGGCGGGCCTGTGCCTCGCCTTCTTAGCCACAAGATTCTCCTATTGGAGGGTGACCATACATCCTCTTTTACCCAGACATGTCCTCTTTTTTTAAAGACTGTGCGGCTTCGTCCGGGGGAAGTTTATAAAATCCTTCAAATATCTGCGGTTTTGTACGTAAGTTTTGAGTTTGTGTCACGTAAACTTACTGAGTTAGAAGCACGTAAAAGACACTCGATTCGACCTGAAAAACTCTCAAAATTAACATTGTGCTGTGACTCCGCCCCCTGCGTAGCCGCGGCAGAATATGGTCACCCTATCCTAATGGGTTTGGGTCATGCAACCTGACTGGTCAATATCACAGTCAGAGCAGGTGCAGTGTCCCGCTGGAAAAAGCAAACCAGCATTTCAACAAAGCTTCTCTGTAAATAGGAGCTTAAAGCGCTTTTATATTTAATGACTTTGGACTTGATCAAATGTAGTAGACCAACACCAACAGCTGACATGACACCCTTAATCATCACAGACTGTGGAAACTTCACGCTGGACTCCTCGGATTCTGGGACTTTATTCTGATCAACAGTCTAGTCTTAGCCCAGGTGAGTCACTCCTGATGTTGTCTCTGGTTCAGGAGTGGACTGATGGCTCTTGATGCACCAAGCCTCAGCGATATCGCAGATATGTGAAAGGCTGTTCCTTCAGGCTGCTGTCAATCATCTGGTCACGATAGTTTCAGGCGTTAAAATCACTCCAGAGAAATTACCAGCCTGGTATTTGATAGTCTGGTTCATTGAATGGTCTGTTAATTATGATACTGCTGCAAATAAACCTTCAGATAATCCTCCAGTTTCTCTCCTGATATTTTATTTCCATCATCAGAGGAAACATCTCCTCTTACACCTTCTTTTGTCAGATGCTGATTTTTGTCATGTTTTTGTTTTGGTCCAAAAACAGCGGGGATAGTTTGAGGACTTCTTTCCCTGTGAGAGGGGTGAGGGCGCTGGAAACAGGAATTGAAAGCGCCGTGATAAGCAGGGAATAAACCAGTAGAAAGAAGAAGTGAGGAGCAGGCTTTGAAACATTTAACGCTGGCATAAGTTGGCGCCGCTCCAAGCAGCCTCATTTCTCTGCTCGGGTTGTTTTTCTTTCTAATTATTCTGCAGTGATTGATAAGATAGCTGCGGAATTTAAAAAGCACGTGGATGAAGCCTGTGAGGGAAAAAAAACTGAAGATCTCAGAAAAGCTGAAAAACTGGCAGCTTTGATTCACCGTACAGGTTTAAACATAAAGCAGAGAGGAAATAATTCACGTCTCAGACTTGACAGTCAGATTGAAGCAGCAGATGAACTTGAATAATAAAACAAATGTCAAAATGGGCTGAGGAAGTAACCAGACTCACTACAGTTCTGTTCTGTGGATTAATGCCATCTATTGAAATCAAACAAATCTCATATTGTGAAAAAACTGGGAAAACCTGTTCCCCTCCCTTTACGTAACAAATTGCATCACTCATTTGAGGAAGAAGCTGAATGAAATCAAGTTTTTGAGCTGGAGGAGATTTTAGGAACAGGGTGAAGTTTGTTTGCCTCGCTCACAGCGACGATGAGCTCTCTGTCGTAGTTTTCAGTGATTATTGACAGAAGATGTGTCGCTATTTTCTCTACAAACTCACAGCTGCTGCAGCTCTGTTCCTCTGCACTCCACCAGCAGGTACGTTTTTACACGTTCATGTTTTTATTTGAGATGAAGATGAAACTAGATGAGAAACTTTCAACCCTAATCCTGCTGATTGTTGTGTTTTTGTTTCCATGTCTTGTTATCCATGATCATTTAAAAGCAGCATTTCCTTTTTTTGATTTTATTTTTGCTTAAAAATCTTTGTATAAGTTGCTTTTCTGAAACTATGTTGTTGTTCTAGGGCGTGTGCAGCCAATGAAAGCCAAGTGGCAAAACAGGAAAATGAGATTATTACTATTTTCTGATTGTTTTATAGCGGTTAAACTCTCACAAACTTAGTCACAGGGTGAGGCCTCTGCACAAACCTGCAGGACAGACTGGATTCTGTTTGCAGCATGTCTATTGTATGTCTGCTAACTCATGCTAATGACTCTATAATGGTTGTAACTCACCAGAAATGTTTATTTAGAGGATTGTACCCAACATGACAATTGCATTCACATACTGTATATTCATTCACACATGCACAAAACAACTAAAATTAAAAGACTGAGCTGCACGTGTGAACACAAGAAGTCTAAAATTTTCACCTCAAATTTGTGCAGAAATTTTGTAGCGATGTTTGCACCTGAATAAATAAAAATATAAATGAAAAACATATCCTTCTTCAGAAACCCAGATCTCAAATTGTGTGTAATCGTTGTGTTTTTGTTTTCACAGATGGATATGTGCACCAGATGATGTATGACTGTGAGTACGGTGAAGATATCTCAGACATGCTCTTCTTGGTGAAAAACGTTTACAACCAGGAGCTCCTCACTCTCTACGACTCTCGGGTCGGGAAGTACGTCGGCTTCGGAGAATTAGGGATGAAGAACGCGGACCATTATAACTCCCAAGGTTGGAAAATGTGGTTAAGGAGGATCCAAGTGGAGACGGTCTGCAGATACAACGCTCGACTCTTCATGAAGAGCACACTGGACAGAAAAGGTGTGTTTGTTTTGTTTTCATGGAAAGACAGACGATTAAAATCAGGATTTAAGTCATGAGCTTAATTCTGTTCGAAGGAAGCGATTCTTCTCTCTCTCCTTTCTTTAATTAAATGACTCGGAGGAAACTCTTTAGCCTCTGACTCGCTCTCTCTGGACTCTGCTTGAAGGTCATTGAACCAATTTTGTGCTCTAATCATTTCTTCGCTCCAGTGCCTCCGGTTGTCAGAGTCCGTCAGACCGAGCCGGCCGACTACGGGGAGCGCTCCATGCTGGAGTGCAGCGTTTGGGGCTTCTTTCCTCAGGAAGTGTGGGTGACCTGGCTGAGAGACGGGGTGGAGGTCACTACAGACGTGACGTCCACTGATGTCTTGGCCAACGGGGACTGGAGCTTCCAGCTGCACTCGTACCTGGAGTTGATACTGAGGAAAGGGGAGAGGGTGACCTGCAGGGTGGATCACAGCAGTCTGGAGCGGAGCCTGGATGTGGACTGGGGTAAGGACAAGAGACCACAAAGCAGGGTTCAGCTGAGAGTAAAGGTATCACTCTGTCCACAAGGGGGCACCAAAACAGTCACAAACTAGAAGCCCCTCACAGCAGCTTTCATTCAGGTCATCCACAGTGAACTTTTTAACATTTCATTTACTGCAAGGTCATCAGGAGGTCACTATGTCGTGTTTAATCCTCTAGAGGAGCAGCTTCTTGAGCAGTTTTTCTATTTAAAGGCATCAGACTGAGTATAAAATGTTGTTTTCTTTACATCAGGAGCATTTAAAAGTGCATTTTCACAGGGCACCACCTCGCCTTAGCTTCTCATGGAGGTTATAAATTGAAATGTGTCACTCAAAAGCACGACGGTGGTGTTATTTTTCAGCACAGCTGCAGGAGGAGGACACTGCAAGACGGTGTATAAATAGCACGCGGTTAAAAATGAGTGTTGACAATGTCAGATCTTGATTGCAGTGTGATTAATGTGTGTTTCCTGACAGTGAGGATGAATTCAGTCAGCTCCAGCTTCAGGTTTTTAATTATTCTCAGACGTATCTGTGATGGGCTGTGATACAGTTATGATCGCTGTGACCGTGGGATGAGTTTAGATGTGAGGAGAATCTTAAAAACGCAGATTTTTTTAGTTTTTTAGATTTTTTTATCTGATCCGCTGACTGACATGATCCCTGTCTCTTACAGACACTTACCCTCTGGACTCTAAACGCCTGAAGATGACAGCGGGGATCGTCTGCTTCTTCATGGGCTTCACTGTAGCTACAGGTGGAGCGGCTTACTACTGGTGGAAAAAGAAGTGTGTGTCGAATCTTTATAACAGAAACTTTTCTGTTACGTTTCCAAAGATTTCACAGAGGTCATACACTAAAACTGATCAGGATTCATGTTGTCTTCTTCTTCTTCTTCAGGTCTGACTTCAGTCCAGTACGCAGAGAAGATCCAACGTCTGAACAGTTATGAGAGTTTTTAAGATTTTGAGGAAACAAGAACTTTTAAATCTTTTTGTTTTTAAAAGGGTCTTTTTATTATTATAACCTACAGAGAAAACAAGACAGATAAATCTGTTCTGTATCATTATTTTGATGTCTGAAACTGCAGGTGGAGGGTAAGTCAGAACAAAAACCCAGCCTTTCTGTCTCTGTTTTTTTATAATTGTACATTTCCTATGGTAAATATTTCCCATGAGTCACACGACTGTGAATGCGTCATGAACTCAGTGGCACCATATGGAGGACATGACCTCGCTGGTTGCCAAGTTCCCTGGTCTTTAAGATATGTTCAGTCATGTGAATATTTAAATATATCCAGTCCGTCAGTTTTTTTCTTACCTGTACATGTAAATATAGAGAATAATGATATTAAAACAGTGTCAAAGTTTTTAATGTGGATCAGGATGTGAAGCTCGGTGTCTACAAACTTTTTTAGTGACATCCTTTTCTTCCCTTTAGATGGACTTTTATTAAGTAAATATCAGTATTTTTTATTTTATTATAGAAATCAAGTGTAATGGTTTACAGGTGAGACGAAATAAATCTATATAATAAATATAAAAATATAAATATATTTTTTATGAGTTCTGTTTATCATTCTTGGACGGTCCTTCAAAACAATCAATTCCAAGACAATAAAACTGAAATGCCTCTCTACTGCTGGACCATAACCTGCGAACTAAACTGTTAAAGTCAGACCTGTGGATTTAAGTTCAGAGCAGATTCGCTGCATGTTGTGAGCAAATATTCGAAAGCACAGTACAAACCGTGTGTCAACATCTGTGAGAAAAACCTGTCCTTTCTCCAGCTGTTCATTCCCACAGCTCTGTGGGACTCTGTCAATCATCTATCCTGATATGAAAAGCCTGTTTTTGAATTATCCGTGGAGCTATAAGAGCCTGAAGTCTGGAGCTCCAGCACTTGTTAGTCACTGCTGTCAATATGACAAGTCTGCCCACCGTGCTGATCCTGCTGGCCGTGCTGTCCGGCGGTCTCTGTGAGGGGAGGACGTTTCAGCAGCGAGCTGGGACAGCCTTCAACACCAGATCGTACAGGTCTATTCTCAACGTGACCAACGGAGAGCAGTTTGGAGACTGGACCTGGGTCGAGATGTGTCCAGATAAGTTCTACGCCGTGGGCTTCAGTCTCAGGGTAAATACACACACATTAAAAAAATCACTGTTTTTATTCACTCATAAAAAGAAGGAGATACACCAGAGACTGACATAAAACAGAACAATGGGAAGAAATATTTGTATAACGTCAGGGTCATGTGACCAAATTTGGGCCAGTGTTTTTATAAAATTATCCCTTTAATGCCTAAAACCACAAAATATGGCAAGAAAATTCATATTTATTTGGAGCTGAAATGTTAATTTCACTGTTACTGAAAACCAAAAAAAATTTAAATGTCCTTAAAATTTCACAAATATTCTTATTTATCTTGTTTGATCCATCAGATATTTTTAGAAACTGATAAACCACAAGGGGACATTTTTTTATAATTTATAAGAAGGTGTTTTTTTAGTGATTTGTTGATCATATTGATTTGATAAAAGTATCATAAAAGTATGTATCAAATATCATACAAAAGGCATTATAGGGCTACTAAATCAAAAAGAAAACAAAAATAAATTTTCATTTTGATGCTTTTTAGACACATTAAAAAAAACACATTTGTCATTCTCACCTCACTATCGGTTATTTTTATCCAGGTGATTTTTCTCTCGACACATTCAGCTCAGTAGTTGTGGTGATGACACAGAGCTGTGTTCACATTAGGAAAATCAACTAAAAAACTGGTAAATCGACAAAGATGGGATCGTTTGACTCTTAAAAGGCAACTTAAAACAGAAAAACAAAATTCAGTGGGATATTTAAAGTTAAAGAGACATGTATTAGCCTAACTTTTGTTTACTATGACAGCATCCAGATACTCTTTCAGACAGTGTTCAAATTAAAGCCATAAACTCCTTTATTATGTCGCTAAAGTCAGTGTTGGCAATCTAAAGTTGTGTTAGCTTGTCAGCTGTAATGATGAGAATTCACTAAACTGTTCTGTAAAAAACTCCAATAATGCTGTCATGTTATGTTGGCTCGTTGATTACAGAACCCTTTCTAATCTATCAAACACAGCCCGTCTTTACTTTAGCTCTTGTATTTTCCATTATCGATCAGTTCAGTGTTTGTATGTTTCACTCCATCACAATTTTTTTTCTCATTTATTTCTTTTCTTCTGGCTGAAAGTTTCCAAACATGAAATCTCTCCACATTAATTGCACATTCCCATTTTTTTGTCTGCTGAATGTCTTATTTTGATTTGTGCGGCTTTAATTTCCCTGTTCATGCATAAACTCACCTTGGCGAACCTTCAGCATGAAAACATGATTGTGGTCGAGACTAACAGACTCTGCTCTTTGCAAAATGCATCCCTCTGTTCGACTTCAGGAGTCCAGGTCCTAGAAAAAAAGAAAGGTTCACTTCTCGGTGTAAAACCTTGTGGGTTCAAAATGTCATCTTGCATTGTAACATGTGGTGATAGCAAGAACAAAAACTCTTCAACCAGAGCTTTGGGAACTGATGTGTGTTTACTCAGGTGGAGTCCAACCAGTACGGGTCTGATGACACCGCCCTGAATGGGATCCGCCTGGTTTGTGCGAAGGACGAGGACAGGAGCTTCCTCTACACCATCGAGTCTCACACCGGCTAGTAAGTTCACAACATCCGTATGTCTCCACCAAGTATCCTTCACATACAGTAAATACCATTAAAAGTGAGTCCCCTTCCATCTGGCCCACCATCCTGCCCCACCATGTTTCTACAGAAGCACAGAATGGACAAACTTGAATCGTATGTATTTTTCTATTCAGTTAAAGGGATATTCCAGCTCAAGGAAGAATATTTATGATCAATTCTTTATTATTTCCTTGAAGTAATAATCATCCTATTAATCATTTTTCACTGCAGACGCAGTAGTTCTTCTGCCTTAACGTCTCAGTCTGATTGTATTTCCATGAAGAAATGATCATAAATGTTCTTCCTTGAGCTGCGTCACCCCGCTGTGGTCTGTAATGGACTGGCCTGAGGTCTCACTACAAACAAGCGGCTGCTGGAAGAGAGTAGGTGAGTTGTGTTTAGTCTCTTTGCTAAAGAAATGAGTCATAGTTAAAAAGATGTTTGGTGTCTAGTACTATGGCTGTGACCCTATATGTCCTGTTGATGAAGTTAGGTGCCGTTCTGAGCATTATTTGTAGCGTTTTAGTTGAGGTTTGTTTATGGCTCCTCAGACCGCTCTGTATTACTATCGTGTGGTCGTTACTAAAGTTGGTATAACTAGAGAAGCAAGCGGTCGGCAACATTCATCTCTGGAGGGGGTGTCTAACTCGGTGTTACGGTGTGTTTGACCCTAAATTAATTTTACGCCGGAATATCCCTTTAAAAGCCGTGCAAAATGCACCAATGAGGACCAACAAAACTTGACCTTCTTGTCGATGAAGATCCTTCTACTTTACCAACAGGAGGGACGAGCGAGGGGGCACTTTAATCTAGATTCTGACTGCTAGATGTCGCACTAAACCAAACTGTTATCCTCATGACGATCAAATTAATTAGTCAAAGGGAGTTTTCATGACCTCGTACCCCTGACTTGTGATCTCTGATGCTGTTTTGTTTTATTTTGGATCCATCATTAGTTACAACAAAATATGCAGTAACTACTCTTCCTGAGGCCCTTATCTTCTTTTCCATTTCCATTTTGAACTTAGACATGTACTTACAGACATTACACTTACATAACACTCATTCTACACTTCAGTCATACAGTAGCTCTAATTCTCTCTTGTTTGTTGAAAAATAAACCTTTACATAAATAATATGAAGAAAGAAAAGTGAAAAGACAGAAAAGAAAAACAGAACTTATTTTAGGGATAACAAGAAGACTCAATCCATCAGAGAGAAGAGCTGAACTCAAACAAATACACCTTTAATTGTTTGTTAAAGCAACTTCTGTTAATGTCTGAAGTTTGAAAGTCTTATCAATTATTAATAACATGCCCCCCCCACCTGTTACTGTGGTACACCATTAATGAAGATCCTCTCGATAAGCTTCCACAGATGGAGACTGTTTGATATCAGGCAGATGTAAACTGTTTTCACTGCTACTGAGAAGTGTTCGATAAAATCTCCTGACACAATCACATGAGAGTAATTTCCTCCACAAAAGCAGCTTTAAAGCTCGGTTTGATATCGATGTGAGCAAAATTTCCCCGTCAATACCATAATTTTATTTCAGGGAGGAACTCGTGTCTGCTGGACAGTAATGGACATGTCAATACAAACACTTCGTCTGCCGTCTCTGAGCCTCTTCTCTGACGTCTGTATTGATGACTTGAAACATGCAGCTGTTTGTGTGTGTGGCCTGATCTCTCTGATGAAAGCGATATCAATGAAGGTTAAATGACAGTAAGTTAAATAAGCAGCACATTCGGAGCAGCAGGAGGCTTCAGGACGACTTCGTTTCCCATCATGCTCTGGGGGGAATTGAAAGCATCACTTGTGCCAGGATTGCAAATGAGATGTTCAGATGTAAAAATGTCCTGATAGCCCTCCAGTGTTTCCAGCCCCCATCTTGGATCTTCTCCTAATTCCCCCCTTCTCTCTCATTGATTTCCCGCTCCTCTTTCCAGCTTCGGTGACTGGTCCAGTACCCAGTACTGCCCCACAGGCGTGCTCACCTCTTTCCAGCTCCGCATTGAGTCTCATCGTGGCCTGTTCGGGGACGACACGGCCGCCAACAACATCAAGTTCCGCTGCAGCAGCAACCCGGTGCTGGAGGGAGCCGGCATGTACTGGGGGGAGTACGGAGACTGGAGCCAGACCTGCAGCGATGGAGGAATCTGTGGTATCGAGACCAAGATGGAGGAATACCAGTTGGGCCTGGATGACTCGACCCTTAATGATGTGCGCTTCCACTGCTGTGACAGGTCCCAGCAGGTGAGAGGACGGGTTCATTGACATCCAAAATATTTATTTTGTTTATTCTAGCAAATGAAAATGGTTTATTAGCAGACTACACTGAAATCTCCTAAAAAATTTCAATATTACTGCAAGAAAATTCAACTTTTTTGTCCAAGAAATGTGAAATTTAAAGCTGAGGTTTTCTTGATTTAGCAACAAAAAATTATAGAAAAAGTATTTGGAGTCTTAATTTGGGCAAAATAAAGATAAAATAATGAAATATTGGAGCAAGAGACTGTATAGATCAAGCCTCAATACTGTATTCTTCCTCAAGGCCAGCAGAGGGCAACTGCTCAGGTTAGTATTTTCACTCATATTTGCTCAAACGAGTTTAAGGTCAACTTCAGTTCAACATGATGTTCAGTTGTCAGGCTTTACTCTGTGCCTGCCTGTTGGCAGCCATGACGCAGTAATAGGACTTCATTAAGTAACTATAAGATTTCAGAATCAAGTTCAGTCACGACCACTTTTGTCAACAGAATTGATTAATTGCATGTTAATTTGGCAGTATGGCTCTTTTCTGATAGCTCCCTACTCTTCCTCATGCTGATGTTGGATGAAAAAGCCTGCAGCAGGGAGAGAATCAGCAAAGACCCATCCTGAGCTAACTCTGTTTGCTTGAGTTATGTTACAAGAATAAAGTTAGAGAAAAATAAAGTCATAACATTACGTGATAAATGAGTGATGATATGACCATGGTCTCACCCCTCAGTCATATCCGGTCCATGCCAATAATTAAATTGTGGAGGATAAGAGAGGGTTTTTTTTTTTTTTTTCCTGCTATTGTAGAAAATTCCCTCTAAAATACTCTACAGAGAAATCTTCCCTGTGCATGCTGCCAAAAACTGAAATATCCTGAGTTTCTGTGGTCCCTGACTGAACTCAATGAGCCCTGAAGAAACTCAGGCACATAAATCAATGTATAAATATAACCAACAAGATACGTGATTAAGCGTAACCATGGGCAGCCTTTTGTTTTCAGAAATGTTCAGATTGGTCTTTATAAGATAAGTTATAATCAGGAGTGAAAACTTCAGCGTATGATCTTCATTGTTCATTGATTTCCCCCCAAAAAACAGTGAAATATTAACTAAATGTTTTAAGATTGAACAGGCCGACTCGCTTCGTGAAATTCAAATCCAGCCTTGAACCTGAACGCTCGGCCTGCGTGTTTCTGACAGAAAATCATTTCTGAGGTGAAAAACATCAGAGAGAAGAGAGACGAGTTACAGAACTTTCCTCCATATTTCAAACCCGAGTGTCTTACTGCTCTGTCTGAACTGAAATGAAGCGAATCCAAAATGCAACAATATGAGGACTTGAAGAGAATAATCTCAGAGGTTTATTAATAATTTCTCAGCTTTTTGAAGCACAGTGAGCGCTCATGAACACAGAATTCAAATGTCTTTTCCTTCACTTTTTAAAGATATATTTCCTCTTTCTCAATTTGACATAAAAATACCCAAATCTCGTCTGTGGTGTGCATTTTTAAAGAGATTTTTTAATAGAGATTCACAAAAGATACATAACAACGATAATCACCAGAAACATTGGAAAAACTGATCCTAAAGGGGTTTGTACGGTGGCCCTGAAGGTCAACTAGAAAGACATTTCACTGAATGTAAAATCACTGCATCAAAGTCATAAATATTTAATAAACACAAAAATATTTTACACACACAAAACAATGCAGACTCAAAAAAATTGCACATACTCAAATTTATTTTGAAAAACACAAAATTTTTCAAACAGTTTTTTTTGTTTTGCAAAATATTTTTCTGTTTCCTCCTATATTTTAAGCTTTTGTAAAACTATTTATTTTACATCATTTTTGCATTTCACAGAATATTTTCTTGTCTTCTGTGTTAGATAGTTGCAGGATTGTTTTTTTATCACATGCCAGTTATTTGTATCTTGCAGTTTTGCTTTTAAAAATTTGAGGTTTATGAAATATTTTTTATTCCATGACACATTCTTGGGCTCAAAACGTTTTGTTTGCATTAAATTTTTTGGGTCTTGAAAAATGTAAATGTGTTACTTGAAACTTTTTCATCATATAAAAAGTTTTTTATATCTCTTGAGATGATTTTATGTTTCATAAACAAGTTTTATTTTTGCATTTCATGAAGATTTTTTGGTGTTTCATGAATTTTTGAGGATTTTATGAAAAGTTTTACATTCTGTGAATATTTTTTGTGCTTGCTTTTCATAGAATATGTTGTGTAATTTGAAATATTTTAGATTTTATGAAATGTTTTCATAGTTTGTGAATTTTTTATTGTTTGATGAAATATTTGTGGATTTGACTTTTTGGGCTACTGTAGATTTATCCATTTAGGTGAAGCATTAAGGATAGGCTGTTACAGGCTCCTCGAAATCCATGTAATAATTAGTCTTTAGAGATTTAAAGTTTGTGTTTTTTAACATTTAAGGGTATTAAAAGTTCAGCAGAAGCCTTAATTAGATGTAATATCTATTCAAATACAATCTTTATCTGCTGTGTACTCACTTGTGTTTATTTTTATTCACAGTGATCGGCAGATGAACACCAAGCAGACCTCACCACTTTGATCCAGTCCGTCTTCATCACCCTGAAGTCAACAATGACTAATAATGTCAACAAATAAAATAATACAAAGCTCATTTGAACAGCTGCCTCCTCTGTCAAGGTTTCCCAGAACCTGAAAGTCTCGAAGTGTTTGATGTCTGTTTCTTTATCCTCTAAAAAAAATAAATCAGCTCAGATCAGAACTTGGAGCGGTTCACACTGGGGGTTATTTTTGAGAAAACACGCAGCTCTCCTCCGACAAACTGAAGTGTCACCTTCAGCTCGAGCAAACAGAAAGATTAAGGAGCATCTCTCCACATCAACCCCCTCGTCTGAAGAGCCACTTTTAACATCATGTCATCCCATCATCCCCTCATCAACGTGAGCGCAGCATGTTTTCACACTCTGTCTAATGAACCAATGAGCTTCCAGCAAAGTCATAATAAGCGTGAGCACCAAACAGAGCAGCTGACACAGGCATTTCCCAGAATTCCTGCTGGAGCTGAAGTAATTAAGAAATGACAAGAGAGGGGATATTAATTAATTTACAGTTTAAGGCCTGACAGAGGTTGATAAGACACCGATTGGCACACACAGAGGTAATTGTGTTAATTAATCGGTGAGTAGTTAATCTGCAGAGTGTGTGTGGAGGGAACTGGAGGACGTTATCAAACAAGGCTGTAATGGTTTTCAGAAGATTTTGCAAGTCAAGGCGAAGTGATTATGGTCCTGAACAAACAGCTGCAGAGTACCTCTCTGTTCAGCTGAATGAAAACACCGGTGCTGACCTCATATCTGAGCGCAAAGTGTTCCTACCAAGTCAGACGCAGCAGTGCACATGTCAGTCTGCTTGGGATTACAGACACGATAGTATATGCAGGTGACAGAGGGGTTATTCATGTGAGAAGTGAGCTCATCTATAGTTAATAATGTGATGTATAAATGTACTATCCATATGTTTATGTCTGCAAAACAGTATTTCAAAGTCTACTAAAATATGTCAGCTTGTTGGGGAAAAGGTAAGCAACATAAAAACTGGGGATGTTTTGGTTAAAGCTCCTGTCAGGAAATTTTGGTGCCTCCTGTGAATAAAAATTCTTTGCTTGTCTTTGTCCTCTACATCCTCTACAGCGTCCTCTGACAAAAAAATGTCCTCATTCTGACTTACAGCAGTCAAATTTGTGATCTGTTATGAATATTTTATGCAGTAAATGTAAAACGGCATTAAAGAAATCACAATATAAAAATGGTCAGTCTCGTTGTTGATGGTCTTGTCTGCTTTTGTAGACCATCAAAGGACACCAATAAACATTTCAGACTTTAATGAATGTCAAATAACTTCTCACAGGAGCTTTAAAGTCAGATATTATCATCAATAAGGAAGTTAAAGACTAGTTGAAGTGATCCGGAACTAAGTGGTCCTGTGCATTTTCATTAAACTTATTTCCAAAACTCACAGGTATATTTCTCAGAGGGTTCCTGGCCAAGATGGTCCAGTGCAGGTGCTCTCCTCGGATTGGTGAATCATAGAGGCTGCACACTAACCTGCTTCTCCAACTGGCAGCACATGTGAAATGGATGACTCTGACTTTAATGACACGTCACGCTTCCCAAACATCGACATATACAGATTAGTCATTTAAGGAGAGGGGGTTGGCTATGGCTGTAACACCTCTGCACAGCCAAATGTGGTTCTTAGTAAAGCTCTAAAAATATGTTTAGTACTGGTGCTGCATTTGGTGTACACAATTTGTACCAGCAATTCCGTGTGCACCACATGAGATAACAAAAAATAAGATTTTGTGAGCAGGGTTTGTTGAGCTTTCCTTAAATCATAGTCAAGGTCTGAATCTTTCTAAATGTGGCAGAAATGTCAGGCAGAGTTTAAAGGGAGTTTAATAAAAATGGTGCTTAAGGCTGCCAAAATGTTTCTATTTGATTGACTGGTTCTGTCACAGTCTTGTGTGAAAAAATGTCTGGTATGAAAAAAGTATAGTAAAGTATTATGAAATGTCATGTATAGTATGTTAAATATGTCATAGGATAGTATGACATAAAATATATTATAGTATGTTAAAAATCATGGTTAAAATAATAAAAAACTATCATAGTATAGTATATAGTAAGCAGAAAAAAAGGTTCATATTTTAGTACACAAAATGTCAAAGTATAGTATGTTTAAAAAATGTCAAAGTATGGTATGATATAAATGCCATGCTATAGTATGCTAAAAATGTCATAGTATAGTATGATAGAAATGTCATAGTTGAGCATGATAAAAACGTCAAAGTAAAGTTTGTTTAAAAATGTTTTAATATACTTTGATAAAAGTATATATAGTATAATAGTATACAATGTAAAAAATGTCATAGTATAGTATGTTGAAATTTTAAATTTAAGTGTGTAAAAAAGGTTCATATTCTAGTATAAAAAATGCCATAGTTAAGTATGTATACAAATTTTAAAGTATCGTATGATAAAAAAATTCATATTTTTGGATGAAAAAAGTTCATAGTATAGTATTGTAAAAAATGTCGTATAGTATGAGAAAAAAAATCTGATTTTTGGATGAAAAAAATGTCATAGTATAGTATGGTAAAAAATGTCATAGTATAGAATGATTAAAAAAAATCATATTTTCGTATGGTATGATATAAATGCCTGCCTATAAATGGTATAAATACTACACTGATAAAAAAAAACAAGTGTAGTATGTAAAAAATGTCATAGTATAGTATGACAAAATTTTTTTATTTTTGTGTAAAATATGTCAGTATAGTATGATAAAAAAATTACATTTTGAGTATGAAAAAATTTTTTAAGTATCGTATGATAAAAAAATTCATATTTTTGGATGAACAAAGTTCATAGTATAGTATGGTAAAAAATGTCATCGTATAGTATGATAAAAAAATCAGATTTTTGGATGAAAAAAAAAATGTCATAGTATAGTATGGTAAAAAATGTCATAGTATAGTATGATAAAAAAATCAGATTTTTGGATGAAAAAAATGTCATAGTATAGTATGGTAAAAAATGTCATAGTATAGTATGATAAAAAAAAAATCATATTTTCGTATGGTATGATAATAATGCCTGCCTATAAATGATATAAATACTACACTGATAAAAAATTATCAGTGTAGTATGTTAAAAATGTCATAGTATAGTATGACAAAAAAATTATATTTTTGTATAAAATATGTCATAGTATAGTATGGTAAAAAATGTCATAGTTGAGCATGATAAAAAACTTAAAATAAAGTTTGTTTAAAAATGTCTTAATATACTTTGATAAAAGTATCATAGTATACTATGTAAAAAATGTCATAGTATAGTATGTTAAAATTTTAAATTTAAGTGTGTAAAAAAAGTTCATATTCTAGTATAAAAAATGTCATAGTTAAGTATGTATACAAATTTTAAAGTATCGTATGATAAAAAAATTCATATTTTTGGATGAAAAAAGTTCATAGTATAGTATGGTAAAAAATGTCATAGTATAGTATGATAAAAAAATCAGATTTTTGGATGAAAAAAATGTCATAGTATAGTATGGTAAAAAATGTCATAGTATAGTATGATAAAAAAAAAATCATATTTTCGTATGGTATGATATAAATGCCTGCCTATAAATGATATAAATACTACACAGATAAAAAAATAATAGTGTAGTATGTTAAAAATGTCATAGTATAGTATGACAAAAAAATTATATTTTTGTATAAAATATGTCATAGTATAGTATGATAAAAAAAATTAAATTTTGAGTATGAAAATTTTTTTAAAGTATCGTATGATAAAAAATTCATATTTTTGGATGGAAAAAAGTTCATAGTATAGTAGGGTAAAAAATGTCATAGTATAGTATGATAAAAAAATCCGATTTTTGGATGAAAGAAATGTCATAGTATAGTATGATAAAAAAAAATCATATTTTCGTATGGTATGATATAAATGCCTGCCTATAAATGATATAAATACTACACTGATAAAAAAATATCAGTGTAGTATGTTAAAATGTTATTGTATAGTATGAAAAAAAATTATATTTTTGTATAAAATATGTCATAGTATAGTATGATAAAAAAATTACATTTTGAGTATGCTAAAAATGTCATAGTATAGTATGGTAAAAAATGTCATAGTTGAGTATGATAAAAACGTCAAAGTAAAGTTTGTTTAAAAATGTCTTAATATACTTTGATAAAAGTATCATAGTATACTATGTAAAAAATGTGATAGTATAGTATGTTAAAATTTTAAATTTAAGTGTGTAAAAAAAGTTCATATTCTAGTATAAAAAATGTCATAGTATAGTATGTATACAAATTTTAAAGTTTCGTATGATAAAAAAATTTATATTTTTGGATGAAAAAAGTTCATAGTATAGTATGGTAAAAAATGTCATAGTATAGTATGATAAAAAAATCAGATTTTTGGATGAAAGAAATGTCATAGTATAGTATGGTAAAAAATGTCATAGTATAGTATGATAAAAAAAAAAATCATATTTTCGTATGGTATGATATAAATGCCTGCCTATAAATGATATAAATACTACACAGATAAAAAATTATCAGTGTAGTATGTTATAAATGCCATGCTGTAGTATGTCAAAAATGCCATAGTATAGTATGATAGAAATGTCATAGTATAGTATGAAAAAACTGTCATAGTATTGTATGATAAAAATGTTATTGTATTGTATGATAAAAATGTCACAGCATATCAGTTAATTATATATTATAGAACGTATAGAATTTCTTTTCCTTTTTACTGTTTTTTTTTTTATAGTTATCTGTCTTTTATACCGTATAATCCTCACGATTCCTGCATTTACCCTGTAACATCAACCTCACCCTTAATGCTGTCACTGCACCCTGTCCCATTATCATGATCATTTTTTACAGAACCTGGACCTCATTATTCAGAAATGCTCAGATGCTGTTAGCTGCACTACATCTGGGTTCTCGAGAGGAACCTCAAAGATGCAACGCCCCGGGTCACAAGTTTAATATCCAAACTCCAGCTCCATGTGTTACTGAACGGCTCAGTCCCCAGACTGCTTAAGAGCCATTACCCCCTCCTGGAGTGAACACAATGGATATGGTGTTTGTGGTTTTGGTTGAAGGCAAAGCCCCCCTCTTAATGACCTTACGGTCCCCTGAGCTCCCGGCTCATGATAGATCACACCCGCACTGTTGACTCAACTGTAAATATACTTCTGTTCATAAACATTGTAGGGTTATTACCCTGGTTTCTGGGCTTGGTTCTCATGTGAAATATGGAAGCATAGAGGGACAGTTTTGGGGCTGAATTGCCTTGTTTTGATGTAAGGTCGAAATAAATGGTGTTGTTGTGGTGTTAGTGTGCCATAAAGTTGATCTATCCTGAGGTTTTCACTGTAATGAAGGTAATAACCAGATGGAGCAGACTTTAAGAGAAAAAACAAGTTCTCTCTTCAGTGAGGAAAAAAGGGATTTGGATCAAGGCGTCTCATTTCCCAGCTGCATGCAGCTCCATGCTGCATTTCTGCTGAGTTCAGCGGGCTGACGTTGTCATTTCTTTCTACTGTCCTGACGCAGTCTGTCTCTTTCATTTCAATCTTCTACTTTCTTGGATCTTGTCCTATTAAAAACAAGATTCATTTATCTGTTCGTAACTTATTTGGTGGACCACCTTAGAAACAACTTTGTCATTACAATGGAAAGAGGCAGTACATCCCTGATTTCGAGTTAAGACAGACAAAAGAGTAAAATTGTATTAGTTTATTAGGCTAATACAAACTTTTGCAGCTTTTAGCACAAATCTTTAGCACCTTTGGAACTTTGACTTTGTTTTTTTGCTCTTTGTCCATCTAGTCCTCTACGTACATAAGTATTACCTTATATTAGAAGGATCTCACCGTGCTTTTGACCATACGGTGCATCAATTATTAATGTTTAGAGGAAATTATAAAGACAGGGCTGTTTCTTTGGCTGCTCAGCTGACACCTACCCCCTCACATTAGCTAGTAAAAGCTGTAAATCTTGTCACTGGTGGTCTTGTTTTGTTTCTATAGCACATTTCTTTTGTATAACTTGTACAAAGGGGAACAATAACTTTAAATGTCATCCATCTAGATTATATTAAAACTAAGGGCAACACATGATGAGAGACGTGGCTGGTTTGACTGTAGGGTCTGTTATTGATGTTTATGGGGTTGCGAGGATGTGATCTCTGCTCCATGTTTCAACAGTTTTTA